TTGACGAGTGTGCAGAACAAACAGACAAATGTGACGCTAATGCTCAGTGTACAAACAATCCTGGTAATTTTAGCTGTGCTTGTAAACTTGGCTTTTATTGGTATGGAGTCGTTTGCGCTGGTAAGTGCAGCTAAATTGTCGGAAAAAAATATTTAGTCGATGGGTCACCGATATTTCTTCGCATACTACGAACCTATCATAAAGGACTATATTTGTTCACCCCATTAATAAGCCAATAATGTTGTCATCGTTCTTTTTTTCTCACTGTAAATCTCGCAGTGTTATGCTACACCAAAAAGATGCAGGATAACACAAATTAAGTGTTATGCGGAATACCATTTGAGGGTAGCGCAACACTTAAAAAGTGTAGCTCTATCGTGCTAAAGGGTTCCTGTAACATTTCCTTGGCGTGCTGAATTAAAAGAAAAACTTCTGACACTAAAATTTAGTGTGGTGTACTATTACCTACTTTTCAGAGCGTTAAGTCAGGGTCGTGCCCATTGAAAGTAATTGGGGGCTGTTTAGAAATATTTGACCTCTCAACAATATAACGACTTTGGACTCCGAATTTATGGGTCAAACACATAATTTCATGCGGGTCGTACTTCGAAATGCCCCCAACATTGCTGGGGGTGAACTCTGGAAAATGTGAAGTGTGAACGCGCCGGGCTGGGAGCTCAGGAAAACATCAGAAAGAAAACGGTTGCAAACTAAAAATGTTTGTTGTTTTCTTTATTAAACCGAAGTTCCTGCTAAATCCGGGTCCCCAAAAGGCATTCGTTTAAGCCTGGTTGCCATTGGACGTAATTGTCGTGAACAAGTTATCCTCATCGATGAGAAATAGTCCGAATGTAGCAAAATTACTTGTCGTAATAATCTGCGATTCCCTTGTCTAAGGTCACTAGTGTGCAAAATGATTAATGGAAGACAAACCAGTTTCGCTTAATTGTTTAACGGCTAGCAAATTTTTAAAAGAATATGTCTGGCTAAAATAATGGAGATCAATGGTGCAAAATACAATATGCCAACACAAAGCTAAATTCTTCGACCCATCGAAGACCACAGTTTGGTAATCGAAATAAAAGTTGTCGTTGAGAAATAAGAGTTTAGTCAGAGAACGTCTGTTTGATTCTAACAAATCTAAATGTCCCAAATGGGTTCATTCATATAGATAAGAATTATGCGCAACCATGCAAGATCAAGCAAGCAATCATCAGCCAACATTTTCGGTAGTATGATGCATATTTTCGATACTGATAGAAATTACACACAATGGTAAACTGATTTTACGATGATGCATGCAAATCGCTGACTTGTTTTGTGAATCAACCCTGTATATACAACATTATAATTACAACAACCAATACTTGATACTTATGAAACCTATGCATGAGATATATATTTGACACTTATGAGACAGAAAACTAGATTATCAATTATCTCGGGCATTGAAGGGATAACATGGGGAGTTTCGGAGAAAAAATTATGCTATTCACTCACAAACCTTACCCTACTACAGATTTTCACGGCCGTGAGAGATGCACCAACGGTTAACTGTGGTAAGACCAGTTCTTGTGTTCAAATGGTTTATTTAGCTTCTGTTCCTCTAAAATTATAAATTCTGCGTTTCCAATTGCCTACCAACCTAGCTCGTACCCAGGGTTTTTCTGCAACAAACACCGCCCCTTTGGTCCCCTAAAGTCCCTTATACTTTCATTGAGTCTGAATTACAATAGATTTCTGATAGTTTCATATTTTTATTTTAGATGCTGATATTGAGGAGTGTTTCAAACAACCTCCTTGCACTTTGATGCCAAAATGTCACTCCGTCTCCTACATATATGCAGTAGCTCATACATATGTCGGGAATGCAGTAGTGTGCGCTGTTAATCCCAGCAACACTTGAGTATTTATTATAATTGTGGTGAAATGTTTTAAATTTTAAATACCACAGATAAAGATGAATTTGCTGGGCAATCATTATGGCATTCTGATGCTACGTGTCAAAATACGATTGGTTATCTTGGTAAGCAGTAATCGTGATTGTTGCTTGCTTCCTTTATCGAAGAATGCCATCACAGCACAAAGATTCGTTTGAATGACTCTTGTTGGCTTAGCCTTGAAAATATAAACGTCTGCATGGGGTAAAAACCTGGTCTTATTTCTAGAGACTATTGTTAGACTCGTGTTCACGGTAGAACGTAGAAATAACCTAATAAGCTTGCCTAAATTTGACTCCCCCGCTGAGTACGAAAATTCCAATATTCGTCAATTATTTAGTGCATAAGAATGTCTTGTCTTTGTTGCATGTCCCATTTATTTTTAACAGAGATGATTGATATTTCTGTATTATCAACATTTGTATATCGAGTATAGCAAAAAATTCTCGAGCACAGTAAAAGTTAAGGCCCGTTTACATGCAATTTTATTTTATATGCGATTTTTTTTGTTTGATAGATGTGAACGAGTGATTTAGTTACTGATGTTTAAATAAGAGTTTTTATATACATCAGAGCATTCGTAACTAATCACTCATTCACATACGTCAAAAGAAGAAAATCGTACATAAAATGCCCCCCAAAATTGCAATTATAAACGAGCTTTAACAAAATACCGAGGCCTATAAGTAAGTTTGCCTCATGCAGAGACCTTATTAATAGTAAGTAATTAGCCTAACTTAACTAAGCGTTAGTTTACAAGTATTTAGGTGACTATAAAGCAACATGCATGCAGGTATAATGAAAACTATCCGCGCATGCTTGATAACATTAGAAATACAATCATAGTAAAATAGAGTAAAAACGCTAGAACGAATCGTTAAACGATCATTAATACGCTCTAAAGGATTGAAAGCAGCAGGTGTAAATGAAACAACGCATTGTTTTGCTGTCTTTATTCATGATGTGGAAAATTTTATTCAGATATCGAAGTCGATCATTTACCTAGTTTCGATCTTTCGTTTTGGGCCTTTGGCAACAGTCTTTTGATTACGAAACACAGAGACAGCATGCTCATTATTGTTGTAGAGACTGATCTTGAACTACTGCAGGTGAGTCATCTGCTCATATTGCGGCAAAAGCAAATCATTTACAGATTACCATTGCTTTGTTTATTGGCTGACAAATTAGGTAAAAATGAAGTATGCCATGTTTATATTATTATGGCCTTGTTGATTGGTCTTTATTTGTTAATGGCCAGTGGGCCCAATACTTGACTTTTTGTGTCGAATTGAATGCAAATATACGAGTCGTTCTGAAGTTTCATTCGCATTCACGACAACTTGAAGTGTACTTTCTTTATTTACGGAAGATCGATGACACATGCATAGCTGTTAAAAAAGTCTTTTACAGACATTATAATGCTACAGGAGCGCGCTACACTTTTCTTTTACTTTACACTTTTTACAGAATTTCTTTTTACAGGGGTAACTGATGTATAGCACACCATTTCTAGAAAACTAAAGTATGCATAAATTAATCGATAATTTATATAGTATTTAGAGTAATAATTCTATGTTCAGTAAATCCTAAAAGCACGATTTAAACCTTGAGATTAACTTTTAGGGTCAGGATTAGATCTTAGTTTGGCTGTTGATTAGGGTTAACCCTAGACCTATATCTATAACCGCTATATATATCCTGACATAATCTCAAGTATTCAATTCAACTTATACAAATATATATCTTTTGAAAAAAGGCGGTTTTTTTGAGTTTCAAAAATCAAGTATTATGGCATTATTTTATACTTTGCCGCTAGTAACTTGTTTTTTGCTAAGACAAATACCGCAAGTCGCAACAAAAAAATTGGGCTCACTAGAGCAGATAGGTGATTTTGCAGTAACACCTTAAAATCCCTAATCAGGTTGTTAAACGCCTGAAACAGTGAAGTAGCGACCTTAATGTTTTTTATACTAAGTTCAATTTTATACTATATTGTTTCAGAAATGATATTGCTCTCCGCACTTCTATTGTTGAGCGTTTTGGGAAATGTCTATGGGAGTTTTCGTATCCCTATTCTCAGTGCACCCTTAAATTCCTTTCCTGCACCAACTTTAAACAATTTTAAAGCTTTTAACCAAGAATATTTTGATAAAGTGACAACCTATGATGTTTGGCAGACACCAAGGAGCTTTGGAAAGGAGAGAAGTCCATTCAATGTTATTGTGGACTCTACTCTTAATACCATAATTCTGGACGCTTACGTACTGCTTGACCGAGGTCAACTCACAATTGAGATGCTCGAGATAAAACAGATATATATTTGCACGGTTTGTTATTCGTTGAAAAATGAAGATCTCGCAAATTACACTGATCTTACCCTGACAGACTTAACAAATTTAGGGGGCAAGACAATGAGACAAATTCATGCATTTGCTGTTGAAGCAATAGAGAAGAAATTTCGTTTCAACATGACAGTCTTGGAACAAATGCTGAATCTTTCGTCTTTAAGGGTGATCAATGATCAATGGCCTTTATTTGTACCACATATCGTTTCTGCAGCTATAAAATGCCGTGCTGATCAACTTGGTGTAACTGTCTCTGAACTGGCGGAACTTTTAAACACAAATAATGAAACATTGTACGGCTATAACATGAATCAACTCGATGACATATTTTTCCCGGCGTTTGACGACTTGGTTGCTCGTAAGAATCTGTTTGAAAATCAAACGTTCTCCGCTTAGCTAAGGAATGACGGTTGCTGAATGGCAATCTAAGACTATGGCGTACTATGCAAATACTATAAGCAAGTTCTCAGTACGTCATCTTGAGATATTATACAAATGGAAATCGGCACAGCTTTTCACCATAAAAAATATAATGTTGTCCAGTTATTTCTCTCAATGCATTTCTCTTTCAACTGTTGGCTCTGCCTTTGATCTATCTAAGACAATATTTGGATATCAAACTACACTTCCTTCATGTAATGTTGCCTTTGTTTTATCTCGATTTTTGGGTGAGGATGAAGTCAGATTTAATCTTGCTACGATCACGGAGAGAAATATTTTAAACATTGTAAGAAACGCAAGTGGTATTAGTAGCTGGTTTAATTTCTATCAGTTGCTGTTCACAATTTCTGAAGGTATTTGGATGGAGACTCCTCTTGTTTCTCAAGTTCAACTGGCCCAAAGCCTCTCCAATGCTCAAATCCTCACCTATTCGGTTCCACAAATCGCGTACGCAATCAGAACTTTAAATAGTTCTAGTGCATTGAGTAACATTATGAAGAACAATTATCAGCAATATCTTTCACTCTTGTTGCAAACGTATGGCTTTTCAAAATCCGGTCTCGCCTCCTTAACAGGACAAACTGAAGCTCAAATCGACGATTTAACGATACAAGAGGCTCACAGTCTCGTATTTGAAGCGTTATATCTGCGATACAATATTGTTGAATTTTTAAGCAAGTTTAATCCAGCAGGCGTGGACAAATATGTTGCAATTAATCTTCCCTCATTTGAATGGTACCGACTGGTAAAAGCAGCTATTGAGAAATCGTTTGATCAACTATCGATAGCTTTTTCAACAAATCTTACAGTAGGAACAGGTGGTATTTCAGTTGTGACACTTACAGATGGAACATCTTCAATTCAAGTTCAAACTTGTAGCGCACCAAGTTCCTTCGTAACCACAGTGACTTGTTTGGCGTCATGCTTGGGTACCACAGTATCAGAAATATACCAAAGAACCATGTCTGGGTATCAAACACTGTATCAAACGTCAGCCGTACCTCTGATGAATAACAAGATCGTTTTGGAAACGGAAAAGTTTGAAGATTTGTTAGCGAGACTTGGAACAACACTTGGAAGTATTGACAGTGAAACTGTTGGTGAAACAATCCAGAATCGCGTTGGACTGACCGCAGAACAGTTGCGTTGCATGTATGGATGGTCATCTGAATTCACATCTTTCCTGTTTGGAATAAGCTGGAGAAATGTTAGCTCGTTCCGCCTTTGTGGCAATTTCGTGTCTTGGCCTCTTCATAGGATTGCTTTGGCACTAAAATATTCCACGCCATCTATTTGTGGTTAGTATATAGGTAATCATGGGTTGGCGAGCACATTTCGGGATTAATAGTACGAGGGATGTTTGAAAATTTTACCAAAATTGGACGAGCCGCCGGGGCAAATCCAATTTGCATAGCAAAATTTTGAAACATCACGAATACTATTAAGCCGATCCAAAGATAAGCCGATTCTTTGCCTGTGCGGGCTAGGCACGCTTTGTTTTTTAGGCTCGTCGGGGCCGCATGAGCAAAATTTCAAAGGCCGCTTCGCCCGCGCGGGAAAAAAAACGGCAAACGATCCCTAAATTAACCTTCTAAAACTTAACGAGAGCGATCGTTCGGACAGCTAGGACTAATGACGACGAAGATTATTTCTATTCAGTGCGTATTAAAAACACTTTCAAAGTCCGCGTTAGGCTGGTTTTCCACCAGCGATATTTTTCGCGCCAGGCGACATTTTACTTTTGTTTCAGAGCTTTCAAATTGCCCAAATACAAAAGAATAAAGTCACTTTGCGCGAAAAATATCGCTAATGGAAAACTAGAAGCCGAATTAGAACAGTTAGAACGTAGTGCATAACATCATTGAACGGGTACCAGAGCCCCAACATACTCCATGGGCTTCTCCCATAGTGATTGTCCCCAAAAAAGATGGAGGGTGCGTCTTTGCGTTGACACGAGAAGCATGCAAATTCAGCAATCAACCGAGTTAGACACCGAGTTAGATGACATTCGACTTGAACTAAACGATGCAAAATGTTTTTCTAAACTAGATCTTTTCCAGGCGTACCACCAATTAGAGTTTATTTAGATATAAATGCTTGAAGTCCGGGACTAACGCAGTAGGAGAGATTTTGCGAGGACAACGAGGCGTTAGGAATATCGCGGACGACATGATAGTGTGTGGCAAAACGAGACATAAACACGATGAGAACTTAGATAAATGCCTACACAGGCTTTGAAACAAAGGATTGAATTTCACATTTCTAAATAACAACGAGTCGGACTAGTCTTTTCCGAAGGTGAAACGAGCCCGATCCTATACGCGCAAACGCCTAGCAATATACCCAACGTCAGAAGTTTATTTGGCATGGTCAATTACAGTAGCCGCTATAGCTATATCGCAAACTTTGCCACATTAGTAGCACCGCTATGTGAATTGACCAAGAAAAATACTAAATTTGAATGGCGAGACGTTCATCAGATAGCATTTCAACAATTGATAAGTGCTTTATCAGCTTTGTCGTACTTTGATACTGAAAAGGATTGATAATTTGATAATAAATAAAAGTAATTGATACTGATAGCATGAAACATTTCTGTTTTATCAAAAAGACCCTATACAAGTGCAACGTTGAAATTGAAACTTAAAATTTCGTGTGGGTGGAAGATTGGGAATTTTGGTAATTTTTCGCTTAATTTAGTAATTTTTGATAAGTTGCCTCAAAAAATCTGGTCACACTGTGTGAAGGTTGTCAATAAGAAATGCATATACAGAGATTAACAAAGGTTTATAAATGTAAAAATATAAACAATATAGAGAGAATATTACACGAAGGAATATATTGTCGAGATAATTGGATTCAAGACCAACAAAAGAAAATCATGTTCTTTTATCATCTTAGATGTGAATGAGTGTGTGATTCACAAGGATGACTGTCATTCCAATGCAGACTGTCGCAATACTATAGGTTCGTTTGAGTGTACTTGCCAGGCAGGTTACACTGGAAACGGGAAACACTGTGAAGGTATGAATCTTGCTGTTATTCAGAATGTACTCCGTGCATGGTGCACAACTAAGTATATTCACGCATTACAATGATCGTAAAATTCACATATATAATGATCATCTTGTTAAATTCTGTTCATTATTTTTTATAGATATTATTGATTGTGTTTTGCCACCACGACAATATCCCTGCGATGTAAGAGCAATCTGTCGTGATTTTCCTGGATCTTTCATTTGTGTTTGTCCACCGGGATTAACTCTCAATGCTGATCAAAGAACCTGTGATGGTAAGTATATAAGGTAAGAGAACTGGCTTCACTATACAGAAAAGAAAATTAAATGACAATTCCATCTTATTTATTAATTGATCCACACAGGCTCATCCAATCCAACTTTATCATCAAAGATTAACACGGGAGTTATTATTGGAGTTGTTGCAGCAGCGGTTGTTGTCTTGATAATAGTAATCGTGATTGTTGCTTGCTTTCTCTATCGAAAAATGATGCAATTGCGGGACAAGGAGCAAAACAGTGGTGACGTTCCAAATCTTGCACATGAAGCTGAAAATCAAGCAACAAGAACGCTGCCACCGGTACCGTATTCTGGAAGTGCTTACGAGGAGCCAGCCGAATACGCACAACTCGAAGACTTCGGAAGAGTTTCGAATGATGAAAATTATCAAGGTTTAAGACGTGGAAGCGAACAAGGCGGCTCTAGGAATTCTAGAGAGGATGTTGGTCTTGGAATAGAAAATGAAGTAGACTATTCTGAGAGTGGTGGTGAAGAACTAGCAGAATACACACAACTCAACAGCTCTAAAAGAGTTCCCATTGATTCAAATTATCAAGGTTTAAATATGCATGGCGAGTTTGGTGTTTTGGAAAATTCAGTTATAGTACTGGAAAACGTTATGGACCAACGAAATACCTACGGAAAACAATCCTGCAATACTACTACTCTTACTATATAGCCCGAGAATGTACCATTCGAATACTTTTCCAATTCGAATTGCAATATGGATACAATCGTTGTATGGAAAATGTCACCTTTCCTTCTGTCCCGGCCCGGTATGCTGGTAAAAGGCGAGAGGGGCCGTATGCACCATATAGCACTCTGAATAACACACGAAAAACTGAATTTATTTTCAACCATTGTTGCTTCTGCACTGATATACTACATCAAATTGAGAGTACATTGAATTAGAAATGCTACAGCAATTGGTCTTAATAAAGGTCCAGCTATATCTTTAAAGGACTTGTGTGATTTGATCCAAAATAGCCAATTCCATTTTTATGACCTGTAATACAACTCCATAATAATGAGTATTCCTAAAAAATATACCGAAAAAAATTGAGAAATACGGGCAAAATACAAGCAGTTGTTGCTAAGCACACCGAGGGTAATAAAGCGTATACTTACAAAATTAATAAACTTGTCAATATAATGAAGTCTTGAGGCTTATCGGGCTTGCTATAGTTTACCTCAATCTTCTTTATTAAATTAGTAAAATTTCGCACTCTATACTGTATGGTAAAATAATATTAAAGAACATTTAAACCATTATTTAAAATAAATTGGGAACATTTCATGATTTGCGAACAAAGACAGCTATAGGAGTTAAAGTTAAAATTTATTTCAACTTTGTTTCAAATTTTTTTGCGAGATTTTGAGTTTTCTACCCAAGAATTCAGAAAGAATGTGACACACGGCAACATATTTTGTATTTAAAGTTCAGCCAACTTTAGCCAACTTTAATTGGAAATTAATTAAACCGTTTTATAAAATGACTCTGCAAACAACAGAAAAGATAAGATATTATTATCCATTCTGTTATGCAACTTGTTGATTGCCGTTCTTGATTTCAGGAACGAACTGATGCCGCCAAAATTAACGGTTAAATTAATTAATAATGACGCGAAACTTTCACGCCTTTTATTTACTGCCCAAATTTGGGCAGAAATTTGCCGAGTTGATATCATGTGGTATGAATGTAGATATTTTTGTCACCTGGTCCAGTATTTACCTAAACAATCTAATCCATCTCCAGTGTAGCCAAGGTTACATGTGCACGTAAATGAAGCATTGCTGTACCGACAAGTTGCATCCTTACCGCAGGAATTTTCCAAGCAAGGATTAATAATATCTAAAGAGAAAACAGTTTTCTTGTCTTAGTTCCATAAACTACATCAAGAAAGTGTAGTTACCCAAGAGAGGAAGAATTATAGAAGAGTTAGTCAAACGATTTATGCTCCTTATCGTGGCCTTCGGAAAGCGATCTCAAATTTAGCTATGCGGGATTAAATCACAACCACTAAGGGCTATAAATTATGATGATAAGGTTTAGCCAGCTGCATATAGCTTCCATTTCGTTTTTAATTATGTGTTGCGTCCTGGTTATTTTCAACCACTAATTAGTTACCGAGCATTTCCAAGCTGAATATTAAAGATAGAGTGAGTCGGAGAGTTCATCATAATTATAGAGCATTGAGTAGGTGGAGGGGGGAGTATGTATATTCGTCTCGTTTCCTACGGTCTCTCAACTTGAACGTGTATGAATATTCGCCCCTCTCCACTTATATCTATCCTGCATGGGTGTGGCGTTTGCCAATTTTACACCACTGACCTCGACAGGTTTTTCCATCGCCGCTGTAACCATCTTTACATGTGCAAATGTACGATCCTTGCATATTGGAACAACTTCCATTTTCTTTATCACAGGCATGCATGTCCAATTCGCACTCATCAATATCTGTAAACAATAAACACGTGCCAGAATATGATCCTAAATAAGCTGGCGAGTAAGATTGGATGCAATTAGTGAAATGTTTTGTTCAGGGATGCAATTTGCACTAAACTATAATATGTAAAATAAAGCGGTTTATACTTCGGAAAACATTTTTGAAGACTTTCGTGAAAGATAAATCACGAGCCAAAACATGATCCTTTGAATGCATTCATTTGGATGCCAAAGAAATAATTAATTACGCAATTTGCAGACATTTTGACATATAAATTAACGCCTAGGTAACACATAAGGATGGATTGAAATTGAATTCAGTAAAATATATTTGTAATTTTTTGCCTATTGCACGGAAATTATTTATCGTGGCCATCAAATACTGCATCAAATCATGTTTCAAATTTTTTTTTGGCGATATGACAAGGCGTGGCTCATTTATTTTACTTTACGCTACTGACCTTGGCAATTTTTTCCATCTCCGCTGTAACCAGTTTTACATGTGCAAATGTAAGATCCTTGAACATTGGAACAACGTCCATTTTGTTTATCACAGTGATTCACGCCGAGTGCGCACTCATCAATATCTATAAATGATAAATCACGATAACATGATCCTAAACAAGCTGGCGGATTGGAAACGGTATTGATTATGCAATATGCAGTAAAAAGCAATCGGTTAAATAAAACGGATTTATATTTTAGAAAAGATTCTTTTGCTGAACGAAATATTCAGCCCCCTCCTGAATCCAAGAAAATTTATAAACTCAAAGTCAAGAATCTAAAATAAAGTTTAATGATTTTGACTCTGAAACTCCCGATGGTTTTGCATTGGAACAAAGTCCATTTTGTTTATCACAGGGATTCGCGCTCGGTTCGCACTCATTAATATCTGTAAAAATATAAATGACATGATGCATGATCCTAGTAAACAAATAAAGTAAATCAGACCGTATCAGTTTCTTTCTGCGATAGAATCCTTTCAAATATATTATTATACATTGTATGTTACCTTTCAATTACTTGTTGCTAAAACAGTAAAATGTCTAAAAAATACATTTTGTATTTATACCTGTGCAAACAAACCCATTGCCAGCAAAGCCGGTCCAACATTGACAAGTGTACGAACCAAACGTATTTGTACAGTTAGCATTTGCACTACAACTGTTTTTACCATCTCCCACAGCACATTCGTCAAGATCTACCCAAAATATATTACGAGTAAATCTGGTAAATAAATGTCAAAACAGAAGTAATGTACTGAAATAGAAAGCAGAAAACTCTAAGCTTGAGGTTCAGATGAGAGAGTGCAGATCAAGTAAATGAGGAAATTAATGCTTTACCTTGACAGTAAGTACCATTTCCTAGAAATCCATTACGACATGAGCAGTCATACGAGCCAATGGTATTTATACATGCGGCGTCATCATGGCAATCATTTTCACCATCACATTCATTAATATCTACGGGTAAAAGTATATTAATGAGACCATATTGCATGGTATCGGTTTTTGTGTCGTATACAGAATAACACAGTCAATAACTACATTCTGAGAAAACTCTCTTGTTGGTAGCGTCATAGAATCAACACCAGTGGTGTTGAGAGCTGCTCAGCTCAAGAGTGCAATGTAAAATAAGAAATCAACGTAAATTGATAATCAGCGAACGATTTACCGACATTTTCAGTTCATTTTGTAAATGTGCTTATTAAGTATGTCTAAAATTAAGTATTTTGTAATTATACCTGTGCAAACAAATCCGTTACCAGCAAAGCCGGTCAAACAATGACAGGTGTACAAACCAAAGGTATTTGTACAGTTAGCGTTCGCACTACAATTGTTACCATCTCTGATAGCACACTCGTCAAGATCTACCCAAAATACATTTACGAGTAAATGTCAGTAATGCATGTCAAAACGGAAATAATAATTTTTTATATAGAAATATAAAAACAATAAGCAGAAAACTCTAAACTTAAAAATTTCCAAGATGTTTTATCTCGTTGCTTTATATTCAGTTTTGACTAGGTTTTTTTAAACGGTTATGTTTTAGTTTAAATTATGCCAATTATTGCCGTGCCTGAAATTTGTACTTTCCCTACCTTTGCAGGCTATGCCATCTCCAGTATAGCCCTGTATGCACTGGCATGTGTAGGAGCCAGGCATGTTAGAACAATATGCATGAGCGCTAAGGCTACATCTATCAATTCCCAAAGAACACTCGTCGATATCTTAATAAAAGACGGACGGACTTATAAGACACAGTGATGCCAGTGTCCTTAGTGTACAACTTAGAATCCCAAATACTCATAATGCAATGGGTATTCACTAAATGCTTGATTTCATAAATCTTTTTCCTACCCTGGAAAACACTAATATAGAAGAACAGAAGTTAAATTTGACGGTATATAGGATAAATATTCTTGCCGGGGAATCGTTATTCAGTAAAATAGAAAAAAATGCTCGGTATAACGAATGTTAAACAACAAGGATAAAAGTAAATATTAATTAATAAGATTCAAAGGAATTAACGTTTCACTGATCCGAGCAAAGTGTTTAAAGTCCAGGTGAGATGAAAAAAGAGACTTTTTTACCTTTACAGTCAGTACCATTTCCTTGAAATCCATTACGACATGAGCAGTTATATGATGCAATGGTGTTTATACATACGGCGTCGTCATGGCAATAATTTTCACCATTACATTCATTAATATCTACAAAATAAGGTCGTAATTGGCTGGGTTAAAGAGAGGATCGATCATGGGATATTTACGAGGTGAAACTGGTCTCTCTATCACGCAGAGAATGCCTTATTAAGTTATCTATATTATTTAATACACTTTGAATACGAAAAGAGTTAACGCGTCAGCATACATAGCTATATGTTTTAGACTACATGCAACGATTACAATTTCTGACTCTTTCTGTTCTCAAAAAAACGAAGTGTAGTATAAACTCCAGGGGATAAAAATCAACTGATTTGGCACGTATAAGAGATCTGTTCTTTGCCCACCTTTGCAATCTCTTCCATCTCCAGTGTAACCATGTACACACTGACACGTATAGGAGCCAAGTGTATTAGTACAATTCGCTCGATTGACATCACATTTATTAGTAACCAAAGAACACTCGTCGATATCTCAATAAAAGATGGATTTGTAAGACATTGGGCATAACCAGATTGTCCATTGTTATATTAAAAATATAGTCTACCTATTATTACTGTGGCTTATTACTATTGCTGAGGAAATGATTGCTTTACCTTGACAGTAAGTACCATTTCCTAGAAATCCATCCTGACATGAGCAGTTATACGAGCCAATGGTATTTATACATGTGGCGTCATCATGGCAATAATTTTTACTATCACATTCATTAATATCTACGGGTAAAAGTATATTAATGAGACAGAATATTGAAATCGGATTTTGTATGTGTCATATATACAGAATAATCGACACAATACACACACAGTATAGTCAATAAAGTCGAACTGTTTTCTCGGTAGCACCATAATTAACAAAACTTCATAGATCAACACCGTTTAAACTTCCATACTTCTGAAAGTTGTCCAATTACCCTCTGCATGACAAAACTCTCAACACCGATATGATAGCAGGATGTTGAGATGCTCAGCTCAGGGTACAATGTGAAATAAGGAATAAAGTCAATAAACGTGCATTGAGAACCATCCTGCCCAAGCAAGCTTATAACAAGTTACTCACCAATGCAATGTTTTCCATCGCCAGTAAAACCATTAAAACATTCGCAGTTATAAGATCCATAAGTATTATTGCAATTTGCCTTGTCGACGTCACAGAAACCTTCAACCATACATTCGTCAATATCTGCATGTATAAAAAGAACAACTCTTTTACATATGCATGTATAAAAAGAACAACTCTTTTACATATTCTTACTGCGATGTATATAACAACGTATTCTGAGTGAGTGAGAGACTTTATTTAAAGAGGGTAACACCTGACAGTATATAAATACTGATAAACTAGTGGCCCTCCAGGAATCCTTAAAGCGGTTAGACGCCCAAAGAAATATGAACACCGCGATCTCGCGAGGGACACAGCGCTTGTTCGCGCACATCGGCTTCTGCTCTGTCACTACAGCCAGACTGTCCCTAGAACCGTCGAGTTTTCATTATTTTCCTAAATTGAAAATGGCTACCTACCTTCTCTATGACTGCATGTTATGAAGATAGGCGAACAAAACTGCCGCTTAGACAAAATTAAGGGTGAAATTATATCTCTATCCTTATATAAGTTATACATCCAGGTCGTCCACTATATTAAATGTTCAATTCTTATCGAGTACCTGTGCAGTTATTACGGCCATCTCCTTTAGTTCCATCCATACACGTGCATTTATATGAACCAATTGTGTTGGTGCAAGTTGCGTTAACATGGCATCCGTTTTCTTTCTCACACTCGTTAACATCTAAATGCCATAAATATCGATTGATTATTGATCATTTGAATAAACAACTATCGAATAAAAATGATAGTTATTGGAATGACTATAGCAACACCCGAAATTCAGCACTGATTTGTACTCATTTAATCACGTCAACCTTGACATATGCTTCCATTAACAAAATATCCTTCGTTGCACTTGCAAGTAAAGCTGCTTGGTGCATTCGTACACGTAGCCGTTTCTGGGCAGTACGTTCCAACACAACATTCATCATAATCTGAAAAATGCATCATATACTGAGGTATTAGATAAATTCTTGTCAAATATTAACACGTTTACTTATTTTCTGGGATTTCGATCCTATGAAATTTTGGCATTCAGGTGCTCTTGTATTCGAGAAAATGTCCCAACGTTTTGATCTAAAAGAGCCCTAGCCCCTAGTCCGGACTCAGAAGAGTAAGGATGAAAAATATATTTTGCCATTTTTTGTTAGTTAAAAATCACTCGAACTGGCTCACCAAATGCTATTATTAACTGCTGTGCCATCAGTGCCACGACAGAGGTAGAAGCAATTCTTTTCAGAGTGCGTTTGAGATAAATGTCTAATCTTTTATTTCCTAGGTCTAGCACATACAGGTGGAAATAGTCCTGTGCCAGCGCGATTCGTCCATCATACGTGATATTAAGATTCTCTGTTTCTTTGGCATAGAATGTTCTAAACAGATTGTGTTTTTTCCCTATGACATTATCCCAGTAAACGACTTCATCGTCCTGATCAACGGACAACTCTTGAGCTGAGCCATTAAAATGTTCCTCAAATGTTGTCGATGTTGGAGTGTGAAACCTTAATATTGGAGGGTCCGATGATCGAGCTATTATTAGGAACCTTTAAAAGAAACGAAATACAACCATCATAATTTAGAAGGCCGCCTATTCAAGATTATCTATTTAGACTCACCTATTCTTTGTATCCATTTCCAGAGCTTGTATATCCGAGAAACGACTCAAAGCTTGTACAGATTTGTCATTTCCGTTGCTCATGTGCAATGAATGTATTTTTAGTGTTTGTCCATTTAGGTAATAAAGAATGCGATTGGAACCATCGTACGTATAATCAGTAACATTTCTTATATTATTGATTAACTTCGTCGAAACAGTTAAATTTAAATAGAGACTGAATAAGTCGTTACTAGGTGAATCAAGAAGCAACAAGCGACGATTGTATTTGTCGTATTTATATTTGTATCCTCCAGAAAATAAAAGCAAAAGTGCCTGTTCACAGGTTTCTAAAAAGAGGATGAATAAGAGTTATTTTGGAATTTTTGAATTTTTTTAAATTTGGATGTCAATTTATCACTTTTCTGAGGATGTCTTTAGTTAAGAAGAAAGTCACTATATATTAAATATCTTTCTACTTTTAAATTTTTGACTGACCTTGTTTTGAATGGCTCTATTGTAAAATTCGTGTTCAAAAGAAAAGCGCGCGCGTTCATCTCATATTGTCCGAAAATTTATACTACTTATTACACAAAAAAAACTGCAATAAACTCAATAACAAGATCGTCAGGCCCGTTACACCCTGCATATATGTATACATAGAGAACGTAACGTTATCATGATGTTATATGATAATTTACCGGTGCAGTTGAATCCATTTCCAGTATAGCCAGGTCTACAGTTACAGTGAAATGACCCCTCAGTGTTCACACACCTCGCATTTGGATCACAGTAACTAAGATCGCACTCGTTGATGTCTATATTATAATGATACATAGGAAGTTTTTTTGCATGGTGCCATATAATGTATATAGTATTAAATCACCACGCCCCAAATTGCTCTGCTGAGACCCAGATATCGGTATATTCATTAAAAATTGGTCATTTGGGATATTACTGGGACTGCATGTTGCAAGATTTTATAAGCGAGAAAACAAACATGTACCTTCACAGCCACTTCCAATTGCCTTGAAACCACTAGAACAAACGCAATTGAAGCTTCCGATAGTGTTGGAACATATGGCGTTGATGTGACATGTGTTGTTGAACTGACATTCATCGATATCTAGAATGAATATATTTAATATAATTTTTATTATATACTAGATTTAATGTAATTAATGTATTGTGTCGTTTGTTGGACAACGCCTGAAGGCATTTTCCAACAAAAATTGACAAGGACATGATTAGGAGCAACATCAATTCAACGCTTGCAAAGGAGTGTACATTATATTTGATGTGCAAAATATCGTAGGCTATATGTTGCGCCCGTGCACGTGCTCATATTATATTGTGAAATACTAGCACGCATGTACATGGGACCACGAAGTAAAATTAAATCCTTTATCACAGGTTGGAAAAAAATGAGAAACATTTTGAGTCAAGAACACCGCCAATCAACCAGAGGACACGATGTTTGGCACTAAATATACCATACAATACCTGTGCAAATTATTCCATTTCCAGTGAAACCAGATGAACAAGTACAGTAAAATGATCCTTCAGTATTCACACAGTCTACATTTGGGTTTTTGCAGTAATTGACATGCTCACATTCGTTAATATCTAGTGAATCATTAAACAGACTATCGGTAAGAACAAACCTAAATCTTGGAACAAGAAGAGTCAAATAATCATTTACTGTCCACCCACCTCACATTTAGATCAGTGTAGTTACCATGAAATCTATTAGGCAGGGCAAAGGCGTGCGAGCGGGAGAATGGGGCGACAGAAGCTCCTTCTTCAGATTGGGGCAGAATTAGTAATAAGTCGAGAGCTGTGTATTCGAGAATTCGCAAAGCTTATTCCCTTACCCTTTTCTCTACATTTCTGAATTGCGCAAGATGCTAAAAATGTTTACATGCAAAATATTCGTATTGCGGGAATTTTTATTAGGTTCAAGCTTTTACTCTTCCGAGTATACTCATTACAAAAGAAGTATTGATACCTTTGCAATAAACTCCGCTCGCTTCGTAACCTTCAAAACAGGTGCAGACGAAGGTTCCTGGGGTGTTGGAACACGTGGCTTTCACGTGACATGTGTCGTTAAAGCAACATTCGTCAATATCTGAGAAACAAGGTGAATGTATATCATATTTCTGGATAAAATGATCCCCGTACAATTAGTCCGCGCACATTTGTACGAGAAATGAAATTAAAATTCTAAGAAACTCACCAATCCCAATAATCATTTCACTTCTAATAGACTCTAAAAATACTTCTCGAACTTTTCGTAAGTTTTTTTTCGAATATATGTCAACATGATCGTGGCGTTTTTCCAAAATATAAAGATATAATTCGTCAGCCGCGACCACAATTTCTTCCTTGTAACTAATACCTAGCTCAGTTGTTACACCTGAGATGGTTGTGGACAAAACTCTAAATGAATAACTGAGTAATTCGAAAATTGTCCAGTAAATTGTCCCATCTTCAACGACATACAGTGATTGCCCATAGCCACCATTATAACTGATAAAACGAACCGATGCGTTTTGACCAAGGTCGTAAAAGACAAGTGAGAAATGTTGTGATGGGGTGACAATTACAAGACAGCTATATAATAAAAGTACATTGATAGTTTAGTAATTGATTATGTTTGACGTAGCATTGTGTTTCCTAAAAAAAGTATATTTTGGCTTGTATTTTAAACACTCCCCTTAAATTGCTTATGTAAAGTGTACTCACTCGTTTAATACGTCAATATCAACACCCCTGATGTTGTGGATATTAGCCAATGCTTTCACTTTAACATCTTCCATATTTGTAAGATTTAGCATACGAATTGTCTGGGTGGCCTTATGAACATAATATATGTTTTTGCGACGACCATCATAGGCGAAACGTTGAAAATACTTTTCATCTGTAGCCAAGATTTCCATTACCAAACCATCCAAGCGTACATTGTATATGGCATTGCTTGAGTTATAAACCAAGATGTTGTGGTTATGTTTGTCATAGACCAGTTTACTGCCAGATGAATCAAAGATTTTGCTTGATGAAGTATTGTCAGCCAAGGTGTTGTAGGAGTTTATCCGAGAAACGCTTGCATAATAGATAATAGGTATTTTACAATGATCTAAAGAAGAAGAATTCAATATTGTTGACATTCAACATGATCACTGTACATCAAAGATTCGATAAAAATAATATTATTACATGGTAGTGTATTTTACCATCATAAGCGTATACGAGTCTAAAAATCGGGGGGGGGGAGAAATGTTTTTGAGGGGTGGCTTCCACTCCCCCCCTCTATTCCACACCGTACGTCTTAAATACCATCAATCAAATCCACATTGTATATTTGAATGTAATTAGAAGTTTTAACTAATACAATCTATCCCTGGTCATTTTAGTTTTGCTTTCTTTTTCCATACAAAATCTATGCTAAAATATATCTACATACCTCCATAAACTTTGTTGACCACGCTCCAAATCAAGATTACTGAAAATAATGTTGTCCTAAAATATACATGTACAATGAAACGTCATATTCAGCAAATCACCATGCATGATAGGTAGATAACAGAAGCTAGAAAAGGGTTGGCACACCATTGTCTTTTGACAAAAGTAACTTCTATATATGCTATTGAAAGACAACGGAATAGAGATAAGATCACTACGATGTATAGATCTATGAATTCTAGCGTAAGTGACGATAAACTGGACTAAACATATGCATGTAACGATGAAACGACTGTCCAATGCAAAGATGCATAAAATTGGCATAATTCGATTAAAGTTGGCATAATTCGTGGTAAATCGTGACTTGCACAACCTTTCAAAATCTGCCATGCTGGGTATTCTAAAATACAGTAGGTAGGAATATAATAACTCAAAAGGTCCCTCACTGTGTAGTCGATATTGCCGTTCCTGTTACTCTGCAAAAAAGCCTTCTTTTCACAATGCAGCTGCTCGCCTAAAAATGCCTCCGTTTGAAGAGTTATTGCCGCATAACTTTCGATTCGCACGAGGTGCTTTGCGTGGTCGAGTTGACCGCGTCATGAATCGTAAACTCCGTATTTCATCATAGTTGATATAATTTCAAAAAACAGTCAATACACAATGCAGCAGCCAGTGAACCATTAAAATTGTATTATAGATCGCGTTTTGATCTAGATTGGAATTCCGTTTGATTGCCGCGTTGTGACCAGATAGTCAGCTTTATTTAAAAAATGATGAAATACAGCAATATCCCACCACAGCAAGTTTAAGCTGCCGCCTAGATATGGCTATGCCAATACTACTACACTGTAACAGTATATTTACTATATTACTGGACATTCTGGTATATATTAAGATCAGGCTTAACTGTCACTCTATATTCTTTCTGAATCAGCACATCAGCGTATATATTTAAGATATTGCTTGCCTATATTGAACTGATGTTAATTTCGTGTCTTTTATTGACGTTTCAATATGATTTTGATATTTCTATTAGCTGCATGAACGTTTATGAAATTGTTTTATCCTTTATAATATAAATGATAATTATTTGGTGTATCCGAATCATAATTGATGAATGACATTCGTAGATTAACAAGTGACATGCAAGTCTCAATGCACCTATAATTATGTACTTACATGTTCCAAAAAGAACGATTAAACTTCAGTCTTCAATGATACAGATTGTTGCGATCTCAGGCTTGATTTCATAGAAATTTAGTCTACTACATCGTTTGACCGATGGAATGTTTATAAATTTACATGAGTATAGTAATTAACAAGTTTATACCGGTAGCATGATAAAAATGCTGGATGCTGATTGGCGATCACTAGTATCCCTGGATGCTGATTGGCGATCACTAGTATCCCTGGATGCTGATTATTTTCAAAAGGCGAAAAGATATATGCATGCATACATGAACTAAGATAGCGAAAATACTGGCCAAATTGTTCTATTATTCCCGAATTGTGCTCGTGATTGCTTACGGTTATACTTCTACTTTCAACACTTCTGTACTTTCATTAACACAATACTTTCAACACAAATTTGGGATACGTATCAAATTATTCGTGCATGCATGCGTGCATATCACGCATATACCAAGCAATGCAACTTACTATCAGCATTGCATACCCAGAGCTATAGATTCTACGATTCTACGAAATCCAATATAATAATTAATCAGGCTAATTTCCTTGTCGAAACTTGCAGGCCTAATGCACTATAAGTACTAGCCGGTTCTATAGTCGGGCAAAAACGAGAAGGGGCACGACTGAGATATCGCCACACGCATCCAAATTCGAGGGTATAGAATGGAAATAATTTCCATTCTAATTAATAACATATATCCTAAATACACCAATAACCATTTTATTTAATAAAACCCTTTCTAATTAACAACAATTCATCTAATTTTACATGAATTTTACATGCACCGTAGTTTATGAGTGTTGGGAAATTATTTATAAGTTGATTCTACTGCTGCTTGTGTCCGGTATGGTTCGATGATCGTGCCTGTTTTTTAGCTATATTCTTGCTATATCTCAAATGAAATAATTAAATATCAAGCACCAAAACTTGATTGCATTAAACTCCGTTGTTTTTTAAAAAATTGAATTTGGTATAGTTATATAACTACAGTATACAGTATAGAATTTTCCCCCGTGAACATGGTCATCGTCAAAATGGCTTTGAACAACAAATCTGGGTTAAAAATCTCGAGATCACTTACAAGCGAACGAAAGTGAAACAGTGGTGGATTAAAGTTTTAGAACACAAATTTTCCGGCAACGGATTTTTTTTGTAAGCTCATAAAATAAATATCGATTTGAATCTCAGCTCAGTTATAATAAAAAATATCATAATTTATTTCGACTGATCTTAGCACTGATAGAAAACTATAATTAGCATTCAAATGTTAAATATCTACAGTATGCACTAGTTCTGTATAATTTTTATATACTGTATAGATAACGATGACGTGTTATTGTGAAGTTTCTCTTATTTACATACACCTACGAAAATTCATCGTTTCGTAGCAACAGGCCCGAATGGCATGCCAAAACAGTGGAATGCCTGCATAATAAATTATAGGTCAAAGGTAACCATTTAGGCAATCTCAAAACGTCAATAAATTTTTTCAAATAACTTTTATTCTTCGGGCAATTAAGAGCACTTGATTTGATAACAATGGAATTACTAGACCTATATACTAACTTTTAGACGAATAACGTCTATATCGATCACGTACACGTCTAAACAAATATATATAGTTTTATCCATGATGAAGTGCATGTATTTGACTTTGTGAGCCCCATATCGCAAGACAAAAAGAAAATTCTCGAGCAAAGAAGAAATTAAGGACATAAAATAGAATACATGCTGCGGTTAAGTGATCCATTCTTTATCAGGCTGAAGTGAACATTCAACATTATCATGAGCATTAATAGGCGAAACTAAAAAAAAGAGCGACAAATCATTTGCCACAAGCTGCATAATTTTCAGATGCCTGGCAATATTAGGTGCAGAATTGTCAGAATAAACTCGAGAACGATTAAAACGCTTTGCAAAGAATGGAAACAGCAGGAGTTGAACGTAATAATGCATTCTTCTGCTGCCTTGTTACATGAAGTGAAAAATTATTCATAATATATGGTTATTATTAACCCGGCTCTCATCCCTCTGTACGATTCTCTCGAAAATTTTCCGAGTTTTTGGATTGGCGATTTCACATTAGGGGCTGATCTTGAAAACACTGGTAAGTGTACTGTTCATTTTCTGTATATATTTTCGTAATGTGCAAGAACAAATCAATCTGCAGATTATACACGAATGCCTAACAATTTATTGTGCAATGTTGGGTCGGGTTGTAGTCAAAACTTGCCGCACCAAAATTGTCAAGGCCAAGGGAACTGCATTTTTAACACATTTTCTATAATGGAGTACAATAGTTGCTATCAGCTTTAACAAAATGATGAAACAAATGTGTTTGAAGAAAATTTTCTATACGGTGTTACGGGTTCATTCGCTTTAATAATTAAGGCTTTACTTTTCTAGCTTTTCTTCCCTCTTTATAAAACTAAGGTTTACGCGTTGGCTGACGAGATAACTGCATTTATATATAACAGCTGCATATAACGAGAAATAAATACATTCCTCACTCAACAATCGGTTAAATAATTTTAGATAAAATTTGAAACAAATCAAATCCGAGCTAAGATTGCCCGATTGATCGCCATAATCATTTGTGTCTGGTAATGATGTTGGACAAAATCTTCGAACTGCCTGTTAAACGGACCTTAACTGTCCCCAATAAGTCACAATGTCAATAACTGTCAAACTTGTTATTTTAAGGTATATACATGTATGGTCAGCTTCAGCGTCATTCAAGATTAATTGGTATTCACAAGCACTTGTAGGTAAGCTATTCGAATTCAATCTTAGCTAAGATACAAACAACTTGACTACATAATTTCATAATTAGTGTTTGTGTTTTATTCGATTTTTACCCATAACTATATCGAAGGAGTGAATTCTAACTATCTCGTTGATAATCTACCGTACTCTGAAATTTAAAAAAGAATCTAACTGACAATAAAAACAACGAATTCAGCAGAAAACTAACACGCAATGTCGAACAGTCCTATTAACCCGCCCACTTCAAGATAATTAAAATGCAATTGCACGGAAGCACTTAGTCCAAACAACTATGAAATTGCGTGCTGATCGTTTTTAGACCATGGACCATGCATGGAGTCCTAAAATCTGCCTTATGTAACAGTTGCACGAAGTTCACTTTTATATATTATGCATTAAAATATCGCTTTTAAAAACAATAAAAGCTTTATAGAATCTTCGCGTACAAAAACAATGTGCAATCCAGTTTTCTTTGGCATGCATGCATCAATGCTATTTTTACGCTGAGTTTCGCGAGAAGTAATGACGGCCTCACATATAGTACTTGAAGATAACGCTTTAAAAAGGTCGAAACTCTCTTTTCGCAGGAGTTCTTATCTAGATATTTATCAAAACGTTACAACGTCATTGACAAAATATACCTTATATTTTATACATTTTCAAAATTGAATAGCTTATCCTAGGGAAGTAGGTCTAAACCCCTTTTCTCATATGAAAAGGGTACTTTTATGTTAAGTGACTTAATTAGGTTTAAGCGTTTTTGATAAAACATTTTTTTGGCGATTGCATTTGACAATGCGAAAAGGTAGAAAATGATATTAAAGTTTGTTCGTTCACGGCAACTGTATGGGTATGATATATCCATCCTACGCGTGTCACTAAGTAACAGTTATATGGTTTCTAAGAATAAAGTTTCTAATTAACGTAAATCCTGGTCGAATCGCTCTCTCGATTATGGCTGCATGAAGTAAGACGTGACAAAGCTTCTTTCACCTCCATAGTGCGACGATTAATTCTAATGATAAAATAAAAATAGCTATATCATGATATCGGTTCTCCTTCTTCTAAACATGGTGGGTTTTTTATTATATGACTCGCAGGCACCATTGTGGGTTCGGTACGTCCTTGAACACGAAACTTTTGATCTTTTAATCCCTTTCTTTGCCTCAATTCCCCATTATATATACATGGACTACAGCACCATCTTCAGTGCTCTGCCGCGTTGCCTCCGCTACGCCCATGATAAACACACGATTTAAGAAAGGGCGACTATAATATTAGATAATTCATCGTAAGAAATTTATAACCTTCATGCCAGGTCGTATTTAGGTGTATATAGATATTCATTTGAATACTTACTTCAAATATATTATGAAATAAATTTTTTATCTGTCTGTATACATATATTTCTGCCAGAGATATTCGATTGACAGCCAACATTTTTTTTTGTTTTCAGGTAAAACAATGTCCCTTAAAACGTTTCTAATTCCACTCTTGCTGCTTACAACTGCAGTTCAAACAGGAGTTTCATTCAACGTTGGTTACGTCACAATGCCATTGTTTGAAATGTTTGTTAAAAATCTTCCTCAAAATCCAGATGACACCGCAGATGACTTCACAAGTGACGATAACCAGCAAGCCCTAAACGAGTTTTTCAATAAAGTCAGAGTTATTGATGCTTGGAAGGCAACAACTCTGGATTTGGACCTTTATCTTCGGGATAAAGTAACAACTATTATTACGGATGCTCGAGTACAATTTGATCGGAAGACAATCGTCGCTGCAAATCTCGTTGGATACAATTGTACGCGTTATTGTTACAATGTAAGTGTTCCATTAATCTTGAACGTGACTGGGTGGACTGAGGATAGATTAAATGGTAAAGTTCCACCTACTGTTCGAATGGCAGATATTCATGAAGCTGTTGTGAAAGCTATTGAAGAAAGATTCTGCTGTAACATGACCCAAATTGCGATCGATTTAGGGCTTGATCCAATTCTTGGCGTCAAGAAAACATCAGCTTATATCGATGTTTGGGAAAGATTTGTACCGCATGTTACCGAGAAAACAATTCAATGTAAGGCTGACGCATTACAAGTGACCTCTTCGGAATTGGCTGAACTGTTACGTACAGATTTAGCAACACTTCGTAGTTATGATCTTAACCAGATGGATCTGAACTTTTTCCCAGCATATGAAGATCTTTTACGTCGAAAGAATTTGTTTGAAACTCAATCGATTGTCACCGGAGGGCTTTTCAACAACTGGGAAAGCAGTACCATGGCCCAGTTTGCTGACAGGGTTAGCAGCTTTTCCCTTCGTGATTTGGAAATATTATATCGATGGGAAGCGCCTCAGCTCTTTGCAATTGAAAATATCCCAATGTCAATTTTTCAGTCTGGTTGTACAACTGTACCATTAGTTGAACCTTTGTTCGCCGTGTCGCAAACTCTGTTTGGTCATTCCACAAACCTACCAATATGCAATGTCGCTTTTCTTTTATCAAGATCTTTTGATGAGGTCAACACGAAGTTTACAATTTCTTCATTGTCCGATCAAAACGTTTTAGAGATTTTCCGCACATCAAGTGGAAACCTGAGATGGTTTGATATCTACCAACTTCTTCAACTAAATATTGATGAGGGAATTTGGGTAGAGACGCCAACATTGACTCAAATTGCTTTGTTTCGTGGAATAGCTTTAAATAGTCTCACAGCACAAAATTCAATTCCAATGGCCATATCCAATATCAAAACTTTTAATACAACATCAACTCTTAATACTATCATGCGTACTAACTACAATTCGTTTTTAACGAGATTGCTCAATACATATGGTTACTCCTCGTCTGGTCTTGCTCTCAGCGCTGGTATTACTGAGGCACAACTTAATTCCTTGACAATTCAGGAAGCACATAATTTGATCATAAACTCTATTGAAGCAAGATACCGAATAAATGATGTAGCCGCTCTCCTTGGCATTGCTCAAGTTGACACTCATGTTCTTATCAATCTTCCATCATTTGAATGGGAAAAAGTTGTGGCAGTAGCTATTCAAAATGCTTTCGCACAATCTGCGGATGCATTCTCCGTAATGCTCAGTGCCGGGGGTGTTCAAATTTCTACCATCGAAGGAACTTTTCCAGCTATTCAAGTTACAGACGCGGTAACATATCATACAAATAGAACAACACCAACGGAACTGGCCAGTTGTCTAAATAAGCAACTGTCGGATATTTATAACATGTCTTTTGCTGAATATCATCAATTGCACATCAACAACATAGTACCTTTACTTAGGATCAAGTTGCTTTTCGAAGTGCAGAGTATGGAAACGCTGCTTAATTCTGGAGCACTTGATTTTGACGATGTCAAGTATAAAAATGTCACTGAAGTCATCACTCAATTGACAGGCATGACAATCGCAAATTTGCAATGCCTCTACGGCTGGTCCAATGACTTTATAAACACAGATCTTGCTATAACGTTCCAGGAAGCAAATGAAACCCGCCTCTGCAACGATTTTCTTGGTCGGACTATGTTTAACATAGTAGCAATTATATCTCAAACTCCCAGCAAAGTATGCTGTAAGTACTTCATGACTTTTATAAAAACAAAATCTGTTGCCATCACTGCATCAATGATAGCTACGCTGGTCAATTTTTTGCTTGAGAACGGATCTTAATACGACTTTTTTTCTTGATATTAAGTACAATAAGATTCAATCTACAGACATACCAGTCCTTTGAAATTGGTAGATATGCATGTTCGTTCAATTTCCACGAGTGAGGTATATTGTTTTCGACACGAGAACATAAAGTTTATTATATGGAAAAAATTAAAAGAAACTCAATAATAAAAGAAAACAAAGCTGGAAAACTTGCGATCGTCATTACATATATTTTTTTTCATATGAGCTTTTGGTTTTCGACATGACCAATGTCCATATAATAAGTATCATTATCTTATTCCATTTTTCACTATTGTTTCATATTTTTTCACTACTTTTCATTTATCTATTTTATCTAAAGTTCTATGTACGATTGGCCCGTGTGGACAAAACACGATGTGCAGAGACGTTCCTGATTCATATGTGTGCACCTGCCTTTCTGGCTATATAGGCAACCCTAGTGGAGGTGGAAATTGTATAGGTGAGATATTATTTTACTGTTGTGACTTTCAACTACTCAAGAATTTCTCAAAAAGAAATTTTAAAAAAGGGAGCATATAAAATTATATTTATTTCTCCCATCTTAGATATTGTTGATTTTCTGAATTTTAACTAATCCGGAGCACTCAATCTCTGCACTCACTTTTACGCTCTTATATAGAAAGTATTTATAAGGCCGGACTTGTGTCTACTAAACTTCTTTTTCAAGATAACCCTGAATGTTTATTTGAAACCGATGATTGTCATGACAACGCCACGTGTAGGGATGTACCCGGGTCGTTTGAATGTACTTGTAAAACGGGATTTGTTGGTGATGGAAGAAATTGCACAGGTACAGTGTCTAGTTTTGTTTATGATTGACTAAGAATATATAGGATTGTTCAGGGGCCGTTGAAGATCGTTAAAAATTTCACCATCAGCATTTACGGAGTGCTAACATAATTATGAATATTTTGCCTCCCATCGCATTTACCAATCTTCCGCGGCCGCAGGGATTGTTGCAGGTCTAGATCCTTTTCAATCGAAATTGTGAAAAAAATGCCACCATGTATTTCAAAGTAAAAAAAACTTACTCCAACCATATCTGACGTACATTTAATCTTTGTAGATATAAATGAATGTAATGCTGATCCTGGAAGATGCGGTCCTAATGGTATTTGTAGAAACACAATTGGTAGTTTCTTTTGCGACTGCCAGGCTGGATACAGGTGGAATGGAAGTACTTGTGTTGGTAAGAAGCTTCGCGTTAAAAAAATGAGATGGATAAACATATAGGGAGAAAACAGTTTGTGCATGGGTCGCAGGAAACTGGCCTCTCGTTGGTGACCTCGTAAAGGACACCGGAATGACGCGAGTGAATAAAGGGGGAAGGTTTTCACTTCGGTAGCCACTCAAAGAGGAGACATCGTTTGTTAAACTTCGTTTCATCTTCTTTTTTCCTCTCCAAGATAGTTTCGGTGTTTTTCACTAAACGTTGGGGCTTTCTTAAAGCCGATGGTTGCACCGTTGCTTAAAAAATAGAATGTAATACCTTAAAATGAAAGGGCTTCAAAATCCTTTACCCCTTGTCGATGTTGTAATTAAGGGCAAGAAGAGCAGCTGCCCCTGCTATGTCCATAGTAAACTTCCATATCCATATAAACTTCCATACTCTAATTAATAACCAATACTATTGTCAATGATATGAATTTTTGAAAAAAAACCAGTGTTAATTTGTTTCTAACCCCGTGGTATTTTGGTGCCCAGCCGGAACCTGATGCCGGGACATACTTCCCTTTCGCTCTCCTCATCTCAGCGGCGCTGAAAATAGAAATATTTTTAGTGACAATTATCATGCATGGTTTGTTAATTGAAGGTAAACTCATTGATTTTATTCCTCTTTTTAAGATGTTAACGAATGTACTGAGAATTCTGATGACTGCCATTTCGCAGCCATTTGCACTAATAATATTGGCTCATTCACGTGTCGTTGTCCTAATGGTTTGTCTGGCGATGGACGAAATTGTGTTGGTAAGAACACCAGATAATCTTTTTCATAGACATCAGAGAAAAACGTTCGAGTATGCAGTTGCGAAGCAAGTTGGATAGTAGGGGAAAATTTATTCACGCATTCGTGTTCAACAATGTTTATGCGCATAAAATTGATGGACTTTTTTATTTATGAACCGAGTAAAAACCCACATCCAGCGTTCTTCAGGCCACACAGATACTATTTATTTTTTACGCCCGGAACGCCAATCTTTTATTATTACGAAACATAAATGATTAGATTTTTTAATGGAAAGGTCGACTCATATTAGCACTCTAAGGTTCAGTTCTCAAGTAAGATATTCACAATGCCAGGAAACGCAGGGTTAGGAACCCCTAATAATATATCGAAGGGAGCAGAATATCTTTCGCCCCTCTAATAATACGGGGCTTTAAAACAAAATGCTTTAAATTGTATTATATTGAGAATGCTTTAAATTGTAGTATTTCAAATTGTATACATGTTGTAGTTTTCGCTCGGGCCAACCATGGTGGCTAGCGCCTCGTTATCGTGGGCGCCCCCAAATCCTCGACACCTGTCATCTTCCAATGCCCCTGTACAATCTCATTCTTTGATTTTATTTGATTATTCTAGATTAAATACTGTGTTTTCTACTTCAGATATCCTGGAGTGCAGTTTTGCGCCACAAAGTTTTCCTTGTCATGTAAATGCTGATTGTACTGAGACGTTTGGTTCGTTTGTATGCCGCTGTAAAGACGGTTACACCGGTGATGGACAAATATGTACTGGTAAGTGGTCAGAATTTTCTACCAATCCCTATCACCAGTCCTCTGCATTGGCCATAGCATGCATTGCTCTTTAAATCTATGGTTCTCAAATGAATATTTTTGTGTTTTTCTTTTTAGACATTAATGAATGTGAGATTAAAACAGATGATTGCCATGTGAATGCAACTTGCTTCAATACTGATCCTGCATTTTTTTGTCGTTGCCACAGTGGTTTCACAGGAAATGGAAAGCAGTGTGCTGGTAATTAATTCTCGTTAATATTGTATGAGCTTTATGTACATTTGTTGATAAACCTTCATGATATGTTGGAGGTTTTAGGACAACGAAAGCATATATAAACATTCGGTAAAGTTAAACATGCCTATGTTCTGCTAAAACACCTTGTTCGATGACTATTAAATACTACCAGAAATTAGTGACAACATGGCTGTCGCTTGTGTACTAATTTGCATTTCATCCAAACATGCAGTCGAAGTATAAAAAGACGTAAAATCCCGGCAGCCATAGACTTTGGGGACTGTTTGTCGACTTCTTGATTAATAAATCAGCCTTGGAAATTTCTGCAATCTGCCAAATGGAATAATAGTTATATTATTCAAAAGTTTTGGTCGTTCGTGACGTCGCTCGTATTCATACGAATATTTAATGAATTGACGTGTAATTAGAAAGAACTTTCTTATCTTTCTTATCTTTAACTTTCTGTCTTTCTAATCGTGAATTTATATACAAATTTTTCGGTATGATCCGGATTTCTTCTTCAATCACTTTAATCTACCTGCATTGTCTCATAAAGCATACGAAGCGTCGAAGCCTATGTGTATAATTAACCACATCTGAACACGATCACTTGATCAATTGAACGTTGAAATACCCAGTTTATCCTATAATAATACCCCAAATCCTATCCTATAGATATTTGATATCCTATCAGCTTAAACAGCCCGAACTAAACGAACATTATGAATAGGTGAATTTTCATCTACCCCTATCTGCACCGTAGCGGTTAAAGCTCTGCTCTGTAATCACCAAGGCGAATTAAGGTTCGATTGGTAATTGCCGCTAAATGAAATGCATTTCATACAGTTTCGCAACGTTCCTGGTTAGGTCCTACAACAAACGCGTGTCAATTTACGCTTTCGTTCTTTCGTAAGCACAATTATAATTCTTATTGGCAAAGAAAAAAATCAGAAATGAAATGGTAGGCTATCATGATGGTATATACTTTTGAATGGATATAACTTCAGCATAATGCCAACATTTTTATTTAATAGACATTAATGAGTGTGACCAAAATTTGGACAATTGTCACGACAACGCCAGCTGTATAAACACCATTGGGTCGTTTTATTGTGATTGTAAAGACGGTTTTAATGGAAATGGTACTTATTGTTATGGTAAGTAGATGTTTTAATTCCGAAACAGCATAGAAATAAATGACAACTGATTAATTTATTCTGAACATACAAAAATTCATGTATAGTTTCAAATGATTTAGGCGCTTTTCTGTTATGATTAACTGCTTACTGTCTTACTGTTACGACTTTGAGCACGTGATCCGATCTGGACTGGGCACGAAGGACAATTGTGTTTAATATCTCGTTTCGCACGTACTGTCTAAAACCTCGTTTTGCAGTTAAATTGTAGTTATTTCGAAATCCTTGATAGTGGTTGGTTATATTTGCACCAATCATATATAGTTAATGCAATGCCTATTTTTTCCTGATACAAAGCCAAATTTTGTCACCTATGATAATCTGAAAACCTATAGGCATCGTTCGCAAGTTGGATAAATTCGCTGGGAAGCAATAGTAACCAATAATGTTCTCTCTTCAAATTATTTACAGTTGCTGAAGTTTCATTCACAAAGGCTTCACACGTTGTTAATGAAGGGGGAGATGTAGCAATTTCCTTTTTACTCAATGGAGAAATAGATGAGAATGCTGTTGTAACGTATGTTTCAGTAGAATCGTTTTTGTATATGATATCTTCGTTTATTAAATGAAATTAAAAGGTCTACTAGGCGGTGCCACTTAAAGCGGGGTGTCACCTTAAGTGGATACTGAGATCATACTCCTCATCGAATACTAAGGGTGGGGTGTTGGCATTGAAATAATCTTACCTCTAATGTATGACCATTGTAACAATGACTTTTTGTTTGATTTTCTCCCCCACGAATTGCTCTGTACCTAATGTAAAGCATAATCATAACAAGGTCTTTGTTTGAAATTGGTGGTAAATTTTAGTATTCAGGTTGGAGGATCAGCAACAGAAAACGAAGACTATAGCCCACTTACTAAAGTATTCCTTTACACACCTGGTGGTTCGCGTACGAAAACTTTTACGATAACTACAACCGATGATCAACGGCTGGAGGGATTGGAGACTATCGTTTTAACTCTTTCATCAGTCAACAGCCATGTGACCCCTGGCAATATTCCTTCAACAACGATAACTATTATCGACAATGATGGTTTGTTCATTTTTGAAATTCCTAGAATAAGATCATATAATAACACAATGGCAATTTAGATCCAAAAAAACAATCAATTTAAATCTTAAGATTTTGGTCTATTATGATAATGTAATAGCAGACATTGTCTTGAAATTCGGGGGACCTCGAAGCACCATACAAATTTCAATCAATCGATTAATCAATCTAATTGAAAACGGTTAACCGTTCGGAGTGCACTTTTATACCGGAGGTTTACGTAACGTAAGGTTCCACTATCATTAGCGATGTGCGAAAAAACTTTCCCGTTTGAACGGACACATGTATAAGCTTTATTTCTACCTTTCTCCCCCGTGTTGTGGTCTATTTACCTCGCTTTCCTCTCAACACCACTGAAATTATGCAAGGGCTTTTTGAATATGAAACAAATGTAAATTATTTATTTCGTCATCGTTGATATATTTCCAAATATTCTAATTTTATATTTATACTCCTCGAGTTTTATTTTTCCAACACTCGGATATATATAAATATATTTTAGCTATTGCTGTGGCATTTTCAAGTCAAACATACACAGTTAATGAAGATGACGATTTTGCAAACATCACTGTGCAAATAAACTCGGGTATTGTTGAAAGGAATTTCGTTGTCAGGTAATATTTCAGGCTTTTCAGCATCCATAAATTTCCTTAGATTTAACAAATGATCTATGCTTTCGATCGTTAATGAAATTTTTAGTATTTATTAGGTTTATCTACCTTAAATAGTTTTATAGATTTGTATTTTCCAACAAGGTCGGAGGCTTTATTGAAAAGAATTCTGAGATGAATGAATTTACTCAATAAATATTATCAGAAGTATTAATAGAAATATTAATAAAATATCAGTTTTGAATCATTTTGATTGTAGCCTTTCGACGAGTTCCGGGACAGCTTTGGCTGGTGCAGACTTCACCACTCATTCTCAACAATTAACCTTTTCTCCTGGGAATGCTGGCTCACAATTGGTGCGCATCCCGTTAGTGGATAATTTACGTGTAGAGGGTGACGAACAATTCTTTGTTTCATTATCAACAACGGATCCTGACGTGAATATCGTGAACAGTCCAGCTACAGTTACTATAGTGGATGATGACGGTATTTATATCTCTGAGTATATACTGAAGTTCGATTTCCTTTTATTTTATACTTTTCAGCAAGATACTTTATAGGAAATGCTGTTTTTAATTTTAATTTTTCCTTTTAATGAGGTTTATCGTAGTCACTCACGATATATTATTGGGAGATTTGAGACGAATGCCTTCATGGCCGCATCTTTGAAATGCATGAATCAGGAACATTAATGCATTTATGTAAATCAGTTTTTATCGTTTATAATTTTCTTTAACAGTTGCTACAGTAAAGTTTCAGTCAAGTACTTATGAAGTTAGCGAAGGTGGTAATGAGATTACCGTGAAACTTGATATTACTGGAGTAAGAGATGTGAACCTAACTGCCAGGTAAGAACTAGTGTTGGACAAGCTAATATTTAAAAAAATATATATTTCAGATTTTTAAATACGGGCCATCCGCGCATGATATTGATGTCCTCCTAGCTTAAACCAATGATACACTGGAATATAACGAAAGGATTAGTCGACCTAATTTTGAGGCCTTTTTGGGGCTTATTATTATCAGTAAAATAAATTTTCACTTATCGCGTAACATTTTTAGGCTTAATACAGGAAATGCCGGAGCAACCGCTGGAGCAGATTACACTAGTATCACTAATAGAGACGTTAATATCCCAACTTACGCCAACGTCATATCGTTAACCATTCCAATTCGTGAAGACGGTATACTTGAAAATAACGAAATATTCACCGTAACTGTGACATCGCAGAGTCTTCCACGTTTGATTACTGCAAATCCTGCAATCACAATTGTTACAATAATGGATAATGATGGTACGAACAATTATGTTATAATTCCATAGGCGAAGGCCTCTTAAAATTTTATTACTTATTTTTGGCAAAGTGGCTGAAGTTAAACTATGAGTGCTCTCCTTTACGCAACAAAACGGTCTGACTTGGACTTGAATAAGTACTGATTTAAAGTGTTTTAAGGACTCGGTAATTGTATATATCATTAAGTTTACACTTGATTAACGTGGTAACGAAGTTTTATTGCCATCCTAAACGAAATAGGTACTACCACCACTACTACTCAGTCCTATTTCAAATTCAAATTACGGCTGGGTTGACCATGCTTTTGATTGCATAAAAAGAAGCGTCCTACGGTCCACTTTTGTCTTTGTGTTTTGGTTTTATTCATGTTTTCTCCATAAAGTCTTTTGTTCACTTTTCTTTCTGTAGAGAATGATATATAGACTGCATTTTTTATTGAATATTTTTTTCTAGTTGTATCCGTTGCATTTTCTCAATCGCCATATTTCACAGAAGAAGAAAATAAGAATGTCAGTGTTCGAGTTGTTGTCACCGGGACATTGGAAAGAAATATTGAATTAAGGTGATTGTACTACTTAGGGTTTATTTCTCAGTATTTGCATGCTCAGTTGCTATTAACTTGATCGTGACGACTGCCAGATAATTTACCACTCGTGCAGCCGAAGGTGTCAATTAACTCTCTATACCCCGTCATTAAAATCGAAAGAGTATAAATTTTTCGCAAATTTGCTCCGAAATTAAAACACTATTGAAATAATCTGCCTATTCTATTCTCAGCCTGTCAACAAGAGATGGGGATGCAATTGAACCAGATGATTATCAGCAAAACACGAGAGCGCTCACTTTTATCCCTGGAGGTCCGAAGGAAATTGACGTTCCCATCCAGATATTCGAAGATGTTTTGATTGAAAACACGGAGACTTTAACCGTTGAATTAACAACAACTGATCCAGATATCGTATTTCCAAATGGAAAGACCGCAACAATCACCATTAATGACGATGATAGTATGTTAATTGTCCATTCGTGCATAAACAACCTCATTAGTGACATTCTTAGATACCTAATTTTTGTTTCTTTGAAATAGCTGCTAATGTTTTTATCCGAAATGATCAATATGTATTCCTCGAAAATGCTGTTACGACGAACATTCCCGTGGAGCTCCAAGGCAGCCTGGCAATAACTGTCTCTGTGAGGTAAAAATGATGTCCTTCCGCCCCTTTGCTCCCTCGTAAGTAATATTTAGTATCACGAAATAAGTGGCGCTCTTATCATAAATATTATATCTTTTAATGTAATTTAGATTGTCCACTGTCCATGATACTGCTACCTGGCCTTCTGATTTCGCTGCAATTTCTAATCAGATTATTGAGTTCAAACCAGGAGAATCTTTAATAAAACAAGTACCAGTAAATATCGCTGATGATGAAGTTGTTGAAAGTACAGAGACGTTCTCTGTTACTTTGTCCACTCAAAATGCAAAAGTTGCAATTGGAACATACGGAACTGCAACAGTTTCTATCATTGATAATGATCGTAAGTACATGTATATCACCAAATTAAGATTAAAAATAATATTGATGCTACTTCAGGAATAATTCATTGTAAAATCAGTATCAATTTTAAGTACATTCATGCAATATTTTCAACGGTATTCCTTAGAACTTCGAGTAAACTTTTCCTCAAAACATTACGAGGCAGATGAAGATTCCGGTTTCGCTTTGATTGGCTTGATGTTACACGATGTTCTTGAAACCATGTTAAAAGTTAGGTGAGCAAAAACATATAACTATAACGTATTTTATTTTTGGCGCGTAGAAAACTAAATACCACGTTTACCTCTATATATAATAGGGCTTTCAAACGAAAACAATAAATTTTATAGCAAAATATTGACTGAAACTATCATACTAACTTCTGTACGGCTAAAAATAAATGGGATGAATAATCTATTTCATTATACCCATGCAGGTTAACACCATCCAATGGGACAGCAACAGAACCACAAGATTTCCCTTTGATAAATTATGATGTTACTTTGGAACCAGGACAACCCCGGATCGTTTACCACAAAATTAATATTACGAATGATATGCTGGAGGAATATGATGAACATTTCATCCTTACGTTAACTCGAATTGATGTAAATGTTCAGATCATCGAAGCAAGGATTGCCAACATAACAATTGGAGAGAGTGATGGTAAGTAGACTAACTCTGCAAATTGTAGAATGATAGAAATAAATATCATTTAGAAAACGCACTAGCACTGATTCCCTAAAAAAAACTAATCCCGAACGAAAAATTGTCATTTTCTATACAACGAGCTATATAATTATGGATCTATAAAGCATTTATGCAGAAATATATGGAAAGTATGCGGAAGAGCGTATTTGCATGATCGAACACATTTCCACGTTTTCTTTGCTAGCAACTGCATGGTCATATTCATATTCATTATTTTCTGTAGATATTTTCTTCTGTGATCCGAATGCCAAATCATATCCTTGTCACATCAAAGCAGATTGCGTGGATGTTCCCAGCTCTTTTGAATGTACTTGTGTTAGTGGTTATGAAGGCGACGGAAAGTTCTGTACCAGTGAGTAAAATTCGGATTAGATTAGTCCTCTTATGTTACATACTATATCAATCCTGACGACGCAATGCACTGACGAAAAACAGTGGCCTCGACGGGAATATTTTTGAGGGAGCAATTCTTGCACGCTTCAGCGCAAAAAAATGGATTAATTTGAAAAAAAATATAAAAGTATTAGAGCTTGAATTGAGCGATTAAATTTAACACTTGTAATATATGGTTAGCATTACTTGGTGCAAAATCTCAAAGGAAAAAGTCACGCAAATAAAGGGGGCAAGATGGACGGCTAGATTTTTACATTTTTTTTTCTAAGAGTTAGTTACTTTGATTTCAATATGTCCTCCATTTTCACCGTATAGACAAAAATGAATGTCTAACTATTCAATGTCCATTCAACGCCACCTGTAAAGATACTATCGGCTCATACACATGCATCTGCCGTGATGGTTTCCGAGGAGATGGCGTTACCTGTGTGGGTAAGTATCGCTTACTACTTTACATGTTTTCATATTTATCAAATCAGAATCTTTATTACTCCCTTGCTTGCAACACGAAATTCCTGCCGTTGTAAGGTTGATTTATTTTAGCGAAACATTCATCAGTTCTATATCACAAAAGCAATAATTTTACATTGAATTACACTCAAATACCTTCAGGGCAGGTGAATGCTTTACTATAGACATGAAGATAAACTGTATATAAAGCCAGCATTTCATATTTTAGATTAATTATTTCTCTTACAATTGGTAGTAACGTTGTTACAAAGCAATATTCATCCCTACCTATACATTTTGACAGATATCAATGAATGTGGCGAAAACACCCACGAATGCCATGAGCAGGCCACGTGTTCAAACAATCTTGGAAGTTACACTTGTTTATGCAACGAGGGATATCATGGAAATGGAAGAAATTGTTCAGGTTAGCTGCAGTAAATCATAAATCAAAAATGCATGCCTGCATGCTTTTGAAATATGTTTGTTTTCATTCAGCGTGTATAGGACTCAGGGGCATGTTGTTCTAAGCTAGATTATATAAGCCATTTTGGCGCGTGCTGTGCCAAAAAATTGAGTGTTGGTATGGCATGGTCAAAACAATAATTGTGCTTTTTTTCTTTTCTAGACATCAATGAATGTGCCCAAACCAATGACTGCCACGTCGACGCTAATTGTATTAATAAAATTGGATCTTATGATTGTAAATGTAAGCCTGGTTTCAGAGGTGATGGAAAAACTTGTGACGGTAAGCACACAAATTGTCATGACATTGATAAAAATATATTGGTTGATCATGCCATAAGTCTATCTATACACGTTAACTACCATGTCGTTATAACAAGCAATACACCATACAATAGCCATGCATGTTTTCCACAAAGACTTGCAGTTGGTTACACCGTGGTTACACAGCTGTCAATGCGACACTATGGGCCCATACCCATGCAGCTTAATTAAAAACAGGTTTTTGCCATTTTTTTGTTAACACAAGGGTGCATGCAAGCACTTAACACAATCTAGTTCGAAATTCCTTCGCTTAAAATTTTCTATTCAAAAAGTCAGTTTATTTTTCTTTTCCAAAATTTACCTTTCCATGAAAACTATTTTTCCTAAAAACAGATATAAATGAATGCAACGAAGGTAAGGATGATTGTCACCGAGAGGCCACGTGTCACAATGGTATTGGAAATTATACATGTCGATGCAAACCCGGATGGCAAGGAAATGGAACATTTTGCATGGGTAAGCATTTTGCATGTAATTTGAAATCGATGAGATGAGAAAGCCTTGCTTATTTCGTTGCCGCGTCACCATTACTTTATATACCTTTATTGTTTTTTCTTTAGATATTAATGAATGTTTGCGACCTGAGGATAATGACTGCGATGATGTCAACGGCATGTGTTTGAACAACGACGGGAGTTATACTTGTAAATGCAACTCGGGGTACAGCGGTGATGGGGAGTCATGTGTTGGTGAGTAAAGACAAGAAAGGTGGAGGTTTTTTGTCCCACTGTAGCTATATCAATCATTCCTGGAAATAGCGACTTGCGTTTCGCAGTCCATGTATAAATCGTGCTCAAGGGGGCGATAATTTTTATGAGGGACAGATTTACTCCTAAAGAACTGGAAATTGCATATATATATATTTTCCTATGAAATTTAGATATCGATGAATGCTTGGAGGGTACAGCTACTTGTCCTGATAACGCTGATTGTAAGAATACAAATGGAAGCTACGAATGCATTTGCAACCACGGATTCATTCATCAAGGGTTGATATGTGCTGGTAGGACAATGATTTATATTTATATATTTATATGATTTATATCTATAAAAATTGCAATGGAGAACACATCCGTGGTTCAATTAAACTATTATGTAGTGGTGGCATATACAAACTCAAATTGAGGTTTCACCATGCATTGACTGCTAAATATCAAATCACTATTCAACAGCTAGCCAATACAATACAGTACAATTAGTTTATGAAAGAGTCTATTTAAAAGTCATTGCAAAGAATTGTTTGTCCTTGCGAACAAATTTGTCTCGTATAGAAAACGACCTTTCATTATTTCGATATATTTGGCACGCACGATTTAGTTAAAACTCGTGAATATAGTGCATACAAAAAATACAACAGTCATTAATCCAATATTTATTAGGCTACTTGCTTATTTTTTTTTGAACTCGTAGATAAGGATGAATGCGCTACTGGTGATCATAACTGTCATGGCAATGCAAACTGCCTGAATATACCTGGATCTTTTAATTGTCAGTGTAAAGATGGTTTTACTGGCAACGGGACATTCTGTTCAAGTTTGTAGAATTTATACTACTTGATAGATTTATTGTGCATATTTTAATACCGAATTAGAAAAGTAAGTGCTCTGAAATCAACTGAAAATATGACAAAATATGTATTACAAACAGATTGCTGCATGCATGTGAATTGAAGAAGGATTTTTTAAAGGCTCCCTATATATATATATATATATATATATTAATATTATATATATATATATATATATATATATATATAATATAAAAAGTTTGTCTCGGAAGCAATGAAGATCAGACAAAGGATATCAAACAACACTAAATCTAATCATTTTGCACAAACGTTTTCGCTTTATTGAAAGCTCCTCAGGTGCTGAATACTTTGTAAGAAATGTATATATATATATATATACCAAGAACTTAAAAGTGAAAAATTTCCTAACATGACGTCAATATTTTCAGATGTAGACGAATGTTCAATGAACCCAGGTCCTTGCGACCAAAATGCAAATTGTTCGGATACTGATGGCTCATTCGAATGTACTTGCAGGCAAGGTTTCACCGGGAACGGAATTGATTGTGAAGGTGAGATATATTATATTAAGACGGTCATTGAATAGGTAACTACATTTGACATGGATGCGATGTGCCGAAAATGCATGCTACTCATACAGCTAGAGTATGCTAGCTCTAAGTTAATTGGTTGAAACGAGATAACTTTTTTCAGCAATACTTCAAAACGCATGAAAAGAGCCGGGTTCTCTAATTGAATATTGCGCAGTCTGGGCTAGTAAGCCAAGGAATATGATTGCCATAGAACATCGTTGGTTTAAAAATTCGGCAAATTTAATGCATGATAATAAACTTACGTTGCTGAATTTCGTTCAAACATTTTCAACAGATATTATTGATTGTATTTTGCTACCACGACAATATCCTTGTGATGTACGAGCCACCTGTCTGGATGTCCCGGGATCGTTTACTTGCACATGTCCGTCGGGATTAACTCTTAATGCAGATCAACGAAATTGCGATGGTTAGTGCATTATCATTAATTCTTTTCGCTACACTATTTTGATGAAGTTTATGTTATCTTTATATACTTCAAACAGTTAATTTTCCAATGTGTCCCACAATATAAACAAGGGGAAATCTCAGTGTCATGTCGTAAAAAATTATTTAATATATCAATCAGATATCGACGAATGCGCAAGTAATGATACATTTACTTGCCATAAAGACGCAGATTGTGAGAACACTATTGGATCATACGAATGTAGGTGTAGGTCAGGTTTCGTTGGTGATGGTAAAACTGTTTGTATTGGTGAGTAATTAGCATGTCAATTCTTACTTTTTCATGATGATTAGGTCACTGTTATTTAGGTTGGTAGCAATAGGACGTTTTAATAAGAAAACTATATTACAGTACTATTACTAAGGAAACTATAAAAATATATTACTAAGAAAACTATAATACTATATTATTAAAAAAACTATATTACAAAGAAAACTATATTATTAACTCTCTTGATGGAAGGGCCTCAGGTATGCAAATGTTGAGGAGTGTTTTGGTCTATTTTAGGGAGTTGTTATACAACATTTGATACTATATTATAGACACTGTGATATCACCGACAGTTTTGCTATACTTAGAAAGATGCTTTAATATCTTTTTATACTTTCAGATACTACGTGCACATCTCAAAACCCATGTTCAGCTGACGCAGACTGTTCCGTAAATGTTACTTCCAATTCATTTACCTGTGTCTGTCATCAAGGATTTACTGGGGATGGTAGAACTTGTGATGGTATGCTGTTCGTGTGTTGTAATCTCCCAGTTAGGATTTGGGCAGAGCCATAAATCAATCCAGCCAATACTGTAACAAAATACACAACAATAGTTATTGGGACTTGGGGAACTCTGCCAACAGAAATTTTCGCTCAATTTTCATTTTGATTGTGAGGAGTTGACCCAAGCGGATTCACTTGCCTGATTACAACAGAAAGAAAACCGAACAATGATAAATATTCCTCACTTTTGTCTATGGTTTTGTAATGGAATGACAAACATATTTATAATCAATCTGCAATTCATTAAATCCCATTACAGACATCAATGAATGTCAGATCCCAGGTTTTTGTGGCGCCAACACAAGCTGTGTTAATCAACCAAGGGCATCTTACACATGTTCTTGTCTTGATGGATATGAAGGGGATCCAAAAGTTGGTTGCTCAGGTAGGATTACTTGAAGTCTATAAATACTTGAATATTACTTAATACCGGATGCGCTGTATTTTACGACGATGAAATAAAAAGATAAGGGCATGTGTACATTTTAGATGGAGTAAAACTAAAACCTTCTTTTTAAAGAATGAGAAAACCAAATTCACTTTTTACATTAGTTTTTACGTCGATCATTACAGCTGTCATCTCATTTAAGTCAATTCTGTGAAGTTTTCGATGTCAAAATGATGACCCAATGATTTATTTCGCGCAGATATTAATGAGTGCAAAAATAATCCATGTCACGTGAACGCTACATGCACGAATGAAGCTGGGACTTACCGTTGTGATTGCAACTCAGGCTTCTCTGGTAATGGAACTGTTTGTAACGGTACGTAAAAATATTAAGAGAAATTTATGTTGTTTAATACAGATGACTCTTACCAAAAATTATGTAATGACGTAGGACAAGAAAGATGTGCCTGACTTTTGAATAATGAACTTTGGCAGAACACATCCAAAGAGATAAAGATTTAGAATGATATTTGTATTTGTTTTATAGTATTTATTAGTATTTATAATTTCATTATCTAGATATCAATGAATGTCGTATTGTTGGAACATGCCACACGGATGCAGTTTGCAAAAACACCATTGGAAGTCATTATTGTACTTGTAATGCTGGTTATAGCGGAAATGGGAAATCATGTTCAGGTATTTTAAGATTGATAACGTTTAGGGTAATAATTACTACCCACATTACACAACTGCTTCACAAAAATTAAAAAAACAGAAAAACGACGGAATGCATTGCTTTATATCGGGCTAAATGATTGATTTGGGCGAAATGAATGGATGGGCTGCAAGTATAAACGCAAACCTGGGCCCATGCATGGCAAAATATGTTCGTGAAGTTTTATTATATAGAGTTTATTCATTACGTTATATCTTTATGTACAGATATCAATGAATGTGACGATGCATCAAATTGTCCAGCGAACGCTGATTGTCATAACTTTCCTGGTACATTTAATTGTACTTGCAAACTTGGATTTAGAAGAAACGGCGATGCATGTGAAGGTATAACTATTTCAAAGCCCCATTTAATTGCATTCAATAAGATTTACCAGCTAAGCTTGCTACCCTAACCCAATTTTATTAATGCTCCACCTCCTTCGAGAAAGGATAAAATTGGCACGCATGCATGCATATTGCATGGCCATGCGTGCTAGTAGACGGGGCTCACGTTCGAAGTAAATTAAGGCTGTGAATTAGGTCAAACCACGATATTAAGCTAGCTAAACAGTACGAGAATTATATGAACACTGTAACTCTTCGACCTAAATAGAGGGAGTGGGCTCGTAAAACGTGTTCGCGAAGATCCCACTATAGTAGTTTAATAGGTAAATACGGGATTGGTAGAAAACAGAAGAAAATCATTGAAAATAGTGCATATGAAGCGCCAATCAAGATGGCGACCAAACTAGTTTTTAAAAGCCTCGATATTTCCAGTGGATCTGTTTGACAGGAATTTATTCATGCCATAACGTTGCTGTACTTTTAGATATTAATGAATGCGATGGCAATCCATGTATAGAAGATGGCGCTGTATGTAGAAACACAATAGGTTCATACACTTGCACTTGTCCTGAAGAGATCTATAACAATGGAAACTTCTGTTACGGTAGGGAAATTATATAAGAAGAAATATAGTTTCACGTTTGTAAGTTGTAACTATGGTAGTATGGTTTGTGTCAGTGCCAATAAATGAATCTATATTGAGCTCGCTCTTGAAATACTAGCGAGTTTATAAGATGCACCAAATCTACGACAGTATAAAGACGCGGACGTGAAAACTGCTAGTATATAGTGTTAGACTGTTAGGAAACCAGTATTACTTTCGGCTCTGACTTTGTTTATCCCTTCTGGGAAACTGTGGAAATTAGAGCAGTATTACTTCACTCGTCCGCTTATAAGTTTGAAAATAATTATAAGTTTGAGGATATTGGTTCAAATTTTAGGTTCTAATTAATATAGCCGAACCAATCTTTTTGTTCTAATTCATATTTTCAAGTTTTTTGCTGTTGTAGTATACTGCCCATTCAAATTGGACCTTGCTTTTATCGTCGACACTTCCAATTCAATAAACGCACAAGACTTTGACTTAGTTAAACAGTTTATGACAGATAGTCTCAGCAAGATGGACATTAGTCCCGACGGAAATCATATTGCTGGCATATCATTCGGAAACACCGCAAATCTTTTTATGCGCTTCAATACAATCACTGGCTCAAACTTGAATCGTCGCAATCTCATTAATGAGTTCAACAATTTCCCAAAAAATGGTGGTGTGACAAGAATTGATCTTGCATTGCTAAGGGCTGAAATTGATGTTTTTACCGCGGCCAATGGAATGAGGACTGATACCGATATAAGAAAGGTAAATTCTGATTAATTCTAAATTTACAGTAATGGCTACTGGTGTGAATGCGCCTTCCCATTGGAAGAACATGTATGTAGCTACTACCTGTACTACTATTTAATGCGCCGCGATTTTAACTATGATGAAGATCAAGGTAATCAGAGCCTGTTGAGAATTTCCGATCGGGAGCAAGTGAAATCCTCCCATTTGCGGAACAAAAGAATGTCTGTTGGAAGTTCACGATAAAGGGAATGAACGAAAATAGAAATTTTCTTTACCAAACGTCGTAAGAAATTCTTACTGGAGTGGGGTGGTGGAACAAAATGGTTGAGTGGGGGGGGGGTAAGTAGGGTGGACGGAAGGAGACTCAGTCATTACGTTGAAAGAAGTGTTGATTTTTATGCTTTTTTATAACAGATTGCAGTGGTTTTGACTGATGGCGAGCAGACGATGGGGCCAGGAGTACCTCTAGAGCCGCTCTCGCATATTGCAAGAAGACTTCAATCCAAAGACATTACTGTCATTGCCGTTGCTATTGGCCAAAATGTTCCGAGGGATCAATTATTGAACATTACTAACTTCATTGAGGAAAATATTTTGGAGGTTGCGACATTCGCAAATCTTTCGTCAATTATCGATCAATTTGTGAATACATCTTGCACAGGTTTGTTCAGTATTAACCCACAAAAAAAATCGTGTTGCGCATGCCAACTTACTTACTAATTTTGCATTTTAATCTAATTTACTAATTCTATAAGCTAGCTTTCTTTGTGGTTATTGTTCAAAAATAAAACACTGTCACTCTAATAATTAAGGCTTTTGTATGCTGTATACAAATCTAAATATTTTGCGGTTTTTTTAAAGATCTTGACGAATGTAAGTTACATAAAAATCTTTGTCATGCCAATGCTAACTGCAAGGACACACTTGGAGCCTTTTCATGCCTTTGTAAAACAGGGTATTCTGGGGATGGCTTTGAATGTAAAGGTACATTTACAAGTAATTTAGATTACACTTATGCGTGTATTTACCCTGTAGTCTGGGAGACTAACCATTGTTCACATTCTAAATTATGTATTTTTTAGACGTGAATGAGTGTGATGGTGTGAATGAATGTCACGCAAATTCTATGTGCTCAAATACTGATGGCTCTTATGAATGTACATGCAAACCCGGATATTCTGGCGATGGACGACAGTGTTCTGGTAATTCATGAATACTACTATTCATAGACACAGAATATACAATTTAAATTCTGCATTAATCTCCATTAAAGAACGCGCGATGGTAAAGTCAACCGTGATATTTATTTTCAGACATAAACGAATGTGACAGTGATACTGATAATTGCCATGATAACGCAGATTGCATCAACAACATTGGATCGTACACTTGCCAATGCTCGCAAGGATACTCAGGCGATGGAAAGGTCTCGTGTCGAGGTAAACTGAAATCTCTATACTTCAAGTTATGACTTGTTTTTCGTGAAGTTACTTATCGCCTGGCGTAGTTATAAGAGTTGACTATTTTTTGTCCAGCAAACCACCCTTGGCTGGGCATTACTCTGTAGCTACGTCCTGGTATTGTTGATAAGATATTATAAAATAAGATGTATATAACGCATTTTCTGATTGGTCGAAGCCGGTGTTTCGATCGTGATGATGCATTGAGTTGAGCCTCGTCCCTACTGTCGACTGCCTCTCCAGAATTTTATGTTTAATAATCAATAAAAAATGACAAAGATTAGCGATACTTTTCCGTTTCAGTGAGTATATAAATGATTAATTGACATTTTAATCAACAGGACAAAATGTTTTACCAACATTATAGATATTGATGAGTGCGATGAGGGAACAGACAATTGTGATGATTCAGCGACTTGTAGGAACAATAATGGATCATTTACTTGCTCTTGCAACAAAGGTTTAACCGGAAGTGGCGTGTCTTGTCAAGGTACAGATTTATTGCACAGGCGTTATTTACACATTTATAATGAATGATTTCTACATAAATTTATTTATTTCTTCATACAACTTCTATACATGCAAATCAGTTAAAATTACAGAAATACACGACATTTATACAGGACAATATATACAAGAAGTGGCGCCTGTGAGGGCAGAGGTTGCTGCCCCATCCCCACCCATTTATATTAGTTTAAACTCAAGAGAAGAGGGGGGGATAGGAGAGGAAGGATATTTAGAAAGTAGTAATTCCATTTATTCTAGACCTTCCTAGAATTTGAAAGAAAATTCAGTGCCACCGATTTACAAACATGTAGCTGTGATGGTACAGCATGTATGTTAAATATACGTAGTAGAGCCAACGTCTCACCGGCCGAGGGATGAACCAAAGCAAATTTCATTTCATTCGTTTATAGATATCGACGAATGCAAAGAGAATACACATGATTGTCATGTGAACGCAAATTGCGTAAACATCTTTGGGTCTTTTAATTGCACGTGTTTACCAGGGTACGAAGGGGATGGGAAGAACTCATGTAATGGTAAGTTTGTCATCTGTATTATAATAATTATAACGGAACTGGTGGTTGATGTTATCATGTTTGGGAACTGGACACTCTATAACTCAATGGTCAAACCGCTGCGCTGAAATCAAAGAGCCGTGATGGAAGTTTGGCAAATCGCATGTTTTTTTGTACCAAATATCACGAAAGGTTTTTCGCTATTTAGATCAGGACGAATGTCAACTAGGTGAGGACTCGTGTCTTCAAGAAGCACAATGTAATAATACCATTGGGTCTTATTCATGTACATGTCCTGGAGGATACGAAGGAAATGGAAAAACTGAGTGTAAAGGTGAGCATATCAAGATCAACAGTCGGTGTTTCTGCATGACAAGCATATATACCCTATCCAATTTAGGTCTAAAATTTTAATTTAGCTAAAGTTTTCTCTTCATTAATTTTGTGAAAATATCACTATAATCTTCGATATATTACATACATTGACTTATTTTTTCGCTGCCAAAAGCGTCGCCAGATTTTCGGAGGAGGAAAAGCGCGATGCCGGTTATAATTAGAAAGCGCGCAGGTTATAAATAGAAAGCGCGAAGGTTATAATTAGCTAGGGTGTGAGAATAGAGGACATTGAAATAACATTGAAACTGACCAACGAAAGACTGGATGTTGTTAACGGGACAATATTAAACCTATATGTGCACTACAAACCAGTCTTGTTTCTTTTATCATTTTAGATGTGAATGAGTGTGTTGGTAACAAGGATGACTGCCATTCCAATGCAGAATGTTCAAATACTATAGGCTCGTTCGTGTGTACTTGCCAGGCAGGTTACAGTGGAGACGGAAAAAACTGCGAAGGTATGAATCTTGCTGTTATCAAGAATGTACTCCGGTATCTGAGTTTTATGTGCTTAAATGAGGCAATTCCTTTCCCTGAAAACCTCTTAAGTCTGAATTCCATAATCGTAATGACTATTCAATAATCTGTGCATTTTAGTGTCAGGCTGCACCGTTGCCTGTAATGTAGGAGCGACTTGTCAGAAAGTGGGATCAGAATTTAAATGCGTTTGCAAACAAGGTTACTCAGGAGACGGCAATGTATGCTCAGGTAAGCCTTGAGCTGAGGTGCAGCCCCTCCGTCCATCCACATGCATTGAGAACACTATGAAAGAATCTGCATGAACACTGAAAATTTAGACAATTTTCAAACAGTGTATCAACTAAGTCATCGAACCTAATACCATGCAAGGAAAATAAGTCATACTTTTATTTATTGTTTCAATAATTTATCTTAGACATCGACGAATGCAAACAAGGTGGTCATAATTGTCACAGCAATGCTAACTGTACGAACATTGAGGGAAGTTTTATGTGCAAATGTAAAGACGGTTATAGTGGGGACGGAAAATCTTGTAGTGGTAAGAATTTTGTTCTTTCTGGTAAACATGCACATTATACAAAGACTTGCGCCATGAGAGATATTCCACGCCTGTGTAAAGAGGCAGCAGGCATGTGCTATGGCTTTAGTAGTCTATTAATCTTGCATATTTGTCTTCATCTCAGATATCAATGAATGTGATGAAGGTGTTCATGATTGTGACAGCAATGCTGACTGCACAAACACTGAGGGAAGTTATATGTGCTCATGTAAAGATGGTTTTACTGGAGACGGAAAATCCTGTAGTGGTGAGGTTTTCCTAATGATGCGTACAAATACGTTTTGTATGAAGATATTATTTCATAAACAGCCACATTAATCCAGAATGTGAACAAATAATTGATTATTTCTCATTTTTTCAACAGCAAAAATGTACATATTAGCACCATGCATGCAGGAAATTGTCTTTCAAATCAACTGTTCTTTCCTATTTTCTAATGTGTGCTAAATAATCTGAATACTTTTAGCCACAGGCTGCACCGTACCCTGTAATGCTGGAGGGACTTGTCAGAAAGTGGGATCAGAATTTAAATGCGTTTGCAACCAAGGGTTTACTGGAAATCCATGCAAAGGTATAATTCTACTTTGTGTGCACAATTTTGTCCGTCCAGATTAAATTAACACGTCTTTGATACGTGTTCACTGAATGTTATCATAAAAACTAAATCGTGCGCTGATATATCGTCAAGAGTTCTGGGGCCAGTTGTTCAACCCTAGGTTAGCGCAAACCCAGGGCGAGATCATTGATTTTTATCCCGATCTTCTATGTGTATCTTAGACATCAACGAATGCAAACAAGGCGGTCATGATTGTCACAGCAATGCCAACTGTACGAACATTGAGGGAGGTTTTATGTGCAAATGTAAAGACGGTTATAGTGGGGACGGAAAATCTTGTAGTGGTAAGAACTTTATTCCTTTTCGTAAACATGATTCCTTACAGAAATTATTGATTTTATCCTAATCATGCATGTATGTTTATCTTAGACATCAACGAATGCAAACAAGGTGGTCATGATTGTCACAGCAATGCTAACTGTACGGACATTGAGGGAGGTTTCACCTGCAAATGTAAAGACGGTTATAGTGGGGACGGAAAATCTTGTAGTGGTAAGAACTTTATTCCTTTTCGTAAATATGATTCCTTACAGAAATTAATGATTTTATCCTAATCATGTATGTTTATCTTAGACATCGACGAATGCAAACAAGGTGGTCATGATTGTCACAGCAATGCTAACTGTACGAACATTGAGGGAAGTTTTATGTGCAAATGTAAAGATGGTTATAGTGGGGACGGAAAATCTTGTAGTGGTAGGAGCTTTATTCCTTTTCATAAACATGATTCCTTATAGAAATTATTGATTTATCCTAATCATGTATGTTTATCTTAGATATCGACGAATGCCTGGGTGGTCATGATTGTCACAGCAATGCTGACTGCAAAAACAACCAGGGAAGTTTCACCTGCAAATGTAAAGATGGTTACACTGGAGACGGAAAATCTTGTAGTGGTAAGGATTTATTATTTTTGGTAACAAGCGTATTTCAAAAGATTACTTCCAACTTCACCATATAAGGTATTCCAGCAATTTCCATTTCCAGGAATTTCAATTTCAGTTAAACGATGGGTTGATTAACTTTAGAAATTTTTGAATGTGGAAAATGTAATCCTGGCACCTCTGAATGCGTGAACAACCAATGTCGGTGCAAATCAGGATACGAAAATATCAACACAGAAGGAACATGTGATGGTTAGGCGCATTTCCCGTTTTGCATTTCTTATAATTGTACATTTAGAGATAAAGACAGAGGAAAATGAATGAAAAATCCCAGATAAAGAGTGACTGAAAATTCCGTATGAGTGTTTAATTATCATCTGACAAGAGTTGGGATGATCATTTCAATCTTGATGTTATTTTACTGGGACAGCTCAGGGTGGTTTTTTAGTTCAGTTCTGCTCTTTCTTACAAATTTATTCATAAATCTCCTGTTTGCCTTGATACAGATATTGATGAATGCGCACAATCTTCTGATAATAATTGTGCTGAAAATCAAGCTTGTAGGAACTATGCTGGAACTCACGAATGTTTCTGTACAAGTCCGGGAACATTTTTGATCGAGGGTTCTTGTGCAAGTAAGAAATGAGCGGGAAATATGAAGTAGGCTAGCTGTAACTAGCTTTATATAAATATGGCTCAGTATAATATACCTTCATAATTAAGTGGAAGTCAATTCTACGGATTGATCATCACAAAGTATGAAACTATATCATGGTAAACAGCAAACGAATTATGTCTTTTTCAATTCACCCAGGCGTCTCAGCTGTGACTTTGACAATCACAATTTTGGATCAACTATTCACAGCAGCTTTGGCCGATACAAGTTCAGCAGATTTCTACGATTTTATAACACGTTTGGAGGACCGGGTGAGAAAATGTACTATAGTAATTTGATCTCCGCTGTGATCGATCGAAGGAACAGCTAGTCTCAAGTTGCGAGGAGGTCTAGGTAGATCATGGTATAGACTAGAGAGTATACCGGATATCCAGGTAACTTCATCATGCATTTATGTCTATGTTCGTGACAGGAACTTTATTATTTACTCTTTGCAGTTGAATGCTTACTTCAAAAGAATGTATGAAAGCACATATTTGGACTCGTCAGTGTTGAATTTAAGGTAAAATACATGTAATGGGTGCATGTCTATCTTGTATTTCTGATAATTTTTTCATATAAATCAGTAAAAATTATTCATACCGATATTATAGGTAAAATACCAAAATAAATAAATAATATTATATATTTTTTTTAAAAAAATAACAAGATAACATTATTTTCTCAATCTATTTAGTAATGGCAGTGTTGTCGCAAAGGTCTTACTACTTTTTGAAAAGGACAAGGCTCCACAAGCAGACAGTTTGAACAGTATATTTATGGGAAATCTTAACACGACAACGGATAATAATAAGATGTTGAATGAATTTAAGATAAGCGGATCATCTGGGGCCGTAATAGGTAAAATTGGAGTGTATAATATAGATATCCATGCAAAACACTATATTATTATCAATTCTCAGACGTAGGTTCAGTGTAGTAAAAAGTCAATCAAGTGTTCTTGCATAAACTTGCAACGGGTTTGACCATCTACGGTTCTGAAATCGATTTCCACGTCAGTATTAGGTGTTAAACTTAAGATTGTCTTATATGAGGGTAGAAACTATAGGTGCGGATAATTGCGGGGATGCATATTCATATATTCGTGCCGTACGACGGCTCGCGCATGCGCTTACAAAAGAAATCGGCTGTCGGACAGAATGATGATGAATAGCGGATGCAACCCTCCAATTATCGCGTCCAGTTTCGCACCTTCGGTTTTCGCATGCTGTCATGCAGACATCACTCTGATCAGTTATAGTCGCTTTTTAGATTACGATGAATGTGATCCTACGTTAAACGAACATGTGAAAGACTGCCCACAGCACTCTTACTGCAAGAATAGTTATAGTTCCTACAGCTGTGAGTGCTTGAAGGGATATGAAAAATATATCGACGACATTTCGAGGTTCTGTCTTACTGAAGGTAACTGTAGCACACCGATACTTCGAAAAACTGTCTTGACCGTATTTCGCAGAATTTAGTATATAATTGGTAAAAAATATCTCGCATGGTACGAAAATGGCGTTTTTTAGGGTACATTATTTAATAACTCTTTATACACTTTCTCTATATTATCCATAGTGTATTATGCTTTTTCCATATTCTATTCCTATTTCTTATAATCCTCTTTAATTCCAGACGACGATTGGTGGATTGTGTACGCTGTAGTTTTTGGAGCAATTGGCGTTGTTGTGATAACTGTAATCATATTGTTCTGTTTCTTGGAAACAAGGCGAAATGAAGAGTTGTATGTTGTTTTTACAGATCTTCAATAGCACAATATTACTTACCAACATGCATAAATTATATATGGCTGCATTAATTTTGATCAAAACAAATTTCTCCGGTAAAACCAGATCATTCCTAGAATTTCATATTTAGATACACATTACATGAGGTAAACAGACCACACGATAAACGTATTGATGAAGAAGTTGCACCAGGGTTTCCTGGAAGCGTACCAAGAACAGATTCGAATGGAAGCCAATTGTTGTTAGGAACTGATAAAGGAGGACGTGCTGGATCTGAAAAGCTAGCGATGTATGAAGTAAACCCAATTTACGACACAACTAATGGTAAGATACTCACACACAATCGCATTTCATGAAACACACAAGGCTGTTTTACCTGAAATCACATTTTGGTGAATGCATATTGTAGAATATATAGATGGATTGCAATGTGCATTTTACAGTACTCCATGCAGTAAAACTACGAAATTTACCGGCATGCCTAAATGTAGTCAAATCATCGCAATATGAATTATATGATATGGATTGTTCATTAACTTCATGCAACAAATAAAGTTCCGATAAGTGTGTCCTTATATCTGTCACATGCTTTACACAAAAGCCGTGCCTCAAAAAAGCGAAAACTATGAAAAGTGATCAAAAATTGGTCGTCTCTGAAAATTTAACTTGCCTCGCAAACGTCAGATTGATATTTTTCTAACCAAAAAGACAGAAGAACTTGAGAAAATAATAGAAAAAAATTACCAAATCCTACGCCCATTCAACGATCTTCAATTCATTCGCGCAAGCTGACAGTTTTCCTCTCATGCAGCCATGAAGTATTCTGCATGGATTGAGAATATCTGTACTTCCAGATAGTCACAGCCAACCCGGCAGCATAATTCTTCCTACGACAGTTCAGAGATTGAAATAAATTTGTAGAAAATATTATGCATTCAAACAGAATTGTACATGCGTAATATATTTCTAATTATTTTGATTCTTTGAATCATCATTAAGTCTGAAATCGTCTTCTTTTTTTCAGGATAATTTCTGGATCACATTTTACGTAGAAAAGTGAACGATTTTAATCTTTTAGAAAATTTAGCACTACTTTCTAATACCATACCAATTTACAAAATTAATTAAAACCATCTATAGACTCATTTATATATACTTCTTTATATACAGTACATCCTTTGGACTTTTATAACTATACCTATGTAACTTTTCGCATTTTGTGTATTGCACAGTAATTATATAAATGACACATCACAGTCGTGTTTGGTACTTCGCATGAAAACCAATGGAACCGCAAAAGAAAGAAGCACAGCTTGGCAGAGGTATTTGGCCCCCTGCCGAATGCATTCTGATTCACCTAACTTCATCACGTTCTGTAAAGGACGAGTACAGGTGGATACGTTTTAGCAGCAATGCATGATAGTTGTTGATTACTGTTTTTTTATGTCTACTTCCTGTTGTACCTTGCTCAGACGTGGGCGCTGCATGTTCCAATATTTCTGGCTAAACTATTTATTTTTTCAAGAATTTTGTTTCAGTCTAATGTTTGGGGTTTTTAGTGGTTAACGTTAATTGACTTTTTCAATTTTATACTTGCCTGATTCAGATTTGGATGAAAGTTTGCCATGCATGTCAACCAGGAAATATTTTGGGGAAAGCTCTCCCTTGTTGTAGCTAAACACGCGAGGAAACACGCGGGACTAAAATTTTAAAACTGGCGCGCAAAATGCGCTTGCGTGCGCGGGAAACTGTGGCAGAACAACTGAATAACAACAGTATGGTAATGAGGAAGAAAATGGAGGTCGAAGAACCTTGTAAATAATAAAGTTTCTTTAATTGGCAACCTCTAGCAGCAAAATGCAAAAATCACCTTGTGAGGAGCTTGAAGAAAATTTTTATAAATTAGCGATCGGTGGCGAATATGTAGATAAATCAGCGAGTTTGCTGGGATGCATCTCTGCGTTGTACGTGAATATTGAGAAGAATTGCCAGTTTTATACCAGCACTAACGGCGATAACGAGACCATCGAGGAAACTAGTATTGTAGTGAAAGTTAATAAAGATGATGTAGTGAACGATGGTGCATCGTTCTTCGATGGTGCATCGTTCTTCGATGCAAGAGATGCAAATAGTGATCAGGGATTTCTGAAAGTTACTGCTACATATGAACAAATTGATTGCTTGACATATCTTCATAAGAAAGGTATTATCGAGCTTGTGGCCAACTTTCATGATCTCATTAACCAACAAAAGCGTAAAATAATGGTATTTCTAAATGAAGTAGGATTTACTGCAGTTCCCATTCCCAGTGAAGATCCATCCATGGGAAGGTCTTACAAAGCTATGAAGATTCTAATGCAGTGGCTATGCTGTCCACTGATGCCTGAAGTGGAATCTCAGCCAACTAAACAATATGATGACAAGATTGAAGCTATTTTTAGTGCATTAAAAAGCAAAACACAGTGCCCTTCACAATTAACAACCTCAACTGATGATTGTATCTTACAATCCAAGCCTAAAGTTATGAATGATGTTGATCTTGATAAACTTCAGCATCCATCATTGGTCCCAATGCTGAGGGAATATCAAAAGAGAGCTGTTAATTGGATGATTCAACAGGAAACTAAAACTTCTCCTGGAGGTGAATATTGATTGTATATAGTAGAACAATTCCAATTAGATTCACCCAACTGATTCTGCGTGTTGGTCTCTGACACCATTTTAAGCAATATTTATTGCAAAAGAAATATCTACAAATAAAATGAGAAAATACTATTTTATCATACTATATTTTTTACAGTAGATACATATGTCAATGTTACTATACAAATGGCATGATTTGTTATGCATTTAGTAGAGACAGAAGTTCCTCATCCACTTTGGAAAACAATCAATCTTGGTGGTGACAAACAAGCATCTTATAATCCCCACACAGGAAGGTATAGACCTAAGCCACATTTTTTACTCTGATATATTTGCTTTGCAAATCTTGAGATGATTTAACATAACAGGTTAGAAATATACCCTAATAAGATGCTGAAATTGTTGAAATGTTTGTTTCAGAATATGTAGAGATCTGATATTCCATCAAGGGTATCCTTCAGGAGGAATACTAGCTGATGAAATGGGACTTGGAAAGACTGTTGAGGTGCTTGCCTGTATTTTGAATAATCCTAGTCCATCAGAAACTATAAAGATAGAATGTGAAGAAATGTCAAAGTGTGACTGCCCCAGTTATTCTCCTAGTAGTTCTGGTAGCAATGAAAAAGATGTATTTGTGAAATATCCTGATGATGCCCAAGCTGATAGCAAGCAGCATTCTTTAAACCAAAGTAAAACTGGTGCAGCTGATGAAGAGCAAAAACAGCCTTTCCAGTTGTCTCAGAATAAAGAGAATCAGCTTCCCAAAATAATTGATGATGCTGGAGTGAATTCTATGTCCTTGCAGTCAAATCCACCATCTGCCACTATAATAAATATTGAAAGCAGCAATTCATCTCAGTCAGTTGCAGGACAATCTAATATACAGCTTGAAATAGATGAAAAACACCAGGTTGGCGAGTCAATCAAACGCTGCCTGCCACTTGATCCTCAGGAAAATGCTGAGAGATTTGGAAAGAAGGCAAGAACTGAAATATCCACAGTTAAATTGTCTAATTCAGTGATTGTTAGTGCAACTGGAGACCAAGAAAAGATAGAGGAGATTAAAGAAGAAGAGAAGGCAGTAAGATGTATTTGTGGCAAAAATAAAGCTGGTCCCCAGGAAGAAATTCTGACTTGCATAAACTGTAGCCTTTCCCAACACCCTAAGTGTGTTGGTTTAACAAAGGTGACTGATGAGAACTATGTTTGTCCCGATTGCTCAGTAAAGATGGTAAGTGATTGAAATTTGTTTACATGCATTTTTAGGCAATGCAGTTTGCCAAGCTGTTTTCAATCAATATAATTATGTCTAATTTATTTCACTTCATATATTTGGAGATAATAAAAGGGATGAATAGCTGAGAAAGAAAATTAGATCTACATAATATATCAGCTGGCTATAGAACACAGATGTGGGGATGAATCTGATTGAAACAATTATTGAAAAGATTTTATTTGTAGTTGTCCCCCCCCCCCTCCATATGTGAATGTAGTCCCTGGTTCTGCTTCTGAGCTTATAATAATTGTGAAACAATATTTTATTGTTTTGTAGCCATTACTGGAGTCTACCACAACTCTCATTGTATCTCCTGTTACAATTGCACATCAATGGCTTGATGAAATCCACCGTCACATATTACCAGGTTCACTTAATGTTATGGTATGTTCTCTAGCATTACGTGTGTATCAGGATTAGTCACACACTTGTGGAACGTACACCACAACTTGAGTGGAGAAACTATTTACTAATTAAACTACCGTACATTGTAATTATCCAACATGACTGAAGACGATCTACTGGACAATGACAATGCATGTGCATGTGCTACCCACATGTACCTGCAGCTATTATTACATGTATAATTATATACTATATAGGTTTATGAAGGTGTCGCCAAACAAGGTTTTGTATACCCCACTGTACTGGCTGAAAATGACATCATTTTAACAACGTATGAAGTACTTAAAAGGGACTTCCATCATTTGCCTTCCAGAAAAGGTATTTAACATTGGTTTTCCATTATACGAATTTTTTTAATCCAACGAAAAATGTACATGTCCTTGATTTACGAATTTTTTTACTTGATTGACGAATTCCGCCCAGCTAAAAACCGCGTTTAATCCCTGTAAACTGCATGTGCTTTTCTTATTGCTTGTGTTTCTATGATCTATGATTGATCGATGGATACCTTGCACATATTCTGCGAACTTTTTAATGTGTGTAAAGTCTAAGGACTGCAAAATTTCCTGTGCAATGCCTGACAGTGAAGCCTGCTTTTACTATATAGATAACCACAACTACCGACGTCCGAAGAGATATCCAACATGGCCGTGTCCACTCACCTGCATTAAGTTTTGGAGGGTAGGTTTTTATATCAAATTTAAAGGGTAGGTCGCGAACTCCTAGCCTGTGGAGATGCGAGTACTCTGCAAAGCACACTATATACAGTGTAAGGCATACGTAACTGCACTGTGCTGTACTGTACATGAACAGGAAAGCGTGTACTTGTGCAATTGAAGTCTGGTAATTTCTGCAAACGCCCTGTTGATCAATATTGAACATTGTGTTTTGATCAATTTTTGATGTAATTTCTTTATCAAAATATAGATTTGTCTTGATGAAGCCCAAATGGTTGAAAACACTACAGCGAAGGTATAAAGCTGTTTTGCACTCATAAGCACTAGCAGTATGTGTACCTGTAGCTAGACATTACCACGCGATTACATTAAACAGAACTATTGACTTAATTCATTGATTAGACCACAGAAACAGCTCTGAACCTTTCGACAGTGCACAGGTGGTGCATAACCGGGACACCCATTCAAAAAACTGTTGATGGTTAGTATGATAAAACTCTCTTATGTCAGGGTTAGCAATGTACAGTCAGTAGCTATATATAGGATTGGGTGTCTTCTACATTGTGTACCTAATCAATTTCTGGCAACCAACAACTACCCAAATAACAATCTTTGCAATTTCTGCAATTATTCTCTAGATCTTTTTGGTTTGTTCCTATTCCTTGGCGTTGAACCCTACTACCGTAGAACGTGGTGGAAGAAAATACTTTATGAACCATTTTTGAGAGGAAATATAAAACCTCTCAGTAATGTTCTTCGTAACGTAATGTGGAGAAGTGCTAAGAAGGATGTTGTTAACGAGGTTAGTTGCACTTCTGTAGCAGTAATTTTTAGGGGCTCTGTTGTCGTGAATTCCAAAATTTGCTAAATTTTTAAATTACAAGCAATGTTAATTTCAATGATATAAGCACTGCAGCGTGGATTTGCGCTAGAGCATCGAAGTAGCTACATATTCAATAATTTTACACCAAAACTGTTATTTCAGATCAATCTTCCAGAACAGAAAGAATCGATGAACTGGTTGCACTTCTCCCCTATTGAAAATCATTTCTATCGCCTTCAATACGAGGAATGTTCAACATTTGCATTTACGGTAAGCACAAAAATGAAATCGCATTTTGCATGTGGGATCACCTTTGGATGTACTAACAGAGCACTCAACATTACTTACATATCGCTATTTTACAGGAGTTAAATAAATTCCAAGAATCTGACACTGATCTGAATAGCCTGGACAGATACAGCGTGCATAGGGTGAGTTTGCCTATTTGAGGGGAAATCAAATGTAAGCAAAGAAATGCTGCGTTTTCCATAATTAGTTATGACGGTAAAATATTTCCACGTCGTCATTTATGTAGATGCTGTGGCCTCTTTTGAAACTACGTCAGGCTTGCTGTCATCCCCAGGCCGTACGCGGCGGTAATTACCATGCGGTGCAAAAGAAGTAATTAATATTAATATTTTGTGAATGCATTGTTTTTATATAGTATACAGTAGTGTGCAGTGAGTGAGTTCACCTTATATACATAATGAAAAGTAAAGTAAACTTACATATGGTGGTACACTTTTCAAGTACTGTAACTAGTAATAGCAGGAGAAATAGAACTCATACTGGATATCAAATTAGTTTCCGGGTTTTTTCTGCGAATTTAGCTTTTTTGCGTGCTAAACTGATCTCGATTGCCAGGCCGCTAATGTGTTACTGGAGCTTTACAGGTTTTAGTCATTGGTATATTTTGCATTCACAGTGTGATCACAATGGACCAACTGCTTGATAGTATGATAAACAAAGCTAAAATTGAAACCCAAGACGCGCATCGACAATTACTATGTGCATTGAATGGTACGTCAAACTTTTGTTACTCTATAACAGAAATGTGTACATATATAAGAGATCGTACGTCTGTATACAGTATAAACCGAATTTGTAAGAGAAATTGAAATTATTTTTGTTTTAAAGTCTTTTTAAGCAAGTCTTGTCATTTTATATAGGTCTTGCTGGGACATACATCTTACAAGAGAAAGTGAGTTTTATATATGTAATTGATTCATATTTCTACTTTTGCCATCTTATATACTATAATCTACTGTGATAATATTCATGCATGCACCCCAGATTTTCCTTCGATATCCAGTCGGCAAAGCAATCTACCCATTTCAATCAATGCATGCAGATTAAGACATTGCAAGAATATTGCAAGTATTCTTGTAAAAGGTGGAATGGTGAAAGATGCACTTGGTTCTTGATTTGTCGTAGCTGGTTTACATATGATAGTTGTTTCATTGAACTGAATGTATAGTTGCAGACGAAATAGTCACTGTTTACCTACAAAATATTTTGATTATAGTGGCAGGATTCGATTGACGTTTACAGAGAAGCAATAACATCGTGGAAGGAGCATGAAGAATTGTTCAAAACGGACTCCCTTCAGGTTAGTGTTAGCCTGCTCGCAGACTGAATTAAGGGGGAGCGGGCTATAGGTTAGTGTCTTTTGCATCTATTTTTGTCGTCGTGAACTTCAATGGGCGTTTTATATACCAATTTGATTTAGTGGCCTCGTTCAAGAGTTGAATTCTGTTACATTAGCCCCATTCAAAAGAGCCCCATTTTACTGAAAATTACTGTATAAGAAGTGGCATGCAATTTCGATTATTGACATGAAGACTAAATGTTGAAATTAACTGAAACTGTATAATATATCATTTAGAAACTTCATACATTACACAACCTTAACGAAATGTTAAGGAAGGTCGAGAGCAAGACGAAAACTTTGAGAGATGATTTTCTTGAACAAGAGGTATGGTTGAATTATTATTTATTCATGTTAAACAGTTTGATTGTATGAATGAAATTAATTGGAGTTCCGTGGAAGGTAAAGCGAATTTTCCAAAATTAGAAATTTCTTTTTGAGACAAATAATTCAAAGTTAAGCTTTATGTGCATTCTTCGTCTAATTATAGGCATCTGAAATAAGAGATAAATATTTACAAAGATGGAAAACTCAACTTGTGAACGCAGAGAAAGACGCCTCCAATGCACAGGAGATTCATAATGAATTAAAACAAAAGGTGAGAGTTATCGCATTGCTTTTAGGATTTATCAACAAGAGTAGCTGTACTTTGGAATTTCCTACAAAAATACAAAAAATAAGACAAGTCTACATCCAGCCTATTTTACATCGGCGCCAAATTAAGTTACTACTTGCACTTACCTCCGACATTCACGATAAATTAAAAGCAGTCCTTAATATATTTGTTAACGATTTTCCCAAAGATTCGTTTTGATCTTTTATATTCTGCTAAGGTTGACTTTAAGTGTCCGTGGTGGATGACGTTCTTGCAGAACACGATAGCAAACCAGTTCGATTCCGAACGTCTTGTGGAGAAAGTAAAGGCAGATTTAACCGCTGTCAGTAACGTACATGAATTAAATATGGCGGATAGGTATGAATCATGAATCACTTTTTTGTATATACTTGTTATTCCCTATAGTACGGTCTCTCGGAGACTATAAATTTAAACCTCCACAGGCTCGACAATTTTATATTAGACATATGCTTTGCTTTTTTTTTCCAGCTTTTCAGATCTTCGTGGCTTGCAGTTTCTTCTTGTGCAAAAATTTGAAGCGATTGAGGTAGTAGAGATTACTTCCACTCTAAACTGATTTATCTTATCCTAAATTTGAAAAATTCTTTCCTCACTGATAAGGATTGTCAGAATAACTTGTTTAATGAATTGAAGTCGTTAATGGTGGAACCGACTAAAGAGATGGTTGCATCTGCAGCTGAATGTTGTTTACGTCCACTGACAAACAGCACAGCAGAAAGGTACATGACGTTTTATACTCCACGGTTCTCCAGGGTCCATTTGTTCAAAAGACTGTTAACCCAGGGTTAACATCATTTTACATCAATTTTTTTCATCGCTTGTACTAAACTGTGAACATCATCGTTCTAAAAAGAAATTTGTTTTGTTCATTGGACCATATATAGGCTGGCATCTCTTATGACTATACACACAAGATTTGTACATGTGTAGGCCAAGCATCTACGCGAGCGACTCATTAAATGAAGTTTTTAAGAGCAATTGCATGTTTACCTGTTGTAGGTGCTGTTTTTGCCAAGTAAATGATGTGATGTCATCATACGAATCTTTAATATTTGGTCATCAAGGTATAAATACTGATGATGCGGAAAGGTAAGGCCTGTTTGGTGGCGCAAAGTGTGTTAGTTTTGAGTAATTATACAGTTATATAAAATATACGATGAAAAACTATTTTCTTCATACTAAAATTTACAGTACTGAATAGACAGACTCTATAAGTAATTGTTCACGGACAGACGTGAATTTAAACCAACTGTATATTGCTTGCAATTGAAACCCCCCTTCATGTTTGACTTTATAGTATTGGTGGTTTACGTGCAGAGACTGCTGCAGTTAGGATATTAAAATCAATATATGCTTTTTTGAAAGCCGAGAGTAAACGTCACTACAAGTACTACATCGGTAAGTTGGTAACATCTGATCCTGTCCGCTAGGCTATAAGAAACTATTTATTTGCTAAAGTACGTGCATATATTTGCACCAGCAATTTGCAAATACTTCACAATGAAATATTCGCCAATCGGTATTTCCGATATTCGAAAATTTCATTTAATGGAATCGTGCTCAAATTCGGTAAAATGGATAAAACGTATTTGGGACATATACAGTAGGAGGCAAAAGTTTGAGTCCAGTCGTTGTAGAATTCCAGTATTAAATCCTGGCAGCGTATTGGAGTTAAGACATGCGTGCTAGTGTTTCAGTACTGTAAACTATATTAATTGCACACTGTTTTGGTCCTAATGATCTAAATTATAACAAAATAAAGTTCTCATTCCTTTACACTGCCCAAGATGGGTAGGAAAAAGGGCAAAGTGATGGTGCACAAGGACAAATAGTTCCATTAAGTATTGAAGGATTCTTTCCTCGTAAGATCGCAGAAGAAGTGAGAATTTAAAAAGGTGGTATGCAACTAACCTTGGAGAGGTTCGAAGAAACTAAATCCTACTCAAGCAAACTTTTAGCTGCTTTGGTCATGCTCGGTTTGGCAATATTGAAAGATATAATAGGATCCTAATTAAAGAAAAGTATCATCCAATTCTTCAAGGACATGGAATTTCATCTGGTACAAAGATGATCGCACGTCTAACTACATGATAATCACCCTAAGCACATGCACATCTTCTATGTGCCAGAAATCGTTTAGAAGCAAACTCATTCTGGTGATCTCGTTGTCATGGCTTTCCACCTCATATTCCAGATCTAAAACCTATGGAGCACTTGTAGAACCGTTTTAACCGGAAGAGGGCGAGGCACAGACCCGCCAGCCAGGCTGACTTGAGGCAAGTGGTCAACGAATGCTGGCAAGGTATTGAACGTGTGACATTAAAAAACCTATGGAATCTATGCGAGCAAGAATAAAGGTCATTTCAAGAGCAAAAAAGAGGGAACTAAGCAATGACATGTAAATGCATGTTTGCACATTAAAATACGTAAAAATGAATATCATAACATCTCATAGTTGTTGTACAGCATGTATTTTTCTGTTTACTTGTTTACTTTTTTCTAGTTCACTTATCGGTAAGGTTTTCTGTAGAATATTAATATATGCTGCTGAAACAAAGAAATACAGTCACTGGACTCAAACTTTTGCCTCCTACTGTATGTATATTTGATTGATTTAAGTCCTGAATTTTTAGAATTGCAGCGGCAAGCTCAGTGTCATCTTGAGTATTTAGAGCAGGTCAAAAAGAACTTTAAAGTAAGTACACAAGTAATTTCTGTATTGTTGCAATATTTCATGCATCATTGGAAAACAAAAATCCCAAATTGAATCTATTGGCGACTATTCAGACAATTCCTACAACAAACAGGTTTTTAAGAAAGTTTCGTGTTGGCTAAGAAGTTTTTATAGCCACTTTAGATTCAGGTTTATGTACTGTAACTATATGTGTCCAAGTAATTTTTGGTTTGTGGTATTTTCGTAACCAACAGCCACTTCCATCTCTTGTTCAGGTGTATCGTCAACTCTGGCATGCATTGCGTCAACGTGTATTGGCTTTGGATGAACTTGCAATGTGCACAATGAGGTTGCGTTTAAGATATCCTGGTGAAGCTGTCCAAGACGATCAGTTCTACATCATTGACCAAACACAGGTTGGTAATGAAATAAAAAATTTATACGCAAGTTATAAATTTGCGGTTAATGGAGTAATATGTTCTAGAAGGTCCTATTTCACCCTACATATGGACCATCTCTGGCCTAGCTGTCATAGTTATCGCATGCACTAATTTTAGCCCGGGCAAGGTCAAGGCCTCAATAGAACAAGGCAGTCTTTACCAGGCATGTTAATAGTTATAAAGTCCAAAATCTGAACGAACTCTGGCATCTTAGCATGTGAACAACGTATGCAAACTTGTGTTACGGCCAATCGAATCTCCCCTGACGGTCTTTCCCTTCACGTGGACTTGAACAATGGCCCCCTTTTTTCTGCAAGGATTTTGCCTGCTCCCCATGCATGCATTGGTCATTCGCAAGACCTCAGCCAATGCGTCCACAACGCCGGTCAAATATTTAAAGGTCTCTATCGAAAGGCAGTAATACATATATCTGCGTTTCAAAAGTAACTATAAACAAAAACTACAAAAATAAACCCCACCCACCTCCCCACAGCGAAGGACTGGCCGCTGTGGCATCCGCATGTAAATATACTGATACGTTAAGTTCGTTCATATGTTATCTCTAGATAGTCTATCGATATTCTTCTTGTAACTTGTAATGAATTGCAGTGATTAAACAATGGCAGGAAGTGCTGTCCTTCTGGACAACACCTCACCACGTGAAGTGCATTTGTACAGGTCATTTTGGTCGAAAACGCGACCTGATGACCTGACCTAGAGACTCGATGGGTCAGTCAGACAATATTTGAGTCGAGCTGACTGACCTGAACAGGGGTCCGCCTGTTCCCCTGTTATCTAGAGGTCCGCCTGTTCCTCTAGAAAAACCTATAGTTTTTGCATGCTCTGTCGGGTTTTTGAGTGCCCTTACTGTCTCAGTATAACTAATGGTGGTCCCTAGATCATCAGGTCTCAACTCACTGAACAACATGCACAGAGCTGGCTCACACCCTCTGCAACTTAGAGGTCCTCCTGTTCCTCTAGGAAAAACTTAGGTTAATTAGAGCCTCTAGACCTTTTTTCGAGCGCTTCCTGCCCAAATTATATGCCACAAAAATGTCTCATTGTGTTTTTCTTTGCTAAGTTGCCAGACGTTCAAAATCCTTATAAAGAATCTCAACATATAAACTACATTAAACAGGAGATAACCATTGGAGATAATGCTGTTTTATTGGGATTGCGGCATCTAAAAAGATTTTTATTTGTTTTAGATTAAAATCGCTGAAACAGGATTTCGTTCTGACAAAACTCTTGCTAATTCCAGTTTAAGAAAGTGTATGGGCCAGTTGCTGTACTTGAAAAACCTAGCGAAAGTTAGTTAATCACTTACCTATCATCGTAGTTAGTCACCTGAAACTGTACTGGAATGACATTATGCATGAAATTCCCCAGTCTTTACGAAATATAGACCTTTTTAAATGTATTTCTGAATTATTAAAGACCCAAAGTACAGACGGTGGTGAAAACTCTGAACTCTGTCCCGTATGTACCAAGATACTTGGCTATCAGGTAATGCATGTCTTATTATTGATAGAAAACCGCACAGTACGTGTTTCTCCTAATGTTATTGCCACAATTTATGGTGTTTAATTATACATACAGTGTCTCCAATTAGATGAATTATCCTTCGAGCCTTCGTATTGACTTGAGTTTAAAAAGTTTGGCTTTTGTCATGTATACTGCATGTGCGTACAATGTACTTTTTAAAATTTCATGGATATTCTTTCTCCTTCATAGTGGAGTGTTTTCTCATGTGGCCACTGTCTTTGTTGCACATGTATGTGGGTATTACTGGAACGTCCAGGACTTTCGGGTGGCAGAGCCGGTTCCCATGTAAAATGTCCTATGTGTCGAACAAATACCATGGTTCAAGATATCTCGTATGTTACTACCATCAGGCAACTTACGGAAGAAGATAAAGACCTTATAGTCAAGGTACATAATATAGAACGTTGTAATTGACAGTGAACATTAGACACCCTCGCCCCATGAGTTACTCTATTATCTAGATTAGTTTATAACATATAGGGAATGATTTTTACAACGATATATAGGGAAGTCATTCTACTAAGATCGAAGCCGCTGTACGAACGCTGATGAAGATACAGAAGAGAGATCCAAAGGCTAAAACACTGGTCTTTTCTACGGTAAGAAATAACTCTGTTGATTTCGCTATTTGCGTAAAGCCATGCAAGCCCTAACCTTGCTTTGATGTTGTTAGTGGCAAGATGTTCTTGATGTTATTGCGCGTGCACTTTCGGAGAATAAAATGAAGTTCAGAAGTATCAAGAAGAGCAAGGATTACGAGGTAAAGAAACTACTATAATTCCATCCAATACAACTAGCGTGGCAACGTCGTCGTCTACTGCCTCTCCTGACGGAGGCCCTCAGGTCGAAGTGTTTTTGTCTATTCCAGGCAGTTGTTATACCACATATGATGCTAAGTTACCATAATTACATGTATATGATAATCTCAGGTCACCGTTGAATTCAAGGAAGTTCTATTGTGTATTTTTTACCCTATTCATAGACGGGAATGATTACAAATTCAACTCTTCATTTACAACCTTTTTATCATATTTTTTACAGTTAGGTCTGGAAGAATTCAAGACTTCGGACGATATTTCTGTTCTTTTAATCCCACTGCAATCGGGTTCAAATGGTTTAAACATCATCGAAGCAACTCATGTCATTCTTGTCGAACCATCTCTGAATCCTTCGTTAGAAAGACAGGCTGTTGGACGGATACACAGGATTGGACAAACAAAGTATGTGCATGTTATTCAATCTTTGGTCCATAAATATATGTAGTAAAATAGGTTGAAAAAAAGGCATCATCGTTGAAGCAGTTGTTCATGGCTTGTATGCTTAGCGTCCAAACCAGTTCTATATATATACTTCTTGCTGTACACATGTCCATGTGAACATACATATATCTGCATAGCTGGGACTTTATTACGACTTATATCACAAATTTACATGTCACTTCTGACTATTTTAGACCAACATTTGTTCATCGTCTGTTAATCGCTAATACTGTGGAAGAAAATATTACGAGGTTCTTGCAAGACAAAGCTGATACTGGTCTAAAGTATGTTCATGTTTTGCAATAAATTTACTGTACAATCTTTACATCAAGGCAGATGTAAGATGAGCACATTCAGAGCGTTTCAAATTGTGCCAAATTTTCATGTTGTATCTTGACCTCAGTTTTTAACACTTTGAAATTTATGGAAACGTCGAGAGAAAGCTTAATTGACTGCCGGTGTATAATTGGGGGTTGGGGGTTGGGGGGGGGACATAAACTCTCCATTAACCAACCCAACAAATCACGATATAACCAACTTTTTTCATATGTACCTTGTGCGTGATATCCATACATACCTTGTGATATATTCAGGTGTGGTACACGAAAAACAGATGGAGAGAACATACCGCTGACAATTGGAGAACTTGCCTTGTTTTTTCAACCTGCTGAATCTCAGATACAGATCTAACCTCCTGAGGTGAGCTTTCACTGTGACGATGTCCGTTTAAGCTCGGGTGATTGAAGTCTGGTTATATGTTATGTTGGCGGCCATTGGCTTGCTTCTTTTGTTAATTTGCCCTGCATTCACATCAATCTGCTATACAGAATTGTTTATTTTATATGATCAATAATATATATTAAATTTTATATATTATATAGTATATATATATACATCTATCTTTATAAAGGAATTGTTAAAGTTACAATATATGATATAGGTTTTACGAATTATATTAGCTAAGTTGTTTTAATTTTGTTATGTTTACGGAGGTGTATTATTATTAATCACTGTTAGGTCATGCACATAAGGTAGCGTTTATGTACATATACACATGTACGTATACAGTATTACATACTGTAATATGAAATTAAATTCTGCGGTGTGATATAAATTGTTATGCAAATTGCATGAACGTACAGTTTTTGGGCAATGAACTTCCCATAAAGTATGAACATTATTTTAATAACAGGTACATCTACAGAAATCCTGCGTGATTAAATCTTTTTTATCCTCGAAACGAAATATATAACGTGCATACACTGATTTCAAGGCAACGGGCTTACCCAGCATAACAATCTGCATCGTTTTTAAAAGCTATTGTTTTATTGCAACTGTAGTACAGAGGAAGAACTCGAGGTCATTATATGTCAGTTGTTTTTATAAAAGTACAAGTAATCTCTTTCTTGCATGGTTCTTTCCTAGGCTATATAGTATGTATACAGAGATTTCACATGCGATAATTAACATTTTACGTATTTCTGTCTCCCTTATCATATGTAACATATCTTAGAAGTTGTTTTTCCAGTATTTCTACTGCGTGTTCCCTACTCATTTCTTTACTGTATACACAATTGTCAAGTAAGTATTTAAGCCTGGACTGGCTATTTTTATCCTCTGGAGAGTGGAGAAGTCCCCTGGAGTTGCCAACAGCTGCGAGTAAATTCCGACATATGGCGTAGTAATTGTGGTCTTGGGCTTGTCCTTTGCATAAGTCCTCTGGAACAAACGTCAGACACTGAAAGCGGTCGACAGTACATAGATCTTCACTTTTAGTACCTAAAGTTACGAAATATAAATTGTTTTTTACTTAACGTCTAAACTTTAGTGTGTTCACACCCACATTTTTTAATTTTTGTAAATTCAGTTACTTAATGCTTTCTTTTGAAAATTTGTTTCAATACGTGTTCGTATATATCTGTTTATGTTTGCCTCCAGGAAAACATAAACAGATATATACGAACACGTTTGGATATAGTAGTGTAAAGATATGGAACACATTAAGTTCAAACATTAGAGAAAGTGTATCTTTAAACGATTTTAAGAGGAAATATTTAACTAATTATTTTTTAACTAGTAATTAACAATTTTTTACCTTTTGTAAATAACTTCAACTTGTATTTTTAACTAAATAGTGAGGGCCCTGGGGAAGATAAGTCTTTTGACTTACCAGGTATATTAGCTATGTAATATTTTTAACCCTCTGCAAATAAAGTTTATTGATTGATTGATTGAAAGTGTGAAAGTTTATTTCGGCTCACAAAACTATCCACCGCATTACTTATTTTCAGTAATTGAGACATTGGTGTAGCCACGTGAGCATGTGGGGGAGTCCGGACCTCCGGACGTGTGAGGAGTGCAAGCACCACGTCCCGCCACATCCCATTTACTATGTGTTGAAAGTTGAAGCTAATTTAAACTTACTATAACTGCGATTGAAAGCTTTCATGTCTACCACAAGAACATGTTCACAATCAATGAGTTTCACATTGCCATGTCTATCCACCGCATAATTGTCCATGGCGACATCGTACATATATAGAGCCATGTTGTCTTCTGTTCTCGTAAACTGGCGCGCCAGTTGAATCAGTTTAATGCTAACTTTTACGCGTTCTTGCCAAGACCAACTTAATACTGAAGATAGAGTTGGCCCAACATTTTCAACAACAATTACCCTTCCACAGGCACCATAAACAGCTGGCAGAAAATTTGAATACCGTTCAGAAAATACCTGAATTATTGGAGTATAGAGTTTTTTTAACCATTCACAAAGAATAAGATGCAAATCACAGGTTCCCAAATGAGGGGTTACACCATTAATTCAATATATCACCCCCTATGTTCATCCCAATATTATGTTACGTTTTTTTATCAGAAAGTTTCATTAAAAATGTCGTCTGGCATTTGGCACACTCCCCACTCCCACAATGAGAGCAAAGAAGCCAAGGTATTTCATTGAATAAGGCTATAAGGCTCCTCTAAATAAAGATATACCATATTTATAAATACCTGTAAAAAGAGAAATTCTTGATTAAAATGTAGGTTTGTCATTGCCATGATTTTCTGGTCCAGTCGTACCACATCATTTTCATTTTTTAAGTTGCTTTCTATTATCTTGACAAACTGCATGGTTGGACATTCCATGAACTGCATTAGAGCACTTGAAAATTCATATTAAAATAATTACTGCATTGTTAAATTAATACTAACAAGTTTGGAATAATGATAACAATGTTTTTTAGCTGTATTTATATTTGAGGACTATTTAGTTCCAACTGACCATACGGTCATCTATATGATCCCATATGATGAAGTGAAAAAGTATATACATATATATACAAAAAACATATAACCTTTTGAATGACATGGCAGGATTTAAAAATGATCTTAACACTTTTTCACCAACATCACAATGTTTACTGACTGGTACTGATGCATTAAGACATATTTCTTGGTCTAACATTGCCAGCTCGTTAATATGTCCAAGCTGTTTTAAAACCACAGCTAATTCATTCCATTTGCCATACCATACACCTTTTAAAGATTCACTTTTCCAAAAATAGTTCCCCCACACTTTCAGTTTTTCAAAGGAGATGGCCTGACAAACACTCTCCCATTTTCCAAAACAAGCTGGGCACTTGTCAAGCTGCACAAAAGACTTGTCTATTACCTGTAGTCTATTTTTCAGCATAATATAAACAATCAGGAAGAGACTCAGACAACATACACAATATATAAACAGCCTCAAACAGCAACCATTCCGTCTGAGTGCACTTGGTCTAAGAAAGTTCATTGGTTAATCAAAATGAATGTTGATTTTAAATATTATGTTATAAATAATGTGAGTTGTATATGATCCTTATCCGACACTTTATAATATGTACATGTGTCATGTTATGCCTCTCCGGGTACGAGGAATTGGTACGTGGTTGCTCCGGAAGTTTGTCCCTGATTCTGAATTCTGAAAGTCGTCTCTTCTGGAATAAATTATGAACGGTTGGGTAACCCCAGTAACCTTGAGAAATTCTGAAAGAAATCCTTACCAATTTCCTTAAGCCAACTTCCAACTTCAAAATTAATTGCCTTAGAACCATAGAATACTGAGCTCAGTGATGAGATGATAAAGATCTAAACATTGATGGCACACGCTTATTTTTGGGCTGCTGTCAAGTTTGAGCTTTTGCAAGTGACGTTAAAAATTCAGAGGACGCCTGCAGCCTGCTCCCAGACCAGGATAAATGCTAGCAGCCTGGGTCTTTGGGAAATGAGCTGGTGATTGAAGATGTTGCTGATCATTATTCGTTAAATAGAACTTTCTGCTCAAAACGACGCACACGAGCTCGGAACAGTGAGCAATACGACACCGCGGAAATTGGTATAGGCTTAGCCGCAATTCTCGATACTTAGACTTCAAACTTGGTGAGGAAAAAGATTTATAAATATTCAAGAAAATATGTCTTGCACAAAAGATTTGAAGCTTGCTCACGGTAAAAACGAATCGTCTGAATTAATAACCTTGTGTATACTTTAAGCCTCAAAATGGCCATTTCACAGCGGTCAGATGAGTCAAAAGATTGCAGAATGCGTATTCAGAAGAAAAATTGAACTTTTTTAAGATATTCAAAAGGTTTCTCTTTGATAGGGCGATACAGAAATGCACAATTGTGAACCAGCGATTAGATTTTCGGGTTGAAACGTCTTAAACACCAATTTCTGCGGTGTCGAGCAATACTGATATGTACTGTACACAAAGTAAATACAAAAAACGTCATAAAAATTGACGAGATCCCATGCCTATATGAGATTTTCCTTACTTCAAGGATTGTCGGCCAGCTAACAGATGGTTTCCACGGCAACCACCTGCCTGTAACTAAAAATCAAAATGGAGGAAAATGAAGGCGTCAGGTATGATATTTCATACATATATTTTCTTTTTTAAACATCCGTTTTACTATAATACATATTTTTAGGGACGAAAGACAAGAATTTGATTACACTGCCAGTGAAGAAGCTATTGCCTACTTAGGGAATATCAGTAAGTTTGACTGTATTTTTATATATGAGATTGAGACCGTATTGCCTGTGTATTTTTATATTTGTATACAATTTGTCGAATGACATGCATTATTTTCGACAACCACAAATGAATAAAAAATATTTTTATAGCTTCACAAGATTGGAGTGCAATAGGCATGTCAGAAACGTTGATGACAACATCAGGGGATAAGGTTAGCTTTGAAACGTTTGTATAGTAAAATTATTCTTATTTATATGGCATTTTAAATTTAATGGCTAGGCACTTCACACATGCAGGGGGAACTTATGTATAACATAGGCACCACACTATACAGTATAACAACTAATGAAATCCTGTAAATGATGCAAATTTTTGTAACAAGCCAATAGACGAAATAAATTTTCACATCTTTTAGTCTATAACATTGTGCCAACCAATTTTACAGGATTTTGGGGAGTTTGAGATAACTGTAAGTCATGCTGAGTGGCAAGGAAAAGAATGCTACATGATCCACATTACAGAAGAGTGTATTGTCATGGATATACCAAAAGTCACCAATATCATTGGTATGCATGGTCATTTCTTAGATTATTTAAATTATAGCTAGGCTGATTAGATTTTAAAAAAAATATTAGGCTACAAAATGTCTTATAATTATACAAGCAACGGATTATTCCAACTCTCTATTAAATCAGTGTCCATATATATTATGATTTCAGCTCATGTTGACCAGAACTTTACAACTCTTGAACAAAGTATACATGAATATAAGGTATTAGTTTTATTTATGAAATGCCCATTTTTTAATTAAGATAAAACTTTTGTTCAATCTCTACTGTAACACCCTTTATATATAATTCCACGGATTTTGTATTTTGCAGATAGGATCAATTGTAAAACTTTTCTTATTACAGTCACCAATAATCTTTTGATGAATCGGATCATTTCAAAGCTATATACCTCTTACCCTCTATGTTACCTAGTGCATTGTGTTTTAATCACAGGTGCCCGACAGAACAATTGACAGTAAGACATTGATGACTCTTGAGGGGGGAAAATACGTTGTTCAAAAAACAGTAAAACATGATGATGTACGTAAGTTGGTCAAGAACTGTCTACCTAATTTAGAGCAGGGCAGTCCTTGTAGGCACTTTGAATTTAAAAAGGAGACAAAGAGCATCTGAAAATAATTATTTTAGTATGTTGACTCCTCCTCTCCCCTTGTCCTCTCCATGATGTTGCCTGTGTTCAAGAATTTCCTTGATCATGCATTTCAATGTTGATCACTTCTGGTTCTAAAATAGTCCATGAATTCTATAATTACCATAAAAGTTGATGTAATTTATAGTTTGAACGACAAACGCACGAGACATATTCGACAAAACAAATGCAAGGTTTTATTTGTGAAGGTACGTTTCTGGTGCATATTATGCAAGAAACGAAGAGGAACACGCTTGAAAGCTAACGTCCATTGCATTTTGAAATTTTGACAGCTTGTCATGTGGTTTTACAACGATTATTATTGAAAAAGGGAATTCCAGATAATATGGTCTTCTTGACATTTGACAGCGAGACGAATCTTTCCTCCATGACATTTGTGAGTGGTTCAGTTTTTATCACCGAGCTTTTTATTTTCACTGTATAACTGTATACATGAGGATGGCATCTTAAATTTACATGAAGGGTTGGTGAAATTATTTGTGCAAGTAATATCTCGCAACCCTAATCAATCGAAATGCCAAAACTCAGGACCTATGTATTTTTAAAATGCAGAGATATGTAGGGTGTTAATCACTGAAATGAAATAACGTTTTTCACAAGAAAATGATCGGTGAAAGAGAAATTGAGGTTGAAGATGAAAGTGTTTTAACAAGAGGAATCGAATGCAAGCTATCGTCTTTGATGAAAAAGGAATATTTGTGGGAGTCTTTCTTTATACCTGATGGGTAAATAGATAGATGCTCTCTTTTTAGTGACTTCTTTTAAGAAAATTATCGCTCTAATAATCTCTTTCAAAATTATAGTCGTTTGATGTTAAAAACTGAAATCGGAAGTGACGTCACCGTCAGACAGCTCACTTTACCACGCACTCCAACACGTAAGTAATGATTGGATGGATGAAGTACGGGAGCTGTATCTTCTTTCGTTAACGTGTTGATACATGCATAAGAATATTTATTTTCTGGCTAATATAATGAACGTAAGGTGTCCAGTCCAATGCCTATATAGTGTGCTTTTAGACTGTGAAAACAATCAATTTCTAACATGACTAAACTGAGGCGGCCTGGTACATTTCACCACTCAGTGTCTACGGGCCTCATCAGTAAAAAATAAGACTTTTGTATTTCAGCTGAACAACCAGATATTATCACTCCGCTTAAGTGGGATGAAGATATGGAGTTGCTGTCACAGTTTACTGATAGAAAGGTAAGTGCATGAGATCTGGTTGACCAGGATAGGATAGGATAGGATAGGATAGGATAGGATGTCTAGGATAGGATAGGATAAATACCTCCAAAACCTTTATTGCCATCAAAGCAGTTATTTACTAAGTAAAACTAGTACGAACTTTTGTCTTCCAAACGGATCATTTAAGAAAAGGTTATAACCGTGTTTATAACTACTATATTCTTTCATAAAAAGTGCAGTCGTTTGATTCAATCGTCTCATATTTTTACCTCCATTGTACTAAGTATGTATCTAATAGATACTTTTAAAAAAATTGAATTTCTTTAGGAAGAACTTGTCGATGATCATAACACATATATTCGAAGACATCCAGAAGTAAAGGCCATCCTGGCTGATTTCTTACAATTCTTATTAATGAAAAAACCTGACGATATTTTTGACTTCGCGAGAGAATTTTTTGTCGGCATGTCTTTAGCACCGCTGGATCAAAGTGACCAGTGAAGAAGTTGGGTGTATAAAGTTGTAAATTAAATTATTTAAGGTTCATTAGCATGTTGAGTATATATTAATATATAAGACAGCACAGATTTATTTATACTGTTTGCTCTCAAGTCCCTATTTGAAGCAAAACGTCCGGTGGTATTTTGTATTTAGGCCTAGGCCGTCGCATTTTGCTCGCGTCGAATGCAATTCAAACTATGGATTCTATAATGAGATGATAAACATGTTAATGATAACATCCCATTACCTGTTGTTTTAATTGCATTCGACGCTCTCGTGTGCGATGGGCTTAACCTAGGCAGTAGATATTCACAGTAAAGTGTCTGCATGAGTTAATGATATGTAAAAAATCAATGCAACTTATGTATGTTTTCAATCTGTTCACGATATGGAAATTTCGTAAATTACTTTTGTACAATGAGCTGTCTGGAGAAGCATTCCTCACTCATGATGGTCACTTAATCGCTTAATCGCGACGTTTGTATGGATTCGCTTCGACTTGTGGAATGTCATTGTCCTTTTCTCAAATTTTAGTAATTGCATGCAGTAAATGCATGCAGTGAGGCAAGATTTGCTTCGCTTGACTGCATGCATGGATTAACATCCTCATTTCAGCTTTATATGTGTGTCTCGCTTGTAGTTTACAGTTATATCTCAAGCTAAGGATATACGTACTGTTATTTCTTGGGGCAAATCTAAAATATCGATATCAGGCCCCTCTTTTTATGTTGAACTAGAAACTGCTCAGCACAATCAAAGACTATAATGCATCGAGTCTAAATCTGAATACCAAGAAAAAGAATCTGGTAAAATCTTGAAGTTATCCTGCTGGTGCGCAAGAAAACTAAAAGGAATTGATTATTACAATGATGTTAATAAAATACCTGCCTTAGTACTAATATACGTACTGAACCAGCCAATGTCGAAAAGGTAATTCAGTCATCATGATTGCAGCGGTTGCAATGAATTGAAGGCATTCGACGAATAGATCTCCTTATTATAAATCAATTACAGGCACAAAATGGGGTGGTAGTTCAACAGCTGAGAATGGCTTTTGAAATCGAAAATGTGGAAGTTGAACCGTTGTTATCACTACTCCAAAGGTCCCACAAACAGATGAAAAACATCAAATGTGAGTCGCCTTTCATTGGTACGTGCTTTAAACAAAGCCTATATAGTGCGTGGCGTGTTTGTGCGACGACTGCATCTTTTGACCGTGCACTTCTCGTCTTCCAACCAAATTGCATCTAAAAGATTAGCATAGCCTGGATAACCCAACGCTATCTTATAGTATATCGCTGTAAATTGTCGACCTATTTTCATCGTTAAATAGAAAACGTTTTGACATTTTTTGTTGGAAACCGAAATTGAAGCCAGTGTAAACGAGATCTCTTAGCTGAGCTAACACCCTCAATAAGAGGTCGTTAATTCAGTCCAAAAACTATTCGCCCCTGAGAGAATGTGCTCTTAAATCACTTATCAAATCCTGGGCCCTAGTTGCTATAGAAGCTTAATTGGGGGGGGGGGGACATATATTCGTCTTATTCCTCACCGATAGGTATTTTTTTTCCCTTATTAAAATGAATATATGAATATTTGTCCCTCAATTAAGCTTTCTTAACCAATGAAAATACCAGGCAATGTTTTAAGCTCTGACGTGCAATGCACGGATTATAGCTTAAAACGTCATGTTACAACTTTTATGGACCATGAACATTGGTCTTTCTTAAAATAGTATTATTTTACATTCAATTGACTGAATTTACATTACATTACCCGCTTATGATATGGCGTGCAAATCATTTGCTTTTTTTATTTTTATTTTTTAATCTTTTAAAAAGAGTTCGCCCAAATAGTCGACCTTTTTTATTGTGGTTTTTTTATAAAGACGGATTCTAAAAAACTCAAATAGATTGGAATGATTTTCTATACAGCTAATAATAATATAAACTATATATTAGCTGTGATATTAATCTGTTTTAAAACGTAAAAGTTGAACTGGAAACGAGCATGATGTCATGCACTTCAGTGGTCAGAAGTAACTCTTTCGAGTTAAAATTTTGTGATTTTTTAATGTGCAAATAATCACATAACAACAAGTGTGATTGCAAATAATTGATGAAATAAACCAAGAGCGCCAGCAAATCGGGAACACTTAGTTTCAAATAAAAAAAACCAAAGCACGACGGCTTCAATAAAAACCTCAAATTTGTTATTAGTCAGCATGGGGTGCGGTGTAGACGTGAATATTAACTCCATTGCTGATGCAGTGATGTTGTCTCAACGACCATTTGTCTCCATATGTTTTAGTTGGGATAAATATAAAAAATAATTAGGATTGCATGCATGGATGTACACATATATATATATATTCAAAACTGAAGCGATCTTTGCTACTGTCGAACTTATGAAAGTCTAATATCGCTTGTATTACTGAGGTCCCTGGTGGGTCGTATACTTTAATACCACACGATTTCATGAGAACACAAGTTTCAACCGGCGCAACGTAAACATTTAAAGACATGCATATCTATAGCTAGTTCAAACAACTGCAAGTTTCAAGCAAAGGTCTCGTCATTAATAACATTGTCGAAAATTATTCTATGATATAAACTCATGCCATGAAGTATTTTGTATATATTGTTTGCGGGAAGATCGTTTTGCAACATTATTTCTCGCCGGCTAAATATTTGCTGGAACATTAATTTTACAAACGTTTATACCACGACCTAAATTAACGACGCGCCCTAGCAGAGGAACTGAAAAGCAAGCTTGCCTATAGCGCAAACCTAAGATTCAACAAAGTAATATAAAGCCAATAAGTGTTGAGAATAGCAAAGAAAACTCGGAACTTCCCAGATAAAATAGGTGTAACTATGAACGGCTTAACGTGAGATTTCTATCAAACTTCACTGGTAGATATTATCGTCAGTTTCACGGCTTGAATTCTAACCTCCCGGCCCTCGAAACTGATTGATTGTGTAAATTGTTCGTTTGTAAAATTGATTTAACCGATGCCAACAAAGATAAGAACTACAGTCAGTTTTTTATGCACACTGCTATCACAACACACAGTCTGCGTTGTTTTCAAGCAGCCTATTCGTAATTGCGCTTTCATCTTGCAACAATACGTTGTAAAAGAGGTTTTATGGAGCGTGAAATTCCGTTAGAGAGGTCGGAAAGAGGACATAAAATCTCTGTTTGACGCCAAGGCTAAAGTTATTAAATTTTATTGTTATTAAGAATGACAAGGGTAGAAAGATTACAGGGTTATTTTATAGCAAGCTCATCAAAAGAATACGTAAATTGCCATAATTAGTGAGTTTCTTTGAAGATATCAATGGATGCACCGAAACAGATAATTGGCAATATTCTTCAAACTCGCGTGTTCCTAACTTTCGCCCATTATGATTGTACAATCTTATCATTTTAATAGCAAATTTCACGCTTCTTATCTATTTAAACGAGCGTTTGACTTTGCCACAAACTTTGTAAGAGAATGGAATCTTTAACAGCGGACCCCAGGATTTTGTAATTGCTTTTGCGACTAGGTTAAGAGAATCTTGCCGAAAATCCGTCATTGTCTAAGGCTTAATTCAAAGCTTTACTGAACTGTTGAGTGCTCAAGAACCCAGCAGTTCGCCTATAAGCCGGTCTTTTTGAACGAATCTACTTCAAAGGTTCCGTCATTACTATATACCGTTAGATGCACAAGATTTCCGAACTGACGCACGCACGCGCTTTTAAGAGGCAAACTATCCGAATGTAGCGTTTGAAAATGAACGATCTGAACGTAAGATGATGTTGCTATCGTTCTTACGGGGACCGCTGTGTGACAGATGATGGATTGCGTGGCTTGTTAATTTCTTATTTTCGTTGTGTTTATCGAATAATCAATACCACAATTAGCGCTGGAACCGAGTATTTAGCCACCTCGTGTTTATTGGAAAACAGAGAAAATCTTGATAAATTAGAAATAAGGATTCTTTTCTTCTATCTAGATAATAAAATCAATTAAAACACATGCCGCCTCTTGGGAAGCTTGCAGTTTCTAATCCGCCGACATTCTTAAATGCGCGCACGCTTTTGGGAATTGTTTATAGACTTGTTGCGATAGCAGATAGCGAATGCGTTGTAAGTTTGATTACCCCACCGGTTTTATTGATCGCTTTCATTGTCTGAATCCACTCATAGAGAGTTCGGCGATATGTTATTAAAACTACGGCGGGGAGCAATGATTATAGATGTATTTCTATAGTTCACTATGAGCTTTTTAACAACAATAAAATTCACAGTGTTCATCTCTGTATGCCAATATACCCCGACAATGTGTTACGCTGCTTCCGCAACTCTTTGCAACGAATCGTACACAAGCTTACCCAGCCATTTTCACTGGTTCATATTTACACGATTTATTTCAGCTCATTACAGAGATAATCATCTGCATACATCTCTTGTCTGATTGAATTTGTTTTATACATTAGAGCTTAACACCAAAATATTGAGATACTTCATTTAATAAACCTGTACAAAGCCGCAACCAATCAACGAGCGTGTGGTAATTAACGCCAACGGGATGGGTAATAAAACTGCTTGGCGGAGATATTAAAACCATAAATAACCAATGTTTGACTAAATACTTCTTGCGACTCAATATCATCTTGGTAAGAGTTCTCAATGAGTGGAAATTGGTCCGCAGTCAGAAACATGTCAGAGAGCAATCATCCACGCCAGGTCACTAGATCTACGAGCAACTATAGTATTGCGAGTATTCTAAATCTCAGCCAGTCCTCTTCAAATATACAAACTATTAATGAGCACAACAGCTTTAAATCTCAGCAAAAAGAATCGCCAACACCTTCCAGTGATCCATCTACCTTCCAAAGTAACGACATTTTAAAAAAGAAGGAAAACCTAAATGGTAAGGCTTGGTCATCAATCATTACTCAATTTCGGCTATCGTGATTTATATCTTTAATTGTTAAATGCTTCAATTCCATGTTTTCAAAAGTGATAAAAGCTTTAACTTTTAAGTAGATAATAGCACATATGTGTCAGTATTAACTTCATTCGTTTTTATACTCTATCCATTGTACAACTCTTAAGCAAAACTTCAATAATAAGCCAATTTTAATCAATATCTCCATCACAAAGACAAAGAATCGAATGGTTTCTGAAGGGAACATTTTTGTCATACTTTGCTGGTTTTGTTAAAAATCCTATTCAATGAAGGCTCCGCTTGTCATAAAGAAACACTGGAAAATGTGAACACGTATATTTTATCTTTTAACAAAGTATACTGCATGATTCTCACGGTTGGGCCTGCAGTTGGGGGTATAACGGCGGCTTTTTTCTGCCACAACAAAGATATCTTTTGCTGATCTATTCATATAGTATGTTTTACAATCTACTTCATGCAACGAATCACTCTAAAGCCGCTTTAAAACACACTTTCCAGCTGATACGAGAACTGTGATTGTAAATATATTATGACTGCATGGAGATGTTTGACATCTTTGACGGCTCAAAAATACGGCCAGGCCACATAATTATAAAGTCTTGGATTTTAATGCGATTGCATGATTATGCTGTACTCAAGAGTTACAATGCTTGTTGAAATGACTATAGTTTTGCTGCGAAATGCTCACTTTTACAACGTTAATTCCTGTAACGAAATCAGTTGAATTTTAACTTGACAAATGTCATAATAAAAAAATCATCATACATGCGCATTAGACGCCTTTCACATGCACTCGCGGAACTGGATTCTCTATAGCACTTGTGGTTCGTTGAAAAGAACGTTTGCCAACACATCTTTCTTCCTATATATATACGTTTGCTGTTTCGTATTATTTTATCACATAATCGTGATTTCCGGGCATTCTCGCAATGCAAAATATGATGATGCCATATCAATTTATACAAATCATGCATGTGCAGCGTAAATCATGCATATGCGCTAAATTTTGCAAGTCTACCAGAATATCCCGTAAAAAATAGATTGTGATTAAGCAAAGCAATATTTTCAATGAATAAATCTCCCCTTCTTTTTTGGAAAATATACAATAATGGATAATTGTATAAAAGGATGTTTTCTGTCACGTTTAAAGAATATATATGTAAGTTAAGCATTAAATTACATATATTATTCAACTTGTGATTGAGGCGGATACTGGACTGTCTTTACATTTTGAAATTGAACAATATAAAAGTTGTAATTTGCAGGCGTATTCCGAATTCAGCTTATTAAAGAAATTTATGATGGTCGAATATGACGCTTTTTTGATTCGATTAGTCGATTATAAACTATATCTGCTCAAAGATCAACAATAACGCCGCGTTATAAGATTGACCATGATGCGATTTAACAAGTCATCAATGTAAATGCACGATCAAAGAAACGAACGCAGTATACTTGCGTCTGTAACCCAGTGACTTTTCTGCATGTGCGTGGGGTTCAATTTAAGCCTTTATTAAACGACAAACTGTGCAAATTATCAAAGAAGTTAGGATGGTTGAACGAACTATTGCAAATTTCCTCTTCCTTGGTCCGAATTTCATTTCCCTCGATTAGGTTAAGCCTCGTTATTACAACCCTTCTGATAATAGAAAAGTTCCTATATAATTAGACCTGCCGAAATAGAAATGCTGAAAAACGAACGCTGTATATTTGCCGCCTAAGTTTTTGTTCTTCAATTTATCTGCCACACCTTGCCGAAAGAAATAACCTTCATGCAAGCATATTATACTTACAAGGAAATAATATTCATGTACTCAGGTATATAGAACTGGGAAAAGAGTTGAATGCACGCATGTAGATGATTTATATCAGTCAGGCCTCTATATAGTATTAACCATGCAGCTGGCATGCAACAGAGAGTCCTATAATTGATATGTCTTGACTGTTTTTTAAGGTAAGAATTAACATTTAAATTTAACAGACTCGCCTTTATACAGGACAATTCCGTCATAAAATGGGTAAACTGGACTGAAAAACGCCATCAGTCGACTTGACATTAATTATAGCAGATATTTACTGGTGGTCTAAATTACTGATACATACAATGCATTCATATACTGATGGTGTGACCTATGTGAGCTGAGTGGAAAAGTTAATAGTGAATGTACTATATAGTGGCGTACGACGAACATTAAGAACAAGCAAATTATATGTCGTAGAATTAATAAAGACAGGATAGAGTTTAATTCATTTCAGAAGTTCTATATTAGTATCTTTTCTTTATTTCAAGATGTGAAAGTAAACGATGCCACGCGTTGTCATGACAAGAGGATTGACCTGAATGATCGAAAAAGACCAAGAACTGCTTTCTCAGCCCATCAGATCAAGGAATTAGAGGAGGAATTTGAGAGGAATAAATATCTAACGGTTTCGCGAAGAGTGGAAATGTCTAAATCTCTGAAATTAACCGAGACCCAGATCAAGATTTGGTTCCAAAACAGAAGGACAAAGTGGAAGCGCAAGATGGCTGCCCAAATGGAATACGCCCATAATCTTTATACACAGAGTATATTTAGTCAACCCATGGGAATGGCTGCGTGTTGTACCCCAGGAAATGCACAATATTACAATGGCTACCACACATCGTCAACAGAAACAGGGCACCTACACTGCTGCCATCAAAATAACTTATTAAGACAACCTTTTCCTTTTACATATCCATGTAATCTTTCTACGACAAATTTCCCACAAACAAATGATATTCGGCAGACGGCACTGTAGTAATATTAATACAACACTTGACTCAATTCAATCTTTACGAACCAATGTTTGTCTGCATCGAATAGGTTCAACTTCTCATTATAACACCTGTATGTATGTAAAGTTTATTATGAATACATAGCCTAAAAGAGAATTTTGTAAAAAGTCTTATATAGAATGTAATTATATCGTATACTGTTATCCTCTGCATGATCATGAGGATACACACATGCATATTCGTCTATCCTCTCTTTGACACAGCTAGATCCTTGCACAAAGGCCAATGTAGCTAATGACATGGTTGCATGATTGTTCACTCCATCCTATATGTGAATGGATATAAAATTCTTCATGCACTGGATCAAGAAATCGCAGCAGTTCTAAATAGGTTCGAATGAGCAACCGGCTCCAGATATAGCTATTCATACAGGTTATAGGTAGTAAAAACCTGGGTACAAGGTTGGTTATAGCTACACGAGTTGTAAGACTACATATGGTTTGAACGAATTGTTTAATTGATAAGAAAATTATTTTGCTTATTCAAACACGCTCACATTGATGGGGAAGCGTTGGGGATTTTTAAAAGTATATTGTCGGAAGCTTTCGGAGGCTTTATAAGCTACGGGTGTGTGTCGCAAATTAATATATTTAAATTACTTAATGGTATTATGAAGAAGATTTCTGAACATGGACAAAAAATTTATCATTGTCACTGTTAGTATCATTGTAATACATGCCGCAATCAGTGTTTACCTTTGATAATTTCATTGATTATTACGCCGTTTATTAGGTTTCATAATAATAATATCTCATATAGGACTCTGGCTGCATGCAATTGCACGATATTGCTATATTCTGAAGAAATATTCGATCTAATAATAATAGTCTTGAAAGCAAAAAGAACAAAGCATCCAATTAAACAGCGGTTAATAAGATCAGGTGGTTCATCCATGTCATCCATGGGCCTGCAGAGAATTTGTAATCAGAAAAGTATAAATCGCAAAGGGGCCCTGGGGATGTACATTGGCTAAAGCTAATTTTATATTCTGTTTCATTGTATAATGTATATATGTATATATTCTTTTTTTAACTTGCACTGAATTACTGTGTCTGTGGCATGTCTTGATATTTCTTCACTTGCCAGTCTAGTTGGCAGTCCGCTGCAAATAAGTAAGTTAGATTTGTGGGTCCCGCGCAAAATTGTATCGGGAGGCATGGGAAGTAGAATATTTCACTAAGCGAAATGATTGGCTGCATCAGCATATATTTTTTCTCCAGCATGTAGATCACAGCTCTCGGGATAGGTGGAACTTATGATAGTTTAGCTGTTTTGCAGACTCAAATATGCCGCCATGAATGGCGTATATTATCGGTAATAAGACTTCAGCGGCATTTATTCTTGAATCTTCTTTACTAATTTAACAAAAACATCCCAAAAATTCTATTGTTCGCTAAAAATGCTGTTCATTATACCCATGCACTGTTCTAAACAGTATGCTATTTTAGCACCTCTGTGATGAATGAGCTTGTTTTATTCATTTTTAAATTGTTATCGTTACGGTGTAAATGTCATAGAGTTCAACCCAAAGTTTGCTGTATGTTTATATGTTCACCGCACCAACAATTGCATTTATAATATTCTTGAATGTTTGCATGGTGACAATCGATAAGTAATTCAGTTTTTAGATACACCACGTAAGTATTCAATACTGCAAAGCTTTCGCTTTCGGTCCATTAACCCGAGCCTTCTGCATCAATTGCACTGATGAAGGCCCGGGTTAACGGACCGAAAGCTTTTCTGTATTAAATACTTACGTGGTGTACCTACAAGCTATAAATTACTTAATTGCATTTACGCTTAATGTTACAGTAATTTATTTTGCAATGTTAGTTGATTTTGGCAGATTCCAAATCGAAATTTGTGGCAGGGCAAGGCTGAATAACTTTTCAGCACCATTTTATCGTAGCCAAAAATACTAAACAGTGGCGTTGAAATGATTTCAACGAGCTTTGTCAAGCACGCATTAGGCCTGGAACTAGTCCAGGAGCGTGCCGAAATTACAACTATTACTGAATATATATAGGAATTTCGTGGTTTTCCATTTTTTGGGATTTTTAAAATTTTTTGGAGCACAGAGTGCAGAGAAGAAAATTTTAAAAAGCTTATAATGTCGTAATTCTTATTAATATCCTTGCTTAGTAAATGGCACTCACTAATACTTTATTATCTCATGCATGAATCTCTTGTCGAGGTGGTTCTTCTCTGCATGTTACTTTATGACTTTTGGTTCTTGTAATTATCGTACGACTGTTGTTTATAGGGCTGTTTGCACGGGTAATCCATTTTCAAATATCATATCGGACGGTCAAGGCTTAAGTTTAGGTGTTTTTATGGGTTATATAGTACATATTACTTATAGTTTCATCTCATAGCTGTCTTTCTTTGTAAAGTTCAATCCAATGTTATAATTTGAAAGGATACAGGAATCATCTAAGCAAACAATTTGTTAATTAGTGTTTCAAGGCTGCAGAAAGAGCGCGTGTATATAAACTTATCGAAACAGATGTTTACATACAAAAGAATCTGCGATGTGCATACATGCACATGTTTTGTTCAATTTAAAAATATTCTCGTTTTAACTGTGATTCTTTAGTTAATAGAATTTATTAACCAATAGTATCAACTTTAAAAGCTTGCGACGCTGTACATGCAGATGTATTTATAAAAAAACGTCTGAAATAGAATCGTTTGCGTGTATTTATACAGAAACTATTACTGCATGTACTTCTCTTTCAAAGATGGAGTGTAAATCTGATATCGTATAGGCTATAGCTATAGGTAGGCTAACGTCAGTCGCGTGCACTGAATATATCACATGTTTGTTTGGAAAGCTCAATTAAATTGTTTTCCTCAAAATATGTAATACTTCAATTAAATTTGCGAGTTATCTATATTTAGGTATATTCCGAGGCCATAGACACATCAACTGAAATAACAAGAATTTTTTCGCTTCGTCTTAAACTCGCACTATAGCAGACCATGACATAAGCTTAGGTGGATTTGCAACCATACGAAATTTTTTGTTTGATCTTCTTTTCAAATGTGAGAATCACAATGGATTAAGAGAAAACCGAGTGTAAAGTTTCGCTCAATTGAAAGATTTCGCGTAGTGGTAAACCGGCCTAGTTCTTTCGCATAATTTCATTACACTTCATACAAAAGAATTTGCATGCCATTAAAGTATCAAATTATGTACACATCGTGTTCTTATTGTGTTTTATGATCATTGCATTATTCCGTATCTTTTTGTACTCGTTAAAACAATGCTTGTGACAGATGGGTACAATTAAAGTGCAAATATTGTAATTTATATCCACTTTTCAAAAAGGTGAAAATTGAATCCTTAAAAAAAATCCTGTTTTATACTCGCTTGAATCTTGGCCATTGTATGTAAGAATAATTGAAGCCGAAGTAAAAGATGACGGGTGTTTCTCAATTATTTGTGGCGAGAATAAGATAACTGCATGTTGTAGCAAATTAAATTTATATTTTACAGTAGGTAATATATGAAATGATTTCTTGGACATTATGTTATCTCTGACCAGTTTCCAAAATAGTGGTCAATGAACCACATATGTATACCCGTTTACCCTTGTATATCCACATGGCATCCGGTTTTCATCGTGTAGCTGTAAAAAGATCAATTAAGAAGTGTCCTAAAGTCGTCAAACTCAGCCATAACGTCCGACAATCATGATTTTATTATTAAGAAAGTCATAAATCAGTCACAAAGTTAGGCCATTCGACTCATGCTGACCACGAGTGTAGTGATTGTTTGGTGTCATCCATGGACAGTGCATATTATTGTTGGGTCCAGTTTATATATAGGTCAAAGTTTGCGAGTTCGACCTCAATCCCCTGTAAAACATTTTATGCGCGTTGTGCTAGTACGATATAAATCTTAAAAAATATCAGGCTACCAGGGTATGTATGTTGGTCTTCATGAAACTGTATAGAAATTGTATATGTTTTAGGCATTTCGGGCACCAGTCTTTTGTCGTGGTGCAACACGTATGATTGGTGTTCGGTGTTGTATTAAAATGTACAGTTGATGTGGGAAAATTCATTTGGAGAAAATCTTGCGTCCTTGGAGACGCAAGTTAAAGGAAACATTATTTATGAAATTATAATAAGGACAGGGGCGAGATGAAGTATACTGATATTGTTTCAATTTTGTTTCTGTATCATGTACTTATGTCTGTCAACATGTATATGTTTGAATAACTAGACCCTATTAAACAGACATATAGGGTAATTACTAGTAAGTAACTTGTCCCGGTGAAGTAGACTAGTAAAGTCTAAAGACATCATCCAAAAAATGATAAACAGCTTGTATTATATTGACATTATTGCTCTAATTCGTACTTTATCAAATAAATAACTGTATTTGTCTTGAATGGAAAATTATTATTTAGATTTGATCTGATTATGATTGTTATCTTTTCTATAAGTGTTTATTTCTTGAATTCGAACGGCGTGATTTGCATAGCTACATTATTATTCCTTTCTGTTTTTGAGTGACGTTTGTACTTTCCATATCTCTCGCGAATAAGTCCAAACTGGCGCACAAATTCGTCCAAAAGATCATAAGAAACTTGGCTGTAGAGAAAATAGTTAATGATAATACGCCGAGCAAAATATAATGCAGGGAGCCATACAAACACATGGATAGGCAAGCAACATATTTAAATCTGTGGATAGTATTTAGGTAGAACAGATTTACTGCAGCTGGTAATGCGAGATTATGAATGTTGCATGAAAACGATAACACGCAGCTACTATTTGCGAATATTGATTTTTGCCGGTTTCAGTCTAAAAATTTATTTTACTGACAAAATTGCAAGCAAGAACAAATAAATAAGAAAATCGAAAGTTAGAAACTATACGAGAGAGCATTTATTGGTTATTTGTTTTATAGTCTAAAGATTCATTTCATGGTTATATATACATATACAGAATGCAAGTATTTAGAGAAATAAAAATGAAGAAATTTCCTTTCATTCAAAAGTGTTTCAGGGCAAAAGTGTTTCGATCATCATTGTCAGTTTGGGATTGTACTAACGAAATGTAGCAAATTAGAGATTCTAATTAAACATGATGAAGTTATTTTTTGTTTTCTTTAACACTCACACGGTCATCAAATTGCATTTGGCTGAATAGATGTATGTATATATGCTTCCAAATATATTTACAGCTGTCCGTTATCCTTTAATTGTATATAAACAATTCTGTGTTTATTATACTTTATGCAATATTAATCATCTCAAAGACTACACCTCGGCGTTAACGTTATGATAAATCCATCGGCGAGAAAAGTAGAAAAACGATTGCTAAAGCATAAGACAAATTACGTTTTGAAGTATAAGAAAAATTATGTATATATTATGTGCCGTTTATCGCCGAAAAACTCTGAATATAATGTGAGGCCATATATGATGCATGCACGTCTTGCTTGATTTGATTTAGATTGTATTATTACACATGTGTGCGCGAAAAATCTCAAACATTTAGCTGCTTCATAATATCTATTATTGATAAAAAAAAACATTGAACAGATTTTGGAATCAATCTGAAGTGTTGAAAAGAGCAATCAGCTCTGAAAATATTTTATTGACGACAGCCTGTATCATACCTATAATTATCTATCTTTATATTATTCCAAAAAACCCGAATCGCCAAGGGCTCCATATGGGAAAGAAAATGGATTGAAGATACTAAATATTAATTGCTCATATAACAATTGGTGAACTGAACATCGATCCTGCAATGAATTGCGTTTGACATAAGATTTTGGAAAGTACTCAGTTCCAGTACATTTGAGTTCATGCAAAATGTCAGTTATACACAGCATGATGTGACGATTGACAAGAATACAGTTATACAAAATCGCAGTTATGAAATGAGTAGGAATTCAAGAAAAAGATCTAACTCCCTTCTTCAAATTACACTGAATATTCAGCTACATATAATTATTTATCAAATCGCTATTAAAATATCATTTCGATTTTTGAATTTCATCAGTCTTAATGTAGACTGATGAATACTTACTCAAAGGTATAAGAATTATAAAGTATATGAACATCAGTTTTCTCCGTTATTTGATGTAACGTATATGTTTAATCAACAAAGGCTATCGGTTGTTTGCTTTATTAGCCATGTGCAGACTTGCCGAAGACGTTTAAGTCCAAACAACTTCAGATTAACCCTCACATATGTTATAGTGAACGCTTTAATTTGTTTACTATTCAGATATTTGAAGAACAGACATTTCATACACTATAGCAATTATTAATATTTATAAAATAAAAAAGAATTAAATATTTCACAGATTTGTGGTTATTTCGAATAAATTCTACCCCCAAACGAGAATGATCAAACACGTAATTTGACTTTTGATGTGCTGCATTGGCAGGAAACAAACACATTTATCCAGTTAATTTATAAAAAGAAGCCTCATTTCTGATGCATTTCATGAAAGTTCATTTGCATGAATACCATGAATGCAGCGATAACATTTCGGTATACTTCAGAACTCAGTCAGATTGGTAATATGTCAATATGAATTTTATTGATTATTTTGTTTAGCATTTGTTGAAATATACCCCCCAAAAAATTGTTATATGTATTTTGTGACAAATTGGAAACAAATTCTCCAGTGCAATTATAGGAATACGTTATTTAAGATATATATTTAATTGCATAAGGTATCCTCAAGTCCTCACCTTTCTAACTTTCCTTTTAGTTGTCATAATATATGCTACAACTTTCTAATAAGTAAAGATGCTTAGAAAGATTAAATTGCGTTGCCTTGAACACAAAATTTCATCGTTTTTCTATACTGCCTTTCTGGCAATTTGGTATTTTATACTTTGTTTGTCAGGTTTCGCGTTCTATATATAAAAGCAACTGAATATCGCCTTAGTAAATTTCAGATATTTTGCGAAAGCAGCTTATTCTTCAAAGACATAGGACGGCATACATGTTTACTGATTAAGTTTATGTAGAACGGTAATTAAATATCCGCAAATTAACATCTCGGGTTCGCCCAGCTGAACTGATCATTGCAATACAACAATAGAGAAAATGTTTGCTAATTATTGCCTCATATTGAGGGAAATATGTTTATATTGTAATGAAATTGTACTGAAGACACTAAAAACTTCTTTAAGTACTATCCTCGTAGGCGATCGCACGTAGTTTCCTTGCGATGATTCCTGTCAACGATCAGCTCTAGCCAAGTTAAATAATCAAAAAACCACAAATGGAAACCACTAAGCTTACTTCAACACAACACTAAAGTCATGAGAGTGAAAATATTTTGTTCACATAAGAACTGAATTGTTGGAAAGTTCGCAAAAAGATTCATTTAGATCAATGCGACAGTAAATTGAATCCACAACAGGCTCAGCCTACCGTTTTCTAATTTTATGCATTTTTTTCATAAAACGGCACAAAGGATGTGCCGAAACGCTTTCGTATTAAGTCCCAAACTAATCAAAAAGTCAATCTCGGCTGATAATTGCAATATTTCATTATCTTTTGACTGATTAACACCTGATAGCAATATAAAGTACTTGGATTATCTTTTAAAAGCCAGTCCTCAAACTGAAACATCACACTTTTCTCTTTATCTCCATAAGAGCAGCAAACTGTTCAGTTACAAGTTCTGTTCAAGAAATGGAGAAGGATAAAGGGTTTTTTATCGAAAACATTTTAAAAAACACCAAGTTGGATAAATCTGAGAAAATCTCTGAAGAAGAAGATGCAGAAAGAGTGAAAAGTGAAAAACGAGATGCGAATGATCCGGAGGAAAATGATTGGTTAAATCCAGGATCTTCATGTAATACTTCTCGTATACTTGGTATTCTTCCCACAGTGTACCCTGTTATCAGCAATCGTCTCGACACACATGAAGGTAAGAGTAAATAAATTAGGTTATTAAAAATGAAATAGCTAGATTATTGACGCTGACGGTTTTCGGCGGAACCACAAAATTACCGAAAGGTCCAAACTTGCGCGACTTAAATATATAGGAACTTAAGGAAAGAGGCAATGTCGGCAAAATTCATGCTTGATTATTACTGTCGGCGCGTTATTTTTTTGACACGTAAGACGTAGAACATACAGTCGTTTGAAATCGCTGACAGTTATAGTCATAGCTAACAGTAACTGAGATTCAGCGAGTTTCCATTCGAATTTGGAGCATTTTTAGAATAGAATTTCGGACATATATATTCTTACAGTTTTCATAAAAATATAAGACAGGTGTATGGCGTAGATGGTCAGGTATACTGTCATGTTTTATGTGCAAGAGACTTATTTTTTCAGTTATCTTACATGTCTTCGTCGTTTTATTCATAATCCTATATCTGACGATGTTATGGCTGTATATAGAGTCATCCAAAATACCGATTATGATAAGACATGTTTATGTTTATGTTTAGTTTCGTTTTGTCATGACGACTTCTCGACCTCAAACAAGACAAAAAATGAAGACAGCAGCACATCTAACGTCCCAAAGAAACGAAAGAGAACCGCCTTTTCTTCGCATCAGATCAAAGTTCTTGAACAGGAGTTTGAAAATAATAGATATTTGAGTGTTTGCAGAAGAATGGAGCTTGCTGCTGGCCTTAAGTTATCAGAGACTCAAATTAAAATATGGTTTCAAAACAGAAGGACCAAATGGAAACGGAAGCTTGCCGCTGACCGAGAGATGGCGTTGGCTCAATCGCACTATGCTATCCATAGCTCATTAAGAAATCCTAGTGTGTTTCTTCCTCAAAATTATTCTTTGAACGCTTTTCAAACAAACGTCCGTTATTCATTGTGTCCATTGCCTGGAATTTACGGCGAATATTAACTGTGTTTTTGCATGTTTACAATAACTTCGTTTGCAGTTACCGACTGAAGTGATATATAATATTTTTCATTTTACAAAATTCTCGCTAGTGTCACTGACGCTTAAAAAGTAAACATTAGAGCCTGTTGATTTTAAGATCATAACAATGATAAGGTAAACTAACAAGAGCCAAACTCTCGTGCACACATACATACACGATTTTCAGAAAGGTCTTGTTATAGAAACTCGAGAATTAAAATATGTCAGTTGCATTGATGTATATGCATGTGATTATATGTATAACGTTAGTCATTAAAACTGTATGAAAACTGAAACCCATGATGATGGAAGGTCCACTATTCAACACATTATTCTATACATTAAACTACGGCTCATACTAGACATTTCATTTAAAAATACACACAGAACGAAGGATAGATGTGATATTTATGTTTATATAGAGATTTAAGGTATGTCCAGTGCCGTGGAACTAATTTTTGAAACTATATAAACTGTCTGATGCATAATAGCACATAAGTATTTGTCTGCTCTGACTTCTCAGTGAGCAAACAGAGTCAAAATGAATTACTGCACAGAGCAGCACCTGACTAAGTTAGACTAACCTCACTATTGATGTGGTATGAAATCTACCAATGCAATTATTCTATAAAATAAATTACAAATGATAAATTTACATTATTTGAACTTCCTCTCTTTAATCTAACAACTTCCCTCACTATATAATGACAACCTAAAATATCTCAGTAATTTCTCTTTCTATAGCTATTTGTGTTAGCTATTTAGCGAGGCCGCGGCAATTGGCTTATAAAACGCGGAAATTGAAAGCACCCTTAAGACTTGTTCCAAGCTCGTCGTTTCTTTTTTTCAGAAGCTAGGTTGAGGATTGAGAACAGTATAGCAGGGCTTTGAAATGAGTGATTGTGCTAAGTTAAATAATTTAGATTTGTATGGGCTCCCTGTATGTATAGAAGATATTGATTGAATGTATACATACGCTTATATATAGCTACTGCATGCAAAAACAGTAACTGATTAAAAATTGTTGAGTACCTCGGATATATTTTATAGTACCAGCTTTTCTTGGTCAGTAAATGTGAAACAACTAAAATCGTGGTGAAAACAAGTAATTTTTTGGTTGTTTTCACGAAATAAAATTATTCAAAGTTAAAGAGGTTAATCAAAGACAATTAATTTTTAAATTAGTAAATTGTTTTAACAATATGCTTTTCCATAGTAAAAATCAGTTGATCCAGTTTGTCTGGAATTTTGAAAGAAATATCAAAAATCTCTGATGGCAATAAATTAATAAGATTCTATTTTAATTGAATAAGATGTTGAAAGTTTATTAGGGTCGTATGAATTGGTCTTAACAAGAATATAGCCGGAGACGATTTATGAAAGCGAGGTTGTGGGCGAACACAAGGCGTGCGAATTTCATTGGCAAATTTGAGGGATGGAAAAAATTAAGAAAAGCATCTTGGGTAATTTTTCGGGGAACGCCCTTCCTCTTGTCATTTTCGTTGCTATGTTAAAGTTTGTTAGGAATGTCCATGCACGTATATTGGTTTTCCTGACTGTCGAACTCTTATAATTCTAATTAATATATGATATTAATGCATGCATCATAGCTACATAGTGATGCTTTGAGAAATAAACAATAAAAATAATATATTTTTATATATTCTTGCCAACTTGAGAAGTCTTAATGCGAATGCAGATCTTAAACCCACAGTGAAATACTTGCATTTAAATTAATAATTGCATGTGTATAGGAAATTGCATATGTGATTATTTTTATACGTAATCCTCCTCAACATGAGACAAATTGCTTTTCAATAAATATATTTAAACTTGTGAGGTCAAGTAGACTGCAATTATATAAGATACACGAAACTGTGCATTGGGGTATACGCCACTAGAATTCACATTGTCACCACGACACATGAATGATTCAGGTTACACAGCGATCTTTCTAGCGAAATATTTATAGACTATTTTGCGTGCTGGAAATTTCTAGTCCGGCGCCGGCGTCTGAACCACCTTAAACCTCAACAAGAATCATTGTCTAAAGATCATTAGGAAACTCAAGTAAGGGTTTTCTTGACCTCAGTTTCTCGACGTCATTTCAGATAGTGTGGTAAGTGTGTTTTCCGTATCCTTGACACTTATCAATGAAGGAACTTGAAAACTCAAGTACGTTGAAGTGTATAGGAGATGAAACTTGAGCGCTTGCCGACACGAAAGTAACTTGGGCCTCTAAAACTTTGCTAAAATTGCTTCAATTCATGTCTGCGAAAGGTGAAAATGCCTTTATTTTCAATAAAGTAATACTTGATCCATGCCGAATCCTCTGGTTGTGTGGCAGTGCAGTACGAAGGGTCGAGAAATACAGTTTAAGAATATGCATATAGTCAACTTCACGAGTACGCGTATTTTTAGATCATGTTTTTTATAACAAAACGCGTTTGTTGTCTGAGCTCTTTGAGCTAATACTAAAATATCCTAAGGGTGGCTTGGAACGATATACCGCTGTTTAAGATAAGCTACGCAGATCTGCACGAATGACTATCACGGGATCACGCAAAATAAGGCGGGAACAGGATTTACACATGAGGAACATTCACTAAGTAAATTAATACTAATAATTTTTCCTGTACATAACTATAATTTACGTTTGGCAATAAAAATTAAACGCAAACACTGACCCTGTTTAATTAAGATGAAAGCTTGTAGTGTTTTATTAATTGGCGAACATGACCAATATTTATAACACATCATATGAGATGAGATTGTAACCATCAAGGTCAAGTTTATGCAAGCTGTTTTAATGAATGGCGTATATATTTGCATGCAATTTTTTTCCTTCATTATTTGTATTTCTAATGGTTATACTATTCCTCTTTTGGTTTTCGACAATTGTTCTGTAGAGGTGCTTCCCTGTATGATTTCAGTTAGATTAACCCTGCCGCGGTTCAAAACTAAAAGCGCCCGCGTATATTCGTAAAACGTATCTTACAGACTATGAGAAAACGGTAACAATTTTTTTAGCTATATAAATTGACTACAAGTGACTTATGAGCCAACGCGATATATTGTTGATTAGGAAATGTAAGTCTATAGGAATTTATCTTTATTTTTTATATAATTATGGACTGGATAATTCCACCTAATCACCACTCATCATTACAATTTACAAAGTTTATATAGCTAAAAAATTATCTACTGGCAATTATGTAATGACCAGTATACACTTAAGTGGATATCGCATTATATTTTCATTCTGTGTTCTTCTACAGTACTATAATTCGCAAAATCTGTTTGTATCAGTAATTCAGGCGACAAAATAGAAAAAGCAGTATTCGCTAAAAAGTCTGTAGTTTGCAGTCATAACCCGCAGAACGACCCCCGCATCCATGAACGACCTAATCAGGCAATGTTTGATGTTCAAAATATCCGGCAGGCAATTTTAGTTAATTGTTTGTTGCAGTTGTTTGAATTTTTGAATTCTTTCAAAAAATTAAAATTTTGCGTGGGAGTCAATTGCTTTGCTTTAGCAATTAGGTCACACGAAAGAATATAACGTTAAGCTAGACCATGTTTATCGTATAATCACGGTAATCTTATACACTCATATTTTTTAACATATTACATGCAGTTTCGGGTTATTTTCCTATAAGCAATTGTGCCCAATCATCCGATTTTTGATGGGACGGATCGAAGGAGTATTCTTGACATTCATCCAATCTGTAAAAAACACCATAAAAGCCACATAATGTATAAATTTACCCATCATGCAATATAAGATTGCATTTTTTGGCCTTATTTCAACACCTATATAGAAACTTATCTGCATGCAAACCTTAAGGCTATGCTAACTATCTAAGGTCTCTTAGAAGAAGAAAGAAACTTTGTATCTTACCCACCCACATATAATTATTTTTATATTGCATCTTATTATCAACCTAAAGAGAAAAAGCAAGCAGTGATATACTTTTATTTATTCTAGAAGCCATTCTGAATGCCTTTGACTTTATATTTTATATTCACTTCATATTTCACATCAATTTCTCCTCTTTAACTTCATTTATGCATTTTATGCATCGATCATTTTGTTGGCTCGAGGATCGATGCGTATTGTAAACATTTAGGGAATTAAACAAATATATAGGAAGAAAGTGTAGTTAGCTGCTGCAAATTTTCCGACTGTTTTAGAGTTGCGTGAAGGAATCTTTCACACGATCACGCGTCCTTTGAGTTTAATCGCACAATTAGTGCAATTACAATTATGTGCTTAGTCTATTCCTGCGTCAGAGATGCATACCATTGCTGCAGAACGCAGCAGGGGGACCTCGACAGAAATGAAACATCGTGGCATAATAAAATTATACACGTACAAATCTATCAAACTTCTTCGTACATCAACTTATTTATCTTTATACAAAAGACGCAAAAGTCGCCTCTATATATATGATACAGTTTCAACGATTCAGATTTATTTACATGCATCTAAGATTAAGAGTTATAGTATATTGTTGATATATTCAATGGTGTATATGATCGTTATTTTTGTCTATAATATTCTGTAATCTGTATGAAATTAAATTATAATTAATTTTAATCCTAATTTTAAGTTGAAATAGATTTAATTGCGATTTACTATATAGTCGTCTATAGTATACCATCCTATTACTACGCCACAGTATAATATAGAATATTAGCACACTGGATTACTCTCACTGTTGGCAAATAATAAAATAATTATTTAAAGTTATTTGATCTTATAGCATCCTGTTTTGTGAAACCGTTTAAACGTTCTATAATTTGCATCAAACCACATTCAATTTCCCTATATTCCTGCATTTAATTGATAAAATAATAATACTTCAGTCTCGAAACACAATCGATATATTCGTAATGATCTTGCGTGATTTTAACGACTTCCTGCTTGTGCTGTTTCGCATTCCGAGATGTTTATCATTTCATCAAAATGTCTCGATCAACTCTCAATTACAGCATTTAAATTCTTTTCAATAACAATGTATTGTCGAACAACATAGCAATAAACTTTAATTGAACAGGACATTTTTAGCTTTGGATCATGCGAATTCTTGTAGCGAATCTTATCTCCTTCATCTTCTATGAAAGAAATTCAATTTGATATATTTGCAGTTTACCTGCAATTGAACATAATATACAGGAAAAGTACAAAAGCAACAAAATGCATGTTTGTTTGATCATGTTTGAATAAACTTGGCTTAATGATAGCACAAATCATTTCAATATCCTGGAGCCATTCGTATAGGAGCATGTAAATAAAAAAACCGTTAAAGTTGGAAAGTATAGAAAGTGCAAAGCCAAAGGCTATCCATTTAAACCATAATTCGACATGGGCTCGATCATTTAAAATGTAGCTGGTAGATATAACATAATTATTGTGGCGGCAAATCAGTGAAGAGGGTTGTTGGTAAAGTGCATGAATCATATTAAAAAAAAACTTGTGAAGTGGGTCCGTTTAACGGTAAGCCAATCAGGTTCGAGCAACAATTTTGACCTTGAATGGCGATTTTGTTTTGGTAAACAGTTTTAAAACATGTTGCATGCATGGCTTAAGCTTTAGCGCTATATGCATTTATTTATTAATGGCTTGAAATTCAAGAGTGTTGACACACTAAATTGAGATAGTTTTGCAAAATAGAATCGATTACATAATTTTATAAACTTAATTCGTTATTTCGAGTCATGATTCCAAAGACTGATGCGAGATTTGAAATCTGTCAGTCTAGGTTATGTCATGTGATGGCCTTCGTAAAGGGTTGCCCCTTTAAGGAATTATTAACATCTACTAATAGAAGAAAACAATCATTAGATTAGATTAGCTAAATTTCTACTCTTCAACGTATGTAATAAGTCACGAGGTAATTTGATCGAATAATAATTAATATTTAATATTTCTATGGAATGAGTTGTTCAGTGCACCCGTGAACACCGCGTGTTAAACATTTTGTCACTTCGCAGTCATTGCAGCTTCAGGTCGTTAACAAAGTCTCCGATCCAAATGTTTGTCTTATAAATGTGCATTGAAAGTCATTACCCCTAATGTTGCAACTGTAATATTCAACATGAGATTTTAGTAACATATGTTTATTTCTTCGAAATCTTCACAGCACGGTACATCTATATCACAAAAACACCCAAAACGTTTTTAGACATTCTCACGGAAGCACTAATTCGCCTTGTTAAAGTTCCCCCAAGTCAAGATGAGAGCAATATCGAGCCATATTTTGGGCATAATCATAGATAACCTTGGCTATTAATACACATATAGTTCCGTGTTAACAAAACATTGTTTTTTACCTGTACGTGCATGCATGACTTGAGAAATATATTTATTGCACGTTCTTGGGAGAATTATTTATTCTCACGTTGAATACAATTGAACTTCTTTTGTTTTCGATCATTGGCATCTAGTACGACAGTGTTTTTATATATAACGCAACGTTATGTCTAGGAGATATATATAAAAAACTGCATGCAAAAAGGATGGGTATATTTTTAGAATTATAAACAAAGAAAAACGTGTTGGGCGTAAAAGGAATTCGAAGTAGTCAAACAAACTTAAGGTAAGTCACGAACATACAAAACTGCCGCTGTATGTCTATCTTCTTCAAACCAATCGTCGTAGTAATTTACAATTGAGACGCCATTAGACAAATGGGCGCATAATAACAAAATGACAAAGTGATAATTCTTACAAGACCTGCATATATAGTACTACTGAAAAGCATCTTTGTCTGTCACAATCTAATTTGAAATTATAATCAGAATAGGACTCGGTAAACTGTCTGTAGCCATATTGTGGTTTCCTGCAGACTGAAAGATTTAGAGACAGAGTCAGAGATCAGAATGATTAGATATTTCGGCAGCTTGCTTGTTCAATAACTTTTACTCCATTCAAAAGCATGCTAAAATAATTATTGACTATATTGTAGTGTCCTAAAACGAAATAGTATAGACTTATCAGTCAGTATTAATTCACTTACTACAGCAGTGTTTTTAAAACTAATTTGTTTTAATTTACTTTTTATTTGCATATCAGGCTATATGCATGGATATCCCTATATATACTGGCATACTGATAAACTGAAAAAAAGCTGAAACATATTTAACAAGGACTAAACTTCGTTTCAATTTTCTGAAAGACTATAGAATGGCATTGCTCATAAGACGCAGACTAGAAAGGCATAATTATATATGTCTAAGTAATTAACAATGTCAATGATTTCGTGTTCAAAATTTCAATTTTGTTTCACCGCCATTTGGCGCCTGTTGGTTTTAAAACTGACTTCATGTAAACAGAGGAGAGCAAATGTATACTTAGCGTCTATTATATGCCCTTTAATTTTAGTAATTTGGATAGTTTAGTGCCAATATTAGGGATAATGAATAAATATGAAACTGTATAACTATAAGATAACCCCATCCATGGTTGAGTCAATATATAGAACGTAAATTTGTGCCCTAAACTCATGTATAGCCATTAGGTTTGCCCAAATGATTTTAAATTGTTTTTGTACCATCTGGTTTGCCTGTGTGTGTAAAGCTGTCTAAGTCCGCTGTCTATAACCATGACAATGGATAATTGTTTTTATTTATTTAAAATATGCATGAAAGATGAAAATTAAAAGCTAAGTTATTTGTTAACACATACAGCATCCAATGCTCGCTACAACGCCACTGGCACTGACAAACACTTTGTTTTATTTAGAAACTAGCTGTCTCATGTTCACATTATATTATCCAGCACAACACTCAATTGATCCAGGGTGTATGTAACATTATATCATAGACCACACAGTCCTTCAAAAACGTGGACCAGTTCCTATTAAGCAGTACAAAGTAAACATTTGTAAATGATAAGTGGATAAGTTGTTGACTCAAATTGGAAATGCCGACGTTGAGTGTTTTCTCAGGGCAATGCATGCCAATGCCAGTGGCCCACACATTTTGAGATGGATGAATCATTGTCTCCGTGGTTACGAAAGTTCACAATTCCTATTCGACATATTATTTTTCACAAAAGATCGAAGTTGAAATATTCTTTAGGAGGTTCCATGAGCCCCGACAAGAGCACTAAATGAATAGGAAAACATCACATCACATGAATTACTGTTGGATAGATTGTTCTCGAATTCATATTTTCAGGGACATAGTAAATAATTTATAGTAAGATGGCCTATAATGTCTATATAACATCGTGTATATTTTGAGCAATAATATAGCTAATGTTTAAAATTCCTCGTGCAGATTATTTGTAGGGTTTTTCTGTTCTGGAGCTTTCTATGTCTCCTCCCACTGCAATGTCATTTTTTGTGCTTTTCACGTTGCATTATCTCCTCTCATATTCCATTCATTTTCGGTCGTTGTTTTGACGTAGAGCATGTTTTACCGTGTTAAATAATTAAGTGGTGAAAGTTTGATCAATTTTGAACAATTATGTCCGCTATTGTCTAAAATCAACACAAATATTCTTATAGTTACAGTCAAAAGTGTTTGTCAGTTGACCTTATAGTTTTCAGTGCTTCTTGTAGTTATAATATATTAATATAGCATAACCCTATAAGAGACAACCGCCTAAATACGTCTAATGTACAATTAGCAAAGAATTTCTTAAGAAATTATTGACAATACTTTTTCAATGAAAGATTTCACTACCAAATTTTTAGTGGATTTTCGGCGTTAACGTGCTGACCATATTGCTGTTTAGGAAGCCTTTTGCATGTACGTGTGAAATCAGCTTAATAACGGCATTAAGATCGATAACCAGTTTAAACGATTGAACCGTTCAGTAGAGATAATACGATGCATGATAAGCGGAATAATTTCTTCTTGAGAGCGAAGAATTTATATATTTTTATCTCTTCGTCACAAAGTCAGTAGCGATCTACGGTTTTAATGATGCATGCAAGGGTTCTCAGGCTATCAGTTGCAATTATTGCTTTTACCTTACAGCATATAATGCCAATTTTAGCTTAAAAGTATTAATAGGGGAATTATGACCTTTTATATACCGCCACGCTTGTTGTATATAAACAACTTTAAATTGCCTTTCATAACCTGTATGCATGTTCTAACGTTAAAAGCTGTTTTTATGTGATGGACTACATACTGAAAATATCAATATACTATATACATTGTCTATAAGACTATATACGTATAAGCCCGCGAAGGAACATCTATTGCATACAATGACGGCGTATTCTAAGGGGGGTATGATCACGAGTCACGGACTGCATGTGACTAAAAGGCAAGCATTTAGCTATAAAAATGTCATTGTCTCTATGTTCAAGTCAGACAAAGGTCGTTAATTCGCTGGGAACTTAATTCAACATTTTCCCTATAGTTATTTACAGCAGTATATATAGTCTCGACAAATACCACAACAGTCTATTAACTAATTAGAAAATAGCATAAAATTTGGGTCTTTGCGTAGCTTGAGCATATAACAGGCACAAAGACGTGAAGTCATTAGAGATATAATAACCATATATTACTATGGCCATAAATGAGAATAAATGAGAGTAAATATTAGGCCGGATGGTTACAGCAAATCATTTTCGATCCCGATGTTTACCTACTACGGTTGACGCTTTATCATGCGGCGTCATCTAGACTTCTATATAACTTTACCCACGCACTTTTATTGTTGCTTTCATATATTGTCTATATTTCTTATACAAAAAAAACTATTTAGATACACACCATGCACATGAACGTTATAAGTATTTTTATATATTTAGTGAAGAAACATCTTTGCGGTAAAGTAACTTTACTGAAGCATACAAATCCAAATTAAGCCAAGCTTCGATTTATGTTCATTAAATGTGCAATAATTCCAAGTTTGCCATATGGTGTTTTTCAAAGTATTTTCATAGTGTATTTTATGCCCTAGCCCTGGCATATATATGTATACATTCATTTATATGCATTCAACAGCCAAAAAGAGTCTTAATAGTGGGAAGGGCGGGAACCATACTCTCCACAACTGTGATAATTCGATGTGTAAATACGCGATAATAATAACCATAATTTGTAAACACAGCTATGGATATTTCAACTGATCGTTAAAAGTACTCGCCCGCTGTGCCTATAGTCTACCTTCTGCTTAATAAACCTAATATTTCAACGAATTACGCTTGAAATGTCTTATGATTATGTCTTACAACATTACAGAAATATAAAGTTATGTGTGCTTCGGATTGACGAAAAAATACGTTGGTGAAGATATGTTAGAATATCATGAATGTTTCCTCGCAAGTTTTAATAACCCATCAGGTGTCGTCAATATTTGTGAGGATGAACACATTAAGAGTTAATGTTTTCTTCAAGCTTTCACCCTTATCATAAGATACACCGCTGAGATTGAAACACAAGGTATTTTATGTCTTTGTTCAAACCGGCACCACCATGGCTAGAGCTCCGGGCAATTCTCAAAGGATGCTCATGCACAAGTCATAGAAGTTCACGAAACTATTTTTATTTCATTCCAAACCTTCTCCTTCTCATCCTGGCTGAATATCTCGACTAATAATAATGTATCCTATCGCAGAAGCTTAATGTAAATGGTGTAAAAATTTCAACTGTGGTGATATAGGGAAATTATACATAAAATATATAAATTATTATCTATAGTAGAACCCTGCATGGAACTAAAAAATCCTCTAACAGGAATCAGACACACGTACGGTTCTGCGACCCTAGTCCAGATAATTATGATATAATTTATATAAGTTATCAAACTCGAAATTCTACCATTTGACCTTCAAAACAATGATAGCTATCGTTAAGATGCAGAAAAAACCTTTATTTTTTTAAAAAGTCCAAAAAGTTTCTCATTATTTCAGTCATAGAATTTGAAATTAACAGGATTACGAGGATTATGGCACGGCTTATTTGCTTAGGTAAATAGTTTCTTAAATGATTGCTGATTTAGCCATAACGTTCTTTAGTTATTTTGACATTCTGTTGCATGAAGTGTGTGTGGCTGGCAGCGTCATATCATTGAAGAACGGATGTTAGCAAGCAAGTGTCTTGGCGCGTCACGTTAACCCACGCCTTTGCTGTTTAAACCAAAACGAGAAAACATTTTCCGGAGTTTTCTTCTAATATTTATAATTTAAGTTATTACTACACTATAAATTTACTATATTTACATATATAATTCAGTCTAAATAGATTTCAATTCTATGTCAGTTAGTCTTGATGACTGTCATTCTCTGCATACGTTTTGCGTAAGTGTTGCCCTCTTATTTTCAAAGGTCGAGACACTCAATCAGATATCTGTGTTTACATTGTCAAGCATTCATGCAATCATGTGTGAATTACTTTACGACTTAGTGTTATCTTAACAGATAAGTGCCATTCTCTCCTCATATTAAAAACATCCCTATATCATTGATATTGAATCGCCCTCTCTCCCCGTTATACATGCACCTCTTATCTTCTAATATTTACAACTAGTTTTTTAAACTGTCTACGCACTGTGTTTTAGGTTATAACAACGGTGTAGCCGCGAGAAGAGCTTTTCATGCATCTCCAGCATAATTTTCTTAAAAATGATTTACAATCAATAAATAATCTTTAGGTATATTACCCGAAACGTGAATGTTTAAATTGAACACTGATTAAATGCAGAATTTCCGAGCTAATGCCTTGTTTGAAATGGAGAACTGCAGTCGAGCGGTGTTGAATTTGATAGAGACCAGTGTTCAGGTAGGTTATCATGTGTCCCTGGTGTCGTTGGTGAGCATGCATCATTCTCGCTTTTCTGTAGTGAACTCTCCCAAAGTGTTGTGGCCGCATTCTGTATTAAAGGTTTCTCGTCGGGAGTTCTTTCACCGCCATTTTTCATCAATTTTTTCACCTTAGATCTTTTATTTTGAAACCAAATCTTTACTTGCGTTTGAGTTAAGCCAAGTCTCGCGGCCAATTCTGCTCGTTCAGGTAGAGCAAGATACTGTGTACGCTCAAATCGTCTGTTTAGCTCTCGTAATTGATAACTTGTGTATATCGTCCTCGGTTTACGAGGTCGTTTACCTTTATTGTTCAAACGCGGTTCATCTGAGTGGTCTAAAAAGCGGAAAATAACATTCAAGTTACAGTTTCCTTACTGCAGAATATGAAGTGTTGATAGTTATATTCGGATCAGGCTCATGTTGGCTCCGATGTAGAAAAGAGGCTGGGCTGGTATACTGTCGTATGACAATAATTCAACTGATGTGTTATGTCTGTAGAAACACTATGGTGTTTCTGTCGACATCTAATCATTTGCAATGGCTGAAATTTCATTTTAAAACGTCAGTTAACTTCTCAGTATACTGAATATCTATTCTCTGATGAGTAATATGAAATTCGTGACATGTCAAACCTAAGCGATGCGAAGGTAAAAAGCCAATATTTCTCCCTGCTTAGCAAGACTGCTCAACTAAGACATCATGATTGTCATCTTAACCATTTTGAAATTTTCGCATCAATGTATGCTTATTGATCTGTTTAATAATCTCTTATTTTCCAAGACTTATGTAAACACATCTATATCAAATATTATACGGTAATTTACACTGCTCCATTTATTTTGTGATTACTCGCAGACACCGCGGTTTATTCAAGCAGATTGAGCGCCGTGCATGCACGTGCAAGAAGCAAGGAAAGTTAAACATTGGGAATGATTTATAGGTGTATTTACCGAGTCGTTTAGGAAGAGAGTTTTTACTGGTAGTAAAGACTAACCGCTATCCATCTTACCTTCGTATAATTCGCGCGGGACGTACGGTATATAAGCATGTGAAGTCGGTGGTGCTGGAGGGCCAAGATGATTCACTGGAAGTGGAAAGTTCATCCGAGTGCTGTAACTTGGAGGAAGATTATACTCCGTTCTCGGAGATCCAACAGCGCAGCGCGGATAATAAGGAGCATAGTGGTGGCTTAACGGAGACATATTTGAAAAATCCATGAATGCTGATTTCTGTAGCTCAGGATGTTCAATAGCGAAGTTCATACTGGGTGTTTTTGTTTGTTGTGATCTGCCAAGATCGATCTTTGACAGAAGTGTGTTCCTTGTCCAGGAGATCGTTTTGAGTGTCTGTCAGCTCAAGACCAATGAATATATATAAATGTGTTACCTCTAGCTTTTTTATTGTTCCTCGTAATTTATGCATAGGAAGAATTGAACAGCTTGCAAATGATAGCTTTAATTGGCTCTTAGAATAATGACTTCTTAATTGTATTGTTTCCTCGCAACATTAGTGAATTCACAGCAAACAAAGAATCTTTTCTCAACCATATGTCGGATAAGAGAACTCCAACATCCCTCTGAAGTTTGCCGTCTTCAGAGGCAAGGCTATTTTTTTTGCGTAGGTTTAAACGTATGAAAACGTTCTTACATGCATACACCGTGCATTTGTCCTCTTGATTCTCTGTAAGAAAACTGTAATCATTGAGGGTGGTGAAGGTCTCTTCTTGTAAAAAGTAAGCGACATATGTCTGTGACACCTTTCAAAATGACTTGAATCTAATTCAGAATTGCGAAATAATTTTCAAGTGCTCAGATCCAAAGCAGGGACATCAATTTTTAGTAGATCCTGATCGCGCAAACTTTAAATAGTTCTCATCGCAAGTAGCCCCTGAAATGGGCACTAAAACAAATAATGAAACTTCGACTGAGTGCACGAAAACTGCCTTTTATTGTACGCTCAAACAAGTAAAATTTCCACTGAAGATTATATATATTTCGAAGCACAAGAACTGTCCCAATTTTTCTATCATCTTCATTACAGATTGCATGACTTCACAACGGATGTCTATTTAGGAACATAAACAAGTTCCTTGGTGAAAAGGGAACCTTTCAATGTAAGGCCATTTGCATGTCTATCTGTCTATATATATGTATATATGTATATATAGACTGCAATTATACAACCATGTTTTGTTGTTTGTTGCTCGAAGTGCATATTTAAGCCTACTCAGTTCGAAGTAATGTTATAGAGTATTTATTTTGATGCATGCTGAATATATTTATCATTGCATTCAAATTCATTCACTGCCGCAAAGATGAGATCATGGTGGTTTCAAAAAATAATATAGCATTTTATTACAACTTTCGATTTTCATTACAGCAGAAATATCCCAATATTCCTAGTGCGAAATTTTCCAATTTCAATTATTTATAATAGTATTTTGCATTATCTACACTTTTTGTAAAAGAAAATTGTCATATACTGTCTGCGTGCTTGCCTTAATGACATTTTTTATTCTAAATTGCGCGGTTTACACTTACTTTAGTGACTCGTGTTGTGTCAATTATCGCAGCATTAGCGATGCTTTGCACTTGATGTTTTACCCTATGCATGCTTCCTATGTTTATATTACGTATATAAGAATCGTCAAGGTATTTTAGTACTTCCCGGTGGGATGGTCTGGTTTGCTTCAGTGTGCTATTTTAACCGCAATTATGCATACAGGGACTTTTTCTTCCTTGATCGATGATACGAGTTTACCGCACCGTGCTCCTTATCAGAACGCTCTAAACAGCCATGTAGTCTATTACGTGTGAAAATGTGTTTCCTTAAGACGTATCGAAATCACCGGACATTGTGGGAGTCATTATATGTGAAAAGGGATACGTTGATCTTCCTACATGAATATATACAGCCTTGTTTAAAAAATATTTTTAGATTTAAAAACGAAATCCCAGCGACGAAATATAACTATGGAAAACCTGAATAAGATTTTCTTGCGTTCGCTCAAAAATACAATTCCCGCCAGGAACGTTTGCCTCTTGACAGAGAAACGCGGCAATTAATCTTCATGTAGTTATAATTGCAATTATACTTCCTCTCGCTAACTCGTATTCCTAATAAAAGGTTAATTTCATGCGTTGCCTTGCTTGTAACTTATATTGTGCATGACTGTTGAAGAGCTAAAACCGCGTGTACACGTGGACTTCTATATTCTTCGAATATTTCATTTTCCTCATAGCAAACATAACTTTAGCAGAGAAAAAGAAAATAAAGATTCTTTGAATCGACTTTTGATCTAATTTCTCGGCATCCAAATGGGTGGGGCCATCTACGTCCATTTTTACGTCTGGACGTCCACGCATTTACAAATTATAGCATGCATATTTCAAATATGTTTTCGTAGTTTCTCACGGCAGCACCAGATACACGGCAATGCAGTTATATAGTGTATACATATCCTTGCAGCCGAATAGTAAATAAATATATTCGTGGTTATCGTCCTCACTGATCGTCCAGGCTGTTATTTTCTATATTGTGTTTTGTACATAATGAGCTGTAAATGAAATAGACCTAGCACTTTGAAAGCACATTAAAATTTTGTGTTAATGAGGTTCTTGGATTTGATTGCCTTCTTCATATCATTTCAAACTAACATGTTAAAGTAATTTCGACGTGATACTCGCAGTTCAACAGCTGTAAAATGCTCAGAAGTTTGGGCAAAACGTAAATAAACAGTCGACGTCACATTTGCCTAAATCGTAAGACTCGAAGTCTTGGACTTGTATACGAATCATTGATCCAATTCAGGGTGATTTTCCTCCCAATTGCCTCTCAGCTAACCATAAATAATTACATCAAGTATTTTCCGTCAAAACTTGTGAAATCTTATTGTCTTCGCAGTCGGCCAAGATATGAAAATCATTACAAACTGCAGTGATTGAGAATAGATCAATAATTAAGGTGAATAAATGAAAAGATTGCGTTACTGAGACATGATAGAAATGGCAAATATAAAATTGCGCTGTGGGTGAGATGATCGTTTATAGCGGATATAAAAATTAAGCGAAAAATTTATTTTCCTTTGAACTTTAATTAATAATGCCACATTTAAACTTGCCTCTTAGTATGTATGCCATTAATTTTCGCTGCTATGTGTTGTTATTTTTACATCCAAACAAAACTGATTCAATGGATAACAGGACTAAAACAAAATGATTTTGGGTGAAGAAGGTTCGATGTTATAACACAATACAATAGTTTCTAGCTATGTATGGGATATATGCTTCTCCTGGCTTGATCTCTTCAAATTAGAGAGAAAGAGAGAGAGAGAGAGCAGGTGTATTAGCGGCAATGAAAATAAATTAAACACAGGAGATTGTTTAAAACGCATCTATATAACAGGATTTTCAATTCATGAATAAAATATTCAATTTAAATCAGGTGCTAGATTTTCATTCATTTCTATTCTTTATGTATAAGTATACCTGTAACACGCCGGTGCCAATAGCAGAGTGACTAATTGAGTTTTGTCTCAATACCTTTAGCGTTTGCCGAATGAACTTAAAACATCGTGAACCCAGTTCAATATAATTTATATGAGAGTTGTCGCAAAAAAAGATCAAATATTAGGAGAAAGCATTACGATCGAGTCGTATAAGGCTATCCGTATAATGTTAATAGCGCTATCAATATTATTACCTTCCAATTACTCCTTAAAATCGTTGATTTAAGTTAAATTTTAATTTGTATGGATGAGCTACAATGAGGTAATAATTCTATAAAATAGGAGAGATTTTATCCGCTTTGATAAAACTGTTCTCTTGGGGTCCTGGAAGGGTATTAACCGTAAATGTTGAACGTATGTTACGTCAGAATGTACGCATACGAATATTCGAGTGTGTCGATGTAATCTGTCGTCTTTGAAATTTGTAAAATAAATCTATATAAGGTCACCCTTGATATATATGCATTGAAAAACTGACATAAGCTAATATGGATGGAGTTTCAAATTTAAAAGACCTGCTGTCGACACAAACAGAAAACCTATTCAGGGCGGAAGAAAAATGTCCAAGCTCCTTTATAGAGATTTGTATTCAATATTCGACTCAATGCAGAAGTACGTTAAATTACTTATACTATCCGTAAGCATTACCCAAAAAGTATTAATGAAAAAATATTGGACTCATTCCATAACAATAGATATAAGCTTAAGAATATTTTTTCAAACTATATGCGATGCCATTCTGTTTGTTTGGCAAAATAAACTAGAATTGTGCGGCAGTTACAGTGTATACAATATACAGCAGATGTGTTCGTGTTGAATGTGCAATATCATTTTGATTGTGCAACATATACCTTATGTATATAGCCTATATATAGCTATATAGATGAACGATACTCATTAATAATGCAAATTGTGACCGGGGGCAGGAGTCAGTTGTTTAGCTATGAAAAGGCCAGTTAAGCCCTCTCAGTATAGCTACAACTCTTATGAAAGTTTTTGCCTAAGAATTATCAATGCCTTATATATCTATAAATATGTAAACATTGCTGTTTTGTTTCCTCGGGATTTTTCAAATGATTTGATTTTCAAACACGCAGAAACCGATAACGTAACAATTTATTAACATCATGTGAAGATATCAAGATGTTTCAGAATTGGATGGCACATATTTATGTTTAAACCCAACCTTCCAAAAATGCATGTGTATACGAAAAGTGCCATTTTTAAGTCCATTAACAGGATTCAAACCAGCTGCCCCATAAAATTAAGTTGCATTTTCGAATTAACATGCACGATTTAACTGTCCAAGAATATAGTTGAGTTTTATCTAACCGACTCAAAATTATTATAAGCCCTGAACAAATTAGCTGGGGGGTCGAAGTAATCATTTTTTTAGAACAAGCCCCAACAAAAATTATTGGAGTTTGCATGGAACGTTTGATCCACAGATTGAAATTTGTTCTCGTGGTCGGTTTCACAATCCTCGACACAATCTATATGCATAAAGATATATATATCTCACATGCAGGAATATCTTCATCTGGGATTCAAAACAGTGTCCATTTATTGTTGTTTCAAACTGCGCTCTTTGCAGGTTTTCACAAACAATCTGGACCTAAAACTTGCTGAGCCGTTGTGTTGAGTTTGTTTGTAGTTTTCGTTAGTCACTACAGCAGTATTCCGGCCGTTTGTTCGATGTTATAGCTACAAGTGGCCGGCCAAACTTGAGAAATTTCGTAACAATTATTTGATTGCGATACGTGTATATATGATTGTTTTTGTTTCTTCATATTATATTTGTCTCCATAAGTAGCTATTTATTTCTTTTTCCGGCAACTTAGAAAGATAAGGAAGGAAGATTGATATGATACTGCATCAGCATAAATACAATCGTCCCCATATCTCACTAATAATGCACGGTATCACGTGTATGTTGAAGTCGTGCGGTCTAAATGATTTTTCTTTACCTCTTTCACGTTCAGTCTATGACATTGAAATGATACTATATATGTTAGTTAGATTATGATCTGTTGATAATCAACAGATTTTGAATAATTATCAGCCAGTCAATGCTCCATATCTAGCATGAATTAAAGAGCGAATGAGCGACTAGTTTCTAGAGAAATATATAACCATGCAATAAATGAAATAGAAAACGCCAGGCATAATATTTATTCATTTTATTCCGCCAGAAACACATGTCAGAGGAATAGAAAGAACAGAAAGAGTTTTGTTGCATGAGTATAAACCAAATGCATTGTTGTATATCACTTGGATATTATTTCACAAGGACAAGAGGATGTGTGTTATTAAGATTAGTGACGGTTTTAACCGTTAAATATCAAAATGTCATGCAGTGAGGCTCAATATCAGCTGCGGTACGCAGTCTTCAAGACGTCTTCACTGTTCATTTCTAAGGAGCATCACCCTTGGAGAATATTTCCGGAAGGACCGCACGCGTATTTTGCATTTAGTGTTTTGTAATCTGACTATCAGATACAAGCATGCAAAAGGAGTTGCAGTAACTTCACCCTAATGGACGGAATTTCCCAAGCGAAATCTTCCCATCGCTGGCATAAAAAAGCATGCTTTACAGTGCCCGAGTATAGGTGTCATTCCTCGCTTGAATAATTTTTTTAATAGGAAATATGTAAATGTTGTAATCATTGCGAAATTATGACCTCGGAACGGAAAGCTGATTTTACAGCGCAATATGTGAAAATGCATGTGAGAGATTAGATGGATATTAATTTTGAGCAATAACCCTATATATCAGTCGATTTATGACAGTTAATAAAGTGATAAAACACAATGACATAATTTGAATTTTGAGCAAGTATATTTCCATGAGAAATAGAAACATGTTAAATAATTTTAAATGAAATTTCCCTTAGTTTTACACGAGTGATCTCGATTACAATTACTAGTATATAGCACCTGCATGAATACGTATAATAATGAACATGAAGAATACTTATATTCCCAGTACTTATGCATTATAATCGTCATTTTAAGTACTGAAGTAATTGCGATTTTTGGATACTTTGTAATACCATGCATGTCAAGATTCACATTTCAGTCCGCTTGCCATGAGACAGGCGAAGATCGTCATTACCATTTTTGGGTTGACCTCCACAATATCTTCGGGCAGAGCATAAATGCGGGCACCAACTTTCCGAGCCATCGAGATAGCAAACTTTGCGTTGGAAAATTTCGCTTCGTCGGTGTCCGTCGTTTGCACTGCCGGATAGTACACTGACTTGGGTTTAATGCTGTCGATGAGGTCAATTATCGCTTGTGAAGAACCAATCGTAGGATCCTTGAAATTGGCAACCTTTGATGCTTTATCGCGTTGTTGAAGTTTTTCATTGACCCAGTTGATAATCTGTTCATCCTTGACTGGTTTATCAGATCCAGCAATAGTCTGCAACAGGGACAAGGTGTAAAAATGCATTGCCTGACTGACGAGACCAAGAATTAATTTCTTGCTTCCTTCATAAATATCCTGACCGCCAATCCCGACGACGGATAGTTTCAGTTCATCTGCGACCGTGACAACGTAGTTGCAGTTTTCTAATTTTTTCATTTTGCCCGATAGTTTCGGAAACGGTGGCATAGTTATGGATTTCCATTTTACAACTCCTGGTTTGATCTGCAGGGGGGATAAAAAAGAGATTGCATAAATATCATGTCGCAAATAACAAAAATTAATCTACCTGAAATTGATCTACCTGTTCAAATAGCTGAGCCAAAGCAATACCATCAGCCAAATCAGAAAAAAGATGGTGAACTTGCGGCTTGACTCCAAGACTATTGATCCAGTTTCGTAACGTTTTCTCTTCTCTTGTCTCTTCAATATCAATAACTTCACTTTCGTCAAACTCCAAAGATGGATGAGAGTTGAAGAGGTGACACATGAAAGCGAGGTTTAACTTGGGATTTCCTTCAACGATGTCGCTTGGACGAACAAAAGAATCACAATCTAGTTTCTTGGCGTTTTCCAATACTTTCTCAGCCCTCTTGACTAAGTCTGATTCCGTTATATGGGGCTCATCCAAGGGTACTGTTGGTGGGGCAATCTGCAATAAAAATACATGAATTAAATTTATTATGAAATCATACATACCCTAACATACAAGCTATCTCCACAACACCGTATGATTTTCAAAACACTAACGATAATATTATGCATGCATGCATACTAAAAAAAATTTTACCCAAGTTATTTGATTCTACTAGTCCTATTTCATGATAAGGTATATAGGCAGGTGTTCCTTATTACTGTCCTTATGCAAATCAATTTTTAAATAATTTATGTTTTGGACCGGCCACATATGTACTGGTCATTGATGAAATCGAGGCAATGTGTGATTAGAGAATGCAATGCATCGCGGGAACCATGTTAACACACCTTCTTCATGAGGACACTATAGACTTCAGAATCCTTGATATCTTCTGAGAAATTCTTAACGTTTCTCATATATCCAGTCTCACGCATATGGAAATTCACCCAGCGCAAAACAATATCCTCTGGCGAAAGTTTGGTGATATCAGAAATACTCTCGTCCCCTTCCAATAATGCAGAGATACCAGGGCAGTGTTTGATGTTAATCCTGTTGAAGAGACCAATCTAAACAGACATCTGGAGATCGTATTTTCGAACACGCAGGCTAGGCTTATACCCAGCTTATACTAAGATCTAATTCCCTATTTTTAATTGATGGTATACACTTTTTATACAATATACAATATAGCATGCCATTATTGGCAAGCATTTGTTGATGATCGGCGCGACATAATCAACATTCTCACAACTCAACTAAAATAGTCACTGAAGCAAAAGTATGCAGAGTGCATGTGCAGTGGATGCACAGTTTTGAGACTCCTGTTCGTTCGCGACGGACGGGCGATGCCATGTGTCAGAGCGTTTCGAAATATTTCACCCATCCATGCATCTTATATGTCAGTAGTTAGCTCAAAAATTGCTCTTCAATCGACCGTTATACGGCAAAGCGAACACAGCATGAACTCACTCCTAAACATTATCCATTTTTTAGCTTACCCTTATAATTTGCCAGAGTAAACCCAGGACAAGATGTGGTTTACCATCAATCAGATCTTCTGCCCCAATGTTTATGATGTTGCATCCAATTGCCAGGGCGGAGTTAAGAACCAAAGTTTGATTTTCATGGATCGTATAAACTGTCAATTTCTTAGTGTTCATCACTCGTTCATCAATTGTATTTGCAACTGCCCAGTTGATAAGTTTGCAAAGTACAATACCATCTTTCAAGGCAACGAAAACTGAATCGGGTTTTTTAGCGTCGATTGGTAGGTGATCTAAAAGAAATTTTCTATCATCGAACAGCAACATTACTCGTGATTACTGAGGAAATGGATCTATGATTTCATTTATTTGACTTGACAATTAAAATTTCAAACAGACATTTCAATGTTACTAAAAGTTATACAGTGTTTGGAGGTACATTACGTAAAACGGAGATTACATATTTATTTTACAGAAACAAACAATATAATGCAGAACCATGCAACCAAAGCTACTTGTCTATCCATTCTTCAATGATAACGTCATTTGCCGCTCTGGGCTAGTAAAATGTGAATTTTCTATCAACCCTTAAAAAATGCACGGTTTTTGTACCTTTCAATGATTTATCATCTCGCAAGCAAGTGTTTATCCATGAAGAAAACATCTCTTTTTCTGCGTCAAGGAAAGAATGCTTCGTGCCTTGCGCAGATGCTGCTGATGTGGAGACAGTATTAAGGTTTTCTCGTTTCTCAATTGTTTGCTTGAAACTTGCGCCAACTGCCTTGGTGCTTAATTTACTGAAGATATCAAGAAACTCTTCAAATTCCAACTTGTCACTTTTCCCTGCGGCTCTACGATCGCAGACTACTTTTCGTAACTTAAATTGCGGTATTTGTTCATCGCATTCCTTAATCAGCTCGTCAAAATTTTCGATGTTTATTTTCTCTGAATCAGGCAAAGCATATTTATTGAACTTTGCGCGGAATTCAGCAATCTCTTCAAATGATACCTTTTGCTTTAGTTCTGCCATAACGCTCGTCACTGGATCTTGCTGGTGGTGGTTGTTCTTGATTGATGACGTCACTGTCTCATGCAATGATTGATTACTTGACGCAATAGTTTCTATATGACATTGAGGTGCGCTTTCATTCCTGAAACTGAGAATATCAGTGGGGGGAGTGCATATTGTAAAGTTAGCGGTGTTAAAAAGTGCAATAACGAATGGATTCATCTTTTTCAGCAAAATACAATTTAAAACAGTAAAAAAGCCCTCACGATGGTAGGATGCCACTGTAGTGCTGATCCACATTAAGAAGCCAGAATCGACAAAATGATCATTTCCTTCATTTCATTTAAATCAGTGCCCTCCATACTCTTAGTAGGAGGAATAACGAGGATAAATGACTCCAGGCGCATGATAACTCTAGATCTCTCAATCAGAGGCACCTCATGACGTCATGATCTCAGATCAGTTAAAAAAACAAAGCGCTTCTTCGAGTTACTGTTGTATTCTGTAAACTCTTTACACTACGTCTGAACTGGGTAACAAATAATACATTTTTAATAATAAAACTTGTAATATGATAATATATTCCCATTGATCGACTTCCTGTGACATACATTATGCTAATTTATGACGAATTGACTCCAATATTTGTCGACACAGACGACTGAACAGTGAACATAAATATCAATAATGGCAGAATTATTGGAGGGGGAACACGATGTAGATTTTACATGGTGCACAAACATTGATTTACCAGATATCTCTTCCGTTGAAATCTTTTTGGCGCCAGCAAGGAATGTATGGGATGATCATTTTAACGAGGGTAACTACAAACAACACACGGTCTCGTATGATTTAACGCAACATAATGGTGTGTTCAGTAGACGTATCCCTTTAAAGACAAATATTTATCATTTTTTATTTCGTATAAACTCTACAAATGATTTCGCTGCCTCGTGCAAACATGATGTTACGTATTTGGCAAATGGTCGAATGTTGAATTATGTCAATGTTGGCGAAAATGTTTTATTTAACATGAAAGATATAGATGAAGGTTGGTATTAAGAGGAGATTTTTTTAAAAATTGAGAAATTTGGGCTCAAAAATACCGTCATGCTTTGCGAAAAATATGTAAATTTTGTTGTTTTTTGGAACATGGCGACAAAGGAGTGAATTTATTAAATTTTGTTCTGTTTTTGATATGAAAACATACTCGATGGTTCATCTAAGAGACGAAATATTAAATTCAACATATTTGACTGTAATGGATGTACATTAGCTTGGTCCACGACGTTTCAAATGAGAATAATGCGCCTCGAACACTGGGGCCGTATTCTTCGAATGTCGAACACACAAAGGTATGGTTATCTTAACTCTTTTGTTTCTATTCTTATGTAGTTAGATCTCGAAAATATTTCTATGGATGGCAACATATGTACCCAAATGTTGTGTCTTGCCAAGATCGGTTTGATCTTGACCCCAGGTTATTAAGTTTTTTCCCTTTTAAATGAGCGACCTTTTTTTCAGGTCTGAAAGCCTCATTAACGACGGCCTTAAAAATTATACTGCAAATACACCTTGAAATTGATGCCGATCACAAAAAAACTGTATTCCATGTGTTAAAGCGTTATCGTATGCGCAAATAAACGTCAAGTTATTTTTGTTTTAAAGAATACTGATAAATAAAAATTCATTTTTGATCGGCAAATATTTTTATTGTATACCATTTTTTCGGACGTTTTAGGGTGTCGATAATTTTATCATATTGTAGATATTTCTAAGTTTAGACCAATTGGCACACTGTGGGACCTATATTACATTATACTACAATGTATATGGAAAAAACAGTGCCTGTTTCAAGGAATTCTAAGCGAATGGTCCTCGCGAAATTTTACTAACTAAAGAGTTTAGTCACTCCATTTTCCCTACATTGAGCAAAAATTGAAGGTTTTATTTTGTTGGTTTTAGAATACTCTAGCTATTGGTTAAACAATAAAATGTTTGATAATTATGTAGCTCTAAGATCAAATATCATCATAATGGAAGCCATATTCTAGCAAGAAACGTAAAAAAAGAATTATGAGACTTTTTTATTTTGAAAATGTCAGCTTTTTGCATGACTGAGCACAAACATGGTGAAAGGCTTCACTTAATTGAAAAAATAATGTTTAATATTGATTGGCACACTCCAAGGTAGTTTTATTCTTGAAGTTTATGTATCACACTACAAAATAAAGGTGGTTTTAAAAAATTTGGGGTGGATGGTCCTCGCAGAATTTGACTATTTTCATTTGTATTTCCATTGGGTTCAATTAAGGTGGTCCTGTGATGTTTTCCAATCCCTGGTTAACTCTCAAGGCTTGTCCAGGGTTATAACTTGCTCTGAATATAAAAACTTGTTTAAATTGTATTTTTTAGCCTTAATTATCTATCCACAAGGTGTTTCTTTGGCAACAGTGATTTACTTGTTAATTAAATAATTGGATTTTGCATTATTTTTGCCAACATTAGTGCATCTTTTATAACCTTCAGTCTTTCTAGAATATTGGCAAAGATGAAAATATTGCAAAAATTGGCTTGTACAATATGAGTTTGTGTGACAAAATTACAATGTTTCAACATGAAACAGATTTTCTATATACACAACCTGTATTTACTTGAATAGCCCAGTGTTGCTAACTGATTTTTGGATATAAAATAAAGAGCTATGCTGTCAGCTGTGTAAACAATTGGCTTTAAACCCATTTTATATTTCTATGGAGATTGTATATGGTTTTATTTATCCTGGTTAAACAAACACATGTTGCACAAATTTGTGCAAATACAGACCCCAGCTTGTCTCTGGATCCTACATCCTAAATGCCTATCTCTGGATCCTACATCCTAAATTTGTCTACAGCATCCTTTCTTGTTAACCCCAGATTTGTCCTGATAAATCTCTTATAGAGGAATTTTCCATTGCATGATAAAAAATATGAAAAATCCGTATTTACATATATGAAAAATCCTATATTACTTTTTATTGCAGACTTTCTTTAAAAACAGTGGAAACAACTCAAGATTGGAAAAACACTTTTTATTACTATTATAATATAATATTTTAACAATAAAGCCACATTATAATTATATATTACCTATACTTATAGTTTTATAATTTTGGAATGAACTGTCCCATGATTGACCCATCAATTGTCCTACATGAGTACATGTCCTATATTCTGTACCCACCACACAAGGAATTGATTGTTAGAATAGAGAGGACAGTTGTTTTTTAAATAAATCAAAATAGTTTGACTTCCTCCTTGTTTGTGTTGTTTCTTGAAAGAGATTATTTAGGTCTTTATTATTGTCGTGATAAACTGATCTTCAACCTATTACACAGAGCATGCAATAATAAACCATCCACTCTCCCACTGCAACCCAAATGCGAGTTTACCGGTATCTGAAACTATTGTTCATATTTTCCAAGACGTGTTGAAGACCTAGGAATAAAAACCGTAACATTTGAAATTTTTATTTTATCACAAGGCTTATAAATCACTAAAATCAGTATATTTCAATATGTTACACATTGCCATTGGTGTGTGTCATTCCTTCGCGCTAATAAAAATGTGCCCATGGAAAATTATATCATTCAAAATACCAAAAAAATTGAACGAACACTCACCTGATGTTCTTCTTTATTTCAAGAAGCTTTTCGCCTTTTGAAATTCTCCAAAAGTTAGTAAAACAGCTGTCACTCGACACGAAAACTTGACCAAACTTGTAAATTCAAAATGGCCGCGGAAGCATATTCTAGCGAAGGCCTGGTTGCTAAGTTTTGAGCCTTTTTTACAAAAAATACGCGATTTTTAAAAAAATCTCCTCTTAACTTGTTGGTTGGCAGTTTTAGGCATGATTATTATGGAATACACTTAATATATTACTCCCGACATTTAAATATTTTCTTTGTGCTCATGTCGTACTTAAATTCTTTGATAATGCTGCATGTACTTGATAATAAATTTGGTAATACTTGATAATAATGCTGCATGTACTTGATAATAACAGGTTTGGCCGCCAATTACCTAATTCAGTTGCAAACCGTATGTATATGTATGCATGCTGCATGAGCAACAAAACGTGGGACGATAGACAGGGAACCTCGCTTGGACAACAGGTTATCACCTTTGTAATTTTGAAATCTTGTGCAAAAAGCTTTAGGGTTTAGGTCATTAGGCATCTTTAGTTCTATTCCGATAGCACGATCAAGCTGTAAAAATATATATTTCACCATAGCCACCATATTTGAAATCAGGATTATCTTTTCGCACAAAAAAGGTAATAAATTAACAGCGCGCGCTTACAAGGCCTAGGGACTACGCTGGTAATAATTTATGTATGATGGCGACTGGGATCATAAAGAGAAATATTTGAGGATATGAAGACCGAAATATTACGTTTCTACGCATGCCTATCGTCAGCCTTTGGTAAATTCACGTCAGTATTCGGTATTTCCGACGTGATTGCCGACTTGATTGCGACGGAGCCACCTTAAATAAACGCCTACTAGCAAGTACAGGAACCCAGGACCTCATTCATACAGTTAAAATTTGCCGGGTCACTTGCCCCCAATGCGCTCCTGGTTTTCCAACTGATATACTGAATTGTTATATCATTTTTTGTTCAGTTTACATCTTAGTCCGTTTGTATTTTATTACTATAGAAAAATCATTAAGGTCACCTGTGCCAAGTACTAATGAGTTTCTCAATTCACATCAACGAAGAAGAGCTACTGGATTCAGAAGATTAATATTATGCTGCAGTTACTAACATATTCTACTTCACTAATACACTGCGGCTCAAGTGTACTGTAACGATCTGCATGCATTCATCTAGCTAATAATTATACATACGGTTGTAGCCTCCTCTGCAAGCAAGGAATCGTTCGCAAAACTTCCCAAACACGTGATAATCTTATATATTTTTATATAATAATGTTTTATAGATTGATATTTATGAGAAATAATCAGGATTGTCCTCCTTGATGTGCATTGGTATATCACTAATCATTGTTGATCGTAATTTCGGTTTCCTCAACACAACATCTGCTACTTCTCTTCGTTTATATTTGTTCCAACTTCTTGTCTCCATAAATGCTTTAAAAATATCCTCCCTTTTCCATTTGCTCTCTACAAATGCGTCTTTCATGTCTCTCAATACCTTGCCTCGGTTATGTATTTGTAATAGAGCGCTTGGTATTAGCATTAACTCAGTCTAAAGTCGAAATGAATATGAAAATATTCACATTAGCGCGTAGATTACAAGAAGATTAATCAGGATAATAAACCATGGGCCTGCAGAGACTGCAAAAAATAACTGCTTCTGCTATGGTTCTAGATGCTAAAAATGATAAATATTCCGTAATTGTTAAAATAAATAAGGACCGATGACATGCATGCTATACAGCTCAACAGAGCTTCAAACGCTAAACGCGTTCAGCCCAAAACGTTGTTCAGCTCGAGGTCTCTGTCACTCGATGAATATCTCCGGACCTCATAAGTCGTTACCGGAGAGAATTATTTTTCTATATCAGTTCATTTACTCCTTGTTCGTACTTATTGCATTACTTATAAAAGGCCCATGTCAGAGATGAACACTTTCTGGAAAAAACATACGCCTACCTTACCTTTCCTTTTGTTATAATATATGAATCTTGCATAGATTCCCCCACTCCAAAATAGTCGCCCGCTTTTAAGGTTTTAATGTTTAAAAAGTACGTGAGTATTGTTTCATTCTCCTTCAGTCTACTGAGCCGATGAGTACCATCCTTCATTTCTGGTGCTAAAACCAATTTTTCACGACCGAATGGTAAGGTCTTCTTGACAATTGACATTTTTTTCACAAAAATGCAACTTCCGGATTTGATGATGTAGACCGTTTCAGATGGCTCGTCTTTATGCACAACCTAAAATTTAGATTAACGCAATTTACACCGTTTAGGTCTTTTAGCTGCATGATTATACGCACTGCCTTTGATCTATTCGTCTTGTAAAATACGAAACGGGAATCAATAAATAAGAATTATTTGAGATACAATGTTAACTTCCTAACCTCGAAAGGAAACGTATCAAGTAGGTTTTAATAGCACTGGTCTTGATATACATGTAAAAACGTCAAGTGCATCTACATATACGCGTGTACTAGCTCTTTATACGAGTTGCATACCGAGTTTTCCGGATAGTCAACTATATTTGACGCATTGTTTATGGCCTTCAGTTCCAACGTCGTCCAGTTTTCAAAAGCTGGTATTGCTTGCAAGTAATCCATTCTTAATTGCCATTCTTTTTCATACGTTTCTCGTAAGACCTATAGCAAAGGTTATATATATTTATATATATAACCTTGTTGCTGTTGTTGTATTCTGTACTTATGCTGCATGCCCTTTTTGTAAATGTAAAGTTCTTTAATGGTGCGGCTGCTTGCTATACATTGTTGCATGTTCTGACCTGGTTAAAATCGGATTTATCCAGTCGTAGGAATTTCGATGGCTCTTTGCAAATAACGGATGCTCTTCGGTGTGTGTCATGTATCAAGGCTAGTTCTCCGAAGGAATTACCTGCAAGAATTTCTCCAACGATCTGGATGTTTTAAGAAAATTTAAGACAAAGGAGAATTAATGATAATTTTAAGTTGGTGAGATAGCACTCTCTGTAGATCTTACATTTTTTGTCATTTTGCCAGTTCCTTTATCTTCTTCTTCTACCACAACATTTACAGAGCCTTTCAGAATAAAGTAGAACGAAAGAGCAGGGTGTCCTGGGAAAATAATTAATGCATGAATTACAATTATAAGGTCTTAAGGATTCTTCATGCCAATTTCTCTCTCTAGAGTTTTAGCAAAAACAATCCTACTGACTATAGACATATGTATGATATGGCAAATTCTCAAAATGATTTTTGTCATCAACGGATGAATTGCGCTTTAGACTAATTTTTATCTTAATTCTTAGACTAATTGAAATCCATCTCAGTTATGGTGGTTCTAAATTTAACGAAAATGTTGTGACGTAATTATCGAAAGGGTCTATTGATGACAAGTTAGTAATAACTGCGAACATACATTATCGTGTCACAGGAAGGTCCTCGGGAAGGTCTGCCCCATGCATGAAGCATGTATTAGGATGAAAAAACATGCATTAGGATAAATAAATGAAGTTCATCAGGTATAAACGTATAATGGGCATCTTATACATATATTTTACTATAACTTCAAAGCATTTTTGAGAGAAGACCATATACTTTTAATTGAAAATTACCTTGCTGTACAACTACCCTGTCAACTGGAAATTCACTATAATACACAAACTTTGCTAAGCCTTCCTTAACAGCTCGGGAATATTTAGAAAAGCATTGCAACTTGTCAACGGCGCGAAATATTTCCACAATATCTTTGTCTGTGCGGACATCGGGATCTTTTGTAAACAAATGTTTTGCTCTGTCACTTAGACGACCTGACTGCACACACGCTTTATACACTAAAATATAAACATTAAAAAATTATTTTTAATAACAATTAGGTTTAATACAAAAGTTTTCATTCTATATTGATGACTGACCTTTCGCAAAAAATTATAACCGTTAAGAAATTGTGCGATATATTATTTCAATGAACGAAGTGCAGACTACCAAAAAAATGTGCCATGCAAATTTACGCGCCGGGTAAAAACGTAAAGTCATTAAAATCCTGATTAGTGTCATCAAAAAAGGCAGCATGCAGCTGATGAGATATTCCTGTGCAAAGTCCTGCATGAACGCTGTGAGTTAGAACAAACTTTCTTACGATTGGCATTGAATGGTATTTTCTGAAGATCCTTTCCTTGTAATGCCTCTCCATTGGAGTCGTTTAACACTTTAATGATACATTCTTTTGTCCAATTTTTTTGAAAACCCACACGTTTTGAAATCCTTTTCCATTGCTGTAATGAGGGCTCTTTCTCACTCTCGCGTTCACTCTCTGTAGAAACTAAATCTTCCTGCGACATTTCTGGTTTTTGTTAGCAAGATTCTGGACTATGTGCATTAAACATGTGCGCAACTACAGCATTGTGACGTTTACTAAATTATTTCGCGTGCGCTTTGACGCGTATGTATCCACGTGACCATAGGCGGCCCATTAAATGTTATGAACTTTTATTTTATTATGTAAATAGAGGCTATATATTACAATGATAGCTTATTATAGTTTAGCGAAGTATAGCTTATTATAATGATATACATTTGCGTACAACTCGATAGCATAAACAGCGAATGACGTCATTATTTGCTCGTTTATATTCATTTGCCGAGTGGATCTCCATCAGAAAATGGCAGGCACTGTTTTTCACCAATTCCGAGACATAGCATTGCTAGGTCGCATCCGATGCAGTCTGCGTCGTTGGTACACTTACTAAATAATAATTCGCAAACACGCCTATATCTTAGGCGATCGAATTCATTGATTTTCTAAAACCGAAATAAACAAAGTCAACATTTTTATTGTGTTTGGGCTAGGAAACCACTAAAATAACTTTTATTGAACACCCTTAGAAACTTTAACCGCGATAGTGGATATTTTTCCTAATATTACCATGCATGAAAGATGTAAATTAAATAAGTCCATATACTCATGATAATTATTACGGTTTAACTAGGGCATATTCTTGCCCCAATTTCGAAACCATCTTGGCATGAATTTGTGATTACCAAGTGCATTGTTCATTTACATAGTGTTTAGTGTCATTAACACAGTGTTTACACAGTGTTGAGTGTTTAAAAATTACCGTGACACACACGCTGACCTTGTCTATTGCATGGGACGAAACTTGATCACAACTGTTAAGGACTGTGATTAGAAGACAGACGAGAAAATACGACGTAATATTCGACATCTTTTTGGTTGCCTATAAAGAATTGTATTATTATTAAATAAAAGATATATAGTGTTGACAAAGTGCAAAGAAAAACTGCTATTCAAACATTTTATTAATATTCCTGACAAAGTTTAATAACGTCGAGGTCTTAAAATTGTTGTGAATGTTTATAGATTCAAAATAAGAATAATTAGTCTTGTATGTTGAAATCCATACTTACTTTTTTTCACGACGAGAACAACTTTCATTGAACAAAATATTCCACTTGCACGAGTTGTAAGATATGATGAGATATTTGATCCGCATGCACCTGCGATATATATATTTTACTCGTGAACATTCTCACAATAGCTATAAATCATGCAATATAATTAAAACACGTGAAAGCAAATTGATATAATATTGACTCATTCTGTATTTTCTGATCCATTATCACTCGGCCGATGTGAAATTTTACACATGTGCGCAATTGTTTTACGCATCAGTGCGTGATTGATTGCATTCGTGTGGGTGTCATTTTCGTCATCAAATATATTGCAAATGTTCTAAAAATCGTCTAATCTATCTAAGTAGGTTATTTCCCTGAGGTTGATATAGGTTATACGTTTGATGTAAAATCAAGTAATTTTGAGGTTTTGTAAGTTAATTATGCATGGACATTAAACGTCTAAAAAACTGTACATTTGCATCCAGGATGCTTTTCTACAGAGTTTTTAATTTCCCAACAAAATTACTTTCTTTACTTTCTTATCACTAATGACATCGTCCGTGTATCTATAACTGAACAGACAACGATTCAATGTTATCTATTTGTTAAATTATAAATTCAAATAATTATTATTTTGTACTCTGGTAGTTCACAAGAGTCGACCTATTTCAATTTTGAAAATAAATGACACAAATTGTTGCGAACGATGAATGAATGTGAAACCTGGACAATGAACATAGTCATTGTATGTCTATATATCGTCGTGTTACTCAACATTGTTCATTGCTCCTAAAATACACTTTTACGCCTGGTTTCCATATCGTACGTCGCAAGTGTCAAAAACATGCATGTCAATGGTGGCTGCTGGTGTGATGCAATATTTCTGTGTGCATGTGCAATCAAGACTGGCCAATTTGAATATACAATTAAGTAGACAAGCTTAAATCCAGACTTTCTCATTAGTAAAAATTACTTGTAAAAAGACATTATAATTTTGCTATATACTAAATATTGCAGGAAATCTAATAACTAATTGACATTAGAAAATCATCAAATTGGATGGTTCAATGCGATGCTACCACACATACATACTGGCACGACATTCCGACGGGGCGGGGATCTGGGCCTAGGGCATAATAGTGGGCTAGAAATATACATCTCAGTATAGCCATAGGTACCCGAAAATGTATCACAGCATGAACCCTCACTTTAGCATGGTGATTTAACAGTGATTAAGTACGATTGAACAATTTTATAGCGTCTTTGTTGACGTGTTCCAGGAGATTTAATAGCATGCAGCAGCCACTGGCATTGATAAAATATTTTTGCTTTCGTGATGAATTTGCATTGTGAATATGTTTTCTTTCATGTTTGTTACTTGACGTGTAAAAAATGTAGCTTTCCATTGAATTTGCGTTGTGAATATATGTTTCCTTTTATTTATGTTTGTTACTTCAGGTATATATGACTATGATATAGCTAATACAGTATATCATATTCGCTGCATATGAGCTGTTACGCATGCAATTTAGTAAAAAAACCAGAGCTATTCACCAGGCTATATATCAGCTCATACATGCACGCGGGTGAGTGGTAAAAACAACTCATTTAATAAGTTTGCATATTTTTATTTATTACCACACTATTCGCTATCGTCATATTTCGCTCGTTTATTCATTCATCAGTTGCCTGGAGCTCCACCAGGAAGTCGGATACACTCTTTTTCACTACTAACAGTTACCATACAAACTATTGCTGTGGTGCAGCAATCGTCGTCCTCGACACAACTACTATGTTCTCCTACGCATTCTCCGCGTCTATATCTTGGGCGATCAAATTCATTGACTTTCTGAAATCAAAATAAACAAAGTCAACACTTTTATTGTGTTTGGGCTAGGAAACAACTAAAATAAACTTTTTGCATTCTGTCCTCTATCCTAAGGGGTCAAGATAGTTTTTGACTATGCACGTTCTGAATTTTTAACCGTGATAGTAAATCTCTTTCCTAATATTACCATGCAAGTTAAATAAGGAATTAACTCAGTGTTTAGTGTTCAAAAAATCCGTGACACACATGCACGCTGACCTTTTCTATTGCATAGGACGAAACTTGATCACAACTGTTAATAAGGACTGTGATTAGAAGACAGACCAGAACATACGACCCAATAATATTCGACATCTTTTTGGTTGCCTATAAAATAATTGTATTAATAATAATAAAACATATATAGTGTTGACAAAGTCCAAAAAGCAAGGCATCATTAGAACAAACTCAGCCAAGGTGGCAAATGAAATTAAAAACATTTTCCAGGAATTTTTTTTTAATATTCCTCACAAAGTTTAATAACGTCGAGGTCTTGAAACTGTTGTGAATGTTTATAGATTCAAAATAAGAATTATTCTTATAATTGTATGTTGAAATCCATACTTACCTTTTTTTCACGATGAGAACAACTTTCAATGAACAAAATGTTCCACTGCGCGAGTTGTAAGATATGATGAGATATTTGATTCGCATGCACCTGCTATATATATATATTTTACTCGTGAACATTCTCACAATAGCTATAATCAGTAAATGAAACAGATGAATGCAAATTGATATAATATTGAGACATTCTATATTTCCTGATTATTGCCTGATCCATTAAAACTTGGCCGATTTAAAATTTTACACATGTGCGCATGCTCAATCGACATCCACAATCTACCCCCTTCCTGTAACTTCCAAATTTTCACTAAAGGTTTTTTATTACGGAGCATACGTTTAATTTTGAGATTTTGTACGTTAATTAGGTCCATTCAATGTCTAAAAAACCATTTGCATGCAGGATGTTTTTCCACAGGGTTTTTAATTTCCCAACAAAATTACGACGATAAGACAATGATGTGTAATGATTTTAGAAATCAGAAAAAAGACCCGAACGCACGTTCTCGTGGGAATCTGTGGCTGGTAGAAAAAGTTACTATTTCGCAAGAAACATCTAATTTGCTCTAATTCATAATTGATGTCTCGTTCGTCATTTTCCTATTATATTTTAGTCAGTTGCAGCCTTTTCCCTTTAGTTTAAAATAGTCAAATGGCTATGATTGTAAGTCATGCATTTAGCACCAGTGCGCTCTTCTGGTGGTGTTATATTACTATTAGTATATATTCGTTTGACATATACAAACAATAATGTATGGTCTGCATTCTTTTAAAACTTTTTAAGTCTTTTGTTGTGTGTATAGATCACGGAGTCGATTTCAATTTTGATAATAAGTTACACAAACTGTTGCGCATGATAAATAAATGAAACTGGTAATAAAAGCATTCTTGAAGCTTAAACTTTTCCTAAGAATGGGAGAAGCTATTTTCCTAAGGCCGCTACGCAAAAAGCTTTATCTATCGGAAAATAATACACTCCCTGCCACTGACCTTGCACGATTGTTAGGAGCTACAGTTTGAACTAACAATTGATATTTTTACTAAAAGATTGTCATGCATATATTTGATAAAATAAGCTATTTCAATGGCAATTGGACAGTATGCCCGCGAGTGTAGAAATGATTGATATAACTTTATATATTGCAAAAACCTGCAGGGAAGAGACGAGAAAGTATACTTGCTTATCATAATAATTCCTATCTCGAAAAGAACAGAAAATGACTTTGGTAATCTCTGTAAGGACTTCAACTTGGATTTTGAATTAGGCTATATATGCTGCAACTGAACTTATTGAAATACATCAGCCTATTACTTTGATAAACAAAATAACAATTTGTTTAGGACTTGCTTGTCAATCTTCGAATTTCGAATGTGACGTAATAATAATTAAATGTTCGAACGCTCGTTAATTGACTTCGTTTTCGTAATTAGTCTACATTAACTAAAAAGTACGATGACTTCGAACGAAGGTGTTAAGCTTCCCCCTATTTTTAATAAAACCATAACGAAACAAAATGAAACGGAACACTCTTCACAGAGCGAAAGCAGTTCTAGCCCTACGTCAAGTAGAAGATTTAAATCGTTTAAACAAATTGTAAACATTGTTGGTAAAAGCTCAAAATGGACCAAAGAGACGAACAAAGAAATCAAGAAAGATCAGTCAAAGAAAATTTCTACCAAAGAAAAACGTTTAACCTTCAATGTTAGTGGTAAGTATGTATGCATTTATTCATTTTTTTGCAAATAGAAATCCTAAATATAAATTAAATTCATAAAATTAAGAATTTCATGGCGCGTGCAAGTGTTTTCATTACAGTTTGTCGACTATCATACGACCCGCCATGCATGAATGTATATCCCTCTATAAATGGTGAGGTAAAATGCCTCAGGTGAATGCCTTTAGATTTCGTACACCAAATTTCGTACACCAAAAGTTGATGGTGAAATGGACCTGTTCATTATGGACTGGAAAATTAAAGCGATATTGCTAGAATTGCCCAGCATGGGAACCATATAGCTTAACCATATCAACATGAAATGAATTCATTTCTTGCTTTTTGCTACACTGATCCAGTTTTTATATCTTTTATATTTAAATGTGTAAATTAATTGCCATATTTTTATAAACTAGAATGCCTAGGAAACCCAGAGCTTGCTATTGAGCGAGCTTGCTATATTGATGATAATAAGTTTATTCATTTTAGCTTTCAGAGCACACGCACGCTCAGTTGGCTCTCTATCCTCAGAAGTAAAAAAAGCCTTGGTTAAATCACCATGGGATAGAACACCGAAAGATTTAGCTTTAGTCCAGAATTTGATAATGCGTATTAAAGCTTTTGAAACTTTTTCCACTCATTTGAAGTCTGAACTTTCTCGAGTTCTCTTGTATCAAAAGTTTGGCGCAGGAAGAGTTGTAATACAACAAGGTATTCATGTAGCTACATATTGTACTTGCAACTACAACGATTTCTTTTGATGATTTCTTTTAGCAATATATTTGATGAAGAGATTCTCAGGGGACCGGGGTGGGGGCAGTTTCTGTGGAGGTTCCAGCAAACATGTCAAACAGATATGCACCTTTTTGTAGGTCATTTGGGTGCATCATTTTATTTCATTGTGTCTGGTACAGTGACAGTGCAAAGGGAAGAGAAAGATGATCGTACTGGCGAGAAACATGTCCAGGTAGATTACGACAAAAATTCCAGACCATTATGTTTCATTGTTTTCTAAAATGATTTTGTGTATCAACATCCCCAAAGAAGAAACGATTGGAAGCCAACTCAATCGTACATGGGGTTAGAACTACTTCTCGTGATTAGGTCATGCATTAAAACCGGTTATGCTACATATACCCAATGCTACTAATTCTTGATAAACACATGCATATATGCATAGAATAATAATACCCCGCGCCTGCATGTCAGATAGAATATTGAATATACTTATGAGATTCTAATCATTCTATTGCAGGTTTTAGGCGAAATGTCTGATGGAGGGGCATTTGGAGAACTAGCTCTACTTCAAAACACCACTCGAACAGCAACAATCGTGTGTAAAACTGCTTGTGAATTTTTAAAAATTGACAAAGATGACTTTAATCAGGTAAAATATAACGGTGCTTTCACAAAGCAATTATTAAATTCGTTATTAAATGAAGTTCAGTTAAATCATTCATACTACGCCACAACGTTCTCCTCTATTTTGATTAATTAAGCAAAATGCTCCATTGAATGGATGTATTTGAAGAAAATAATTGATTTGCACCTATTCGTATATTTCATTCATAAACATTTTCACAATATAGCTAATCCATAATTGTATAGCGAATTAATAAAATATTGAAGTATCATTGTTAATCGATTAAGGCTTCTATATAACCCCGGCCAATATTTTATGGCCAACATGTGGGCAATGAAAGATTGTTTCACACATGCATGATTACTTCATAATTCGTACTAATTGGTATTGACTACTATTGAACATAGAAACAATATGTTTGATGAAAAATTCTTCATGGTTTTTTCAAATTCATGGTTCTTTCCGACAGGTTCTTTTGATAGCTACGTGAATGGAAGGCACGCATTTTCAGTAGCTATATACCTGGGCGTCATGCATGCATGGACCTTTCATAGGTGCCATCAGACCACATACATGCACAAAAGTAATCGGTATATTCAGTGCTGCATTCTAGCTTCTAAAATAGAACTGGAAGTGGGACACAGTTGCCTCATGCACGACTTTGTACCATAAATTTCTGAAGATCTTTGTTTGAATTCACATTTATATATAAAACGTTATATATAATTGTTATGAATTTTTACTAGGTTTTAAGAAGTAGCCAACAAATCGACTTTGAAAAGAAAATGACAATATTCAAAGAACAGTCTTACTTTGAAAAATGGTCTATGCAAGAAGTGCGATCAGCCAATGCTAATTCCAAAGTCGTTCTCTTTCCTGCTAATTCGGTAAATTGTATTGATACTACTCTAAATACCTTAATTCATTTCCAGGGCAGTTATAGGTATAGAACTATAGCATTTTAACCACACTCCGTTTAGATTTCCATGATATATCATAATTTTCCGTTGAAAACGGCATGCAGCTGGAAATCAACGTGCAAAATCGAGCGTGTCACATTTATATGTATAGTTCCTACTTAAACTCTTTACATACATACTTTACAAAACTACATACACACGAAAGCGCAAGGTTAGCATGGTTACAATGGAAGAAAAAAGGTATCCATAAATAATAAATCTCTTTTTAACACTAGCTTGAAATTTAAACAATGTTCACCCACTCTTACAGATTATTTTAAAAGATAATGACGAAGAATATGTATATTTCGTACAATCGGGCAGATGCAAGGTGATTCGTGAAATAACAGTTGTTAAGACTAAATTACCCTTTGGAAAAAGTCATATCGCCTTGGTTTCTCGTGGAAAGCCTCCTTCATTGTCAAAAGATCAGTCATTAGAAAAAAGGTACTTGGTGTTAATGACAATAGGTCATGGAGGATATTTTGGGGTTGGCGAGGATCTAAATGAAACATGGATAGTCAGTGAAGACAAGGTAAAATAGTTCAACCGCTTTTGCATGCATGGTTGTTTTGCTCTTGAATTTCTACATGCAGGTTTGTTTCGCTGCATGATGCATGATGATATAGTTGAAGGATTTTTATACAGAGTAGCATATATCGTAAATATTCAGTCCTGTAAACAACGTGCATGCATCTGTTCACATTGTGAACTACTATAGCCATTCATTCCTCCCGCAGGGCGCTCTTCAACATTACTATCGCCTCTAAATGAATATATACTATAGTTAACCTGAACAAATTTCGTTCATAGGTTGAGTGCCTCCTTGTAAAACGCAGCGTTTTTAAGAAACATGACGGCGGTCGAGAGCTAACTCTTCTGCGGGACAAGTTAAAGGCGTCTTATCCTACCAAAAAAGAAGCTTTTAAGAGTTTTTTAATGGAAAGAAAGTGGAGAAAATACAAGAAAGCATTGATTGACGAACTCATCAGCAAACGTTGTAAGCCTTTAACTACAAGATATAAAGATATTCCACGTGTTATAAGACGAAGGCACGAACATTATATCAGGAAATTATAAAAAAAATTATTCAATTCTATTTGACCGGTGACCACTCATTTTTATGTTTATTTTTATTGTTCTGTTATCAAGTGAGGTTTATATTTTTTCCAACACTTTATTATTAAATGAATTGTGCGAGTAACCAATTCTTCTTATCGATCTGTATAGCTATGTAGGAACAGTTTAAAGTGCTAAGTATGAATATTCCAGTACTGAGTCCAGTGATCAAGTAATGCTCCTGCACATAAACAATGCAGAATAAAAATGAATAATATCCATTCATCAAGTAACTTTGTTATCTTTCCTCTTTTGCAATGTCGACATACCGGTTTACCTCGTTTATCATTATTAACATTCTTCTTGTTGTCCATCTCAGTTTTCTGGTAAAAATCATCCGTATGTTTGTCATACGAATTTGAGTACACATTGTAAAATAATCGTTTCAGATTTTCTACACCGTTCTGATGATACCGGCCTTGAATGCGCAGATCTTTATCATTCTCGTTTACACCCTGCCAGTATTCGTGTTCCTTGCCCTTGCTTGGGTGCGTTCCGTAGACTTGGGCATAATTCATTCCGAATAAAAGTAAATAAAGTAATATATCCTGCATTGAATCCAGGATTTTATCAATTTCACAGTTAGAGAAACCTTTAGCATATCGATATATATGCACAATAATTTTTAGCTTTCTATTATTTGCCCCCTTACTGGTACCTGCTTATAAAACGGATGTTCGAGATGATTAATCTCCAATTTTAGTATTATACTTTTCTTCACTTCCTTATATATAGTGAGCTCCAGATTTTAGACATGCATGCCGGGTTTTTTTGTAATAATCATATGATTTTACATTTTGTTTTGATGAAAATAGTCCGAACAACGCTGAAAATCGCTTTCACTGACTGGCCTTGCTCATCTTATTTTGATGCATATAGCTACTTGTTCACAATTTCAAAACTGTTTTCCGGCACAATGATAAAAGGCGTAGAGAGCGACGCTCACTATAATATTGCCACAGCAATATTACCACGCAACTTCATTTATTGGCTTAAAACTGATTTAGACTTGTCAATTGGTAAGCGTACGTTGCATGTCTGCATGACAAAATATTACATCCATCACCAGTCTGTATGTTTTCAATATTTCGTATTATAATTTATCATCTTAATATCCACTAAACTCTTATGGTAATCAATTTGTTTTCTTATGCTTCAAACGTTGTTTCTCGCAGGTTTTTTTGCCGAAATCTGTGTAACTCTCAGTCTGACTATAGTTAATTAACCTGCTTAATGATTACATAGCGACACTGTAATCTATATTACGTCAGCATGAAGGCAGCAAATGACAGGCCAATAATTATCAGAGAACTCCACTTTTGAGGTGTTGCTTTATTAAAAGATGAATATCCAAGACTATCGTCATCATTCTGTTTCGACTCGTAGTAGTGATGCTCCAGCGCGTTGCATCCGTCAAACTGACAGCAAACGAAGCAATTTTTCATTGTTCCTAATTGGGATTGAAATGATATTTGGGTGTCTTCCAGCAATTTAATCAAAGTTATAGCAAACAACGGGCGATTGAAAAAACCACTATCCGGTGGATAGCTTTCATATACAACCGGCCCCTGATAATTTTTCTTTATATAAGGTCTATATAACTCTCTATCAAATATTAGCAAAAGTATAACGATACGAAAGATGATCCACTACAAATATTAATAAAATATAAATATTTTTCCTTTCTGAGGCGGAATTTCATTATTCAAATCCCATGCACTCTGGTGCAGGCCCTTTCAAATAATTTTACCCTATCGTTATTGTAATTATGTTTACCTTTGCACGGTGTTGCTTTTGCCTTTTGACACTTTCTATGATTTGAACAACCCATTTCGTAAATAATACCACGGGAATTACTTTGAAAACTTTTTGTAAAACAAATATTGTTTAGACCGATGTTACATTTCTTCAGCGTGGATTTACTCACACAATCTTCGTAAGAGGAGTTGCTGGGACAATGATGGCATTTAGGGTACATGGTGTGTAATGGGTGTTTAATGCTTCCTTCTTGGTAAGATTCGGTCCTAGTATATTGAAGAAAACTTGAAGTTAAAATATTAATCACAAAATGTAACTGTTGAAAGCGAATGGAAAGGTTGGACGCCCAGACGGTTCATCATCCTGGCTCTAAGCATACTGGCATTTATGGAGCGAGAGGTCCAAAAGAATGTATAGGAAACACAGTGTGAGGGTAAATAAAAAGAAATTAAACGCCTTATAAGTCTATATTATCATTATTATCCGTTGACTTATAAATGAAAAAAGGAAAAATAAAAGAAAAACTGGATAAAGCAATAAACAGGGTTAGTATGGATGAAAATAGGAGAAGAGTTGTCTTACTGTTGCTCAGCGGCATGTTGTTTATTGTTTTGAGCCTTTTTATGAATTGGACTCCATGGTTCCAGATGTTGATAGTTTTGTTTTTCCTTCTTTAGTTTGTTAATCGGCCTTTCTTTTGTTTGATGATATTTTTTGTTGTTTTTCTCCTGCTTTGTTTCCTCCTTCTTTATAGAGGATTCTTTGATTACTTTCGGTTTTTCGTTGACTTTCGATTTAGTCTCCTTTTTCGATACCAATTGCTTTATTTTTTTATGAAATGATAAATCTTAAACAAAAAAATTGGATTCACATTTTTTTGGGAGATATAGCAATCATATACATAGCACGATGATTGGCGCATGTTCGACTGCATTGGTGATACATGTCACTTTATTTTCAAACCTTCATACCTTTTGTATCTCATGCTACTATTGCCTCACTCTATGCGTGCACACACCTTTTTCCTAGCCGATCCATACCATTTGTCCCATACCTTGCACCCCGTTTTATACACCTAGTTTATGCAATCTGCTTACCATACCTATATTATGCACCATAATCTGCATATCTTATGCATATGCCCCATGTATACACCTTGTTTTACATACCATGCAGATAATACAACCTATATCAACTTATTTTTATGCCCTAATTTACGTATGCGTGTTTACCAACCCGGATTATCCCGTTTTGATTCCCGTTTTGGTTTTAAAAGCTCGTTTGCAGCACCCTTAGGAAATGTAAAGAAAGAAATGGTGTATGGATGTGGTTCTTTTTCGTCCTTTATTTCTTCTCGTTTTGTCTTTCTTTGCGAGTTGCTGTCACATTCCACGTAGTAAACTGTACAAAAACAAATATTATCATTGTTATAAAAAAACTATATGTAAAGACTAAAGAGAAATCTGGCTCTGAATTGTTCAATGTGATTCTCGTCATCTTATTGCATGCAATGTCCGGTCTAGTAGATTCCGGCGTTCTGCTCCAGTGATGTATTTATAATCAACGTTTTATAAACAGCCACATACAGACTATAACATGTAGTTTGTTTGAAAGAAATGATTGTGAAATCATAAGTTCGATTCTAAATAATTACTAAAACGTGCATAGGCTGCATCATGGAGCATCAAAAAGTGAATGTGATAGACAGTAATTTTTTTTAATACTAAAAATATGTTGCTATTCTTAAGATATAGTTTCAGTTAAACTTAAAACGATTTATTGAAACTCATGACAAACCAAAGTAATAAAATAATGTTGTGATGACTATCTTACCCGTAAAAATCCAAAGGAAAAACACAACTATATTTCTTTTCATCTCTATTTCAGTCTCTACAGAGGTTTTATAAGACAGAAATGTAAATCATTGCTAAAAAATTAGCCGACTGCTGAAGCAAACAAAGCACCTGTAAAGTTTATGTAACACGTGAATAGGTGATTACACGTGAATGGTTACATAGTAATAACATCGCCCGGATGGGTTACTTTCCCCAGCTGGCTGATAATGAAACAGATATTGTCTGAATAATTTTACTTATTTTAGCTTACTACGTTATATTATTGCAGCAGCGAAATAATGCTTGGAATTTAGCCATTTTTTTGCAAAAACATTCCGCTCCTTGTCCTTGGAAATCTTAGTGTTATGTTAGAAGCAATTTATTACAACCATCAACCATATACTGTAATCGAATACAACCATCAACAATAATCGAATACAACCATATACCATAACGAATACAACCATCAACCATATACCATAATCGAATACAACCATCAACCATATACCATAACGAATACAACCATCAACCATATACCGTAATCGAATACAACCATCAACTATATATACCATAATCTAATACAGCGGTGGGTCTAGGGGTGTGCAGAATAAATTACTACAGCTTAAAATCGGAATTATATTGGCTGATTTCAATGTAAAATATTTTTTAAAATCTATAACCATGCAATATAGCGTTGTTATTAAGGTGTTTTGAATTTAAATTAAGCTGTGTAATTTATTCTGCACACCCCTAGATCCGCTGCTGATCGAATACCATCGACCATATACAATAATTGAATACAACCATCACCCATGTACCGTAATCAGAAAGTCTTACTAACACAGTAATAACTGTAAGTGGATATACTGTCAACGTTGGCGACTTCGCGCTACATGCTACCTGGCATTACGGAATGTTTCAATTTTGAAGAAAGATGAATAAAGTATCAAAAAACAATTTATTGGTTATTCGGAAATAGGGCTGTCCACAAGATCTTCGGTAACTTATAAGCAACTTCTACAATTCTTGGCAACTTTTTTTCTATCGATAAACTTCTTTTGTGTCAAGGCAAAAAGTCCAACGCGTAATTACAAAAAAATCGAGAAACGGCAAACTTCGAGTCTAAAAACAGATTTTAGTGTAAATTATCGCGCAATGAATTCTGAGCATCTTGTGGACAGCCCTATTCAGAAATTTATATTCACTCGCAAAAGGGATCGCTGATTTCTTCATAATTGCATTTAAAAGTTGCTATGGTTTTGCCAATACTTTGGATTTGAACAGTCACGCCCGCAGAGGAATCGCGAATGATCTAACAGCTATAGCTTGCAGCCTATTAAACCTTTTTACCTTAGATGACTCAAATCTCTGTTAAACTTCCTTTGTAAATATGGATTTTGACAGTGTTCAATTTCATCTGAATCACGAGGCGATGTTAACGTTCATGGAAATTTCACGAATATAGTATTGCTGAAGTGGTGTATCAATTTTGATATTGACTTAAGATTATTGACTGAAAACCATTTTTAGAATTAACACATTTTGTATTAGGGACTTGCCAAGCAGCTAAATTACTGAGCGAAATTACTGAATGTGAAAGAGTACCTCGAGCAACTATCATAACATTGAGCATGTATTTCTCTCTATATTAATAACAATCTGTCAATGTGTAGGTAAAATATAAGAACCTAACCAAACACTCTTAGTCAAAAATATAAGGGAAAAAACGTATGCACCTACCTTAATTACACATCATTCTTGATATCACTGAAAAATTTGCAACTAAGATACTTAGTTATTGCAGTTCTTCCAATAATATTATTTAAATTTTACGAAGGAACTTTGTTGTGATTTGTTGATATGTTTTTACTTCCTTCATAAAGATATGTTTATTGTGACTACAGGTGGCCATACTACTTTTGGCAGGTGATACAACACTAGGGTGGGGTCAAAAGGAATATTCTCTGCATGGGAAGACTGGGGAATCACGGGACTTATCATGGGACATCACAGTGCATGGAACATCCCAGGTAGCCCCTAACTTAGTCCAGAAGTATGTGTGTCCAGTTACATGATGCGGTCTGTGAGGCTGACACATGCGGCCAAGCTTAATCAAGTCTCTATAGTAAAATGAAATGTTCTCTGTATCAAGTAAAATATCAAATTTCATAGCATTGATATTTGTTATCTTCAGTGTTTTCCGCGTATAGTATTTCGTCAGGTGATTCATATTATAAACTTAGTCAGCAGACAGCAGTCATCTGATTTATAGTCACTTTCACAGTACTACATACACTCAAGCCCGTGCGCGTGCTACTAGGCTACCTGGGGAAAATGTGGGTAATTAAACACGGGGCTCTTTTGAATATTTGTAATTTGTCTTGCTATAACTATCACGCAAGGAATGGTCTGCTGAACACATTTTTGACCAAAAATTTATATTTTTCGCATATGTTTCTCGCTAACTTGTTGACGTCTCGGAAACGACAGAATTAGAGGAACAAGGATGGCAGAGTGCATTGCCGTCGCGTTAATGTTTGTAGAGTTTTTGTAACTTTCAGATTAATATGAAACAGTTACATTACTTGCGATAAATACAATACTAATCAATAATATGTAACACCAAAAGGTATACTATACAATTATCAAGTTAATAATTCATAGTGTGCACAACACAATATTCTTTTGTGTGTTTGACTGGTATATAGATTGCTGTGTGGCAATCAATAGACGAAACTCTAATAGATGATTACCGCAATGGATGCATCAGCCGTCGTTAATAATGAAGACGAAATAGATGTACCAGAGCGCAAGAAATTCCTATCGAAAGCTCTCCTTCGTGTCAATAAAAAGTTTTTGGTCTCCAAGACATTTTATTTTTTCTACTGGGGTGCTGTTGGATCATTCCTTCCTTTGTTAGGAGTCTATTTTAAACAACTGGGAATGAGTCCTAGCCAAAGTGGAACGTTAGTTGGATGTAGGCCCATGGTGGAATTTATAAGTGCTCCAATGCTGGGATCACTTGCTGACAAATTAGAAAGAAGAAAGACTTTACTCATATTCTCGTTAATATCGTGGATTTCGTTTACATTTTCGTTTGCTTTTATTAAACCAGCACCTGTATCGTGCAAGAAATACTTTCTACTGACCAAAAATGTGTCTGAAATCTCAAAGCATGCAACGTTGGAGCTCCGTGATTTCCTTGGTCCAAGAACAGCGACGAAACCTCTACCACCAGAACCCAAAGCTAAAAACTCCCTCGTATTCAGTCCAAGCGGTGTGCATCAAGTATTTCTTGTGTTATTATTTCTCACAGTTATTGGTGAATTCTTCTCTGCACCTGCAATAACTTTAGCTGACTCAGCAACTTTGCAACTACTTGGCGATGAGAAAGACAAATATGGCCGACAAAGATTATGGGGCAGTTTAGGCTGGGGAACAGCCATGTTTACGCTAGGTTTCGTTATAGATAAGATACAAGGTTACGAAGTATGCGGCGAAGTTGTTAGCAACAACTACACGCCAGGATTCTATTTTTTTGTTGTCTTAATGTTCTGTGCTCTACTTGTAGCCACCCGTTTTTCCTTTATGGCAAAAGAACAGCAACCGAAGTCGAAAACTGGTGGCGGTCTACATCTTTTGCGGGTCCTCGTTTCAATTCGTTATCTCTCGTTTCTTTTTGTCGCTTTTTTCATGGGTTGTGGTTATGGTTTAATCTCCACATTCCTATACTGGCATCTTGAAGACTTGGGTGGCCCCCCAACATTATTTGGTATTGCGTCGTTACTGGATCACATTTCCGAAATCGTTTGTTACTTTCAAGTAGAGTTTATAATTCAAAAAATCGGACATGTTCCCGTTTTATATCTAGGTCTAATAGGAAACTTGATTCGTTTTGTTTTTATCTCACTTTTATCCAATCCATGGCATGTATTGCCCTTAGAAATCTTGCAAGGTATTACCCATGCTGCAGTATGGGCATCTTGCACCAGTTACATCGGAAAAATGGCACCTCCGGAATATGCCACCTCGGCACAAGGAGTTCTTCAGGGGTTATACCATGGATTAGGAAGAGGTTGTGGGGCAATACTTGGTGGGATATTCATTCACATTCATAGTACAGAAGCAGTATTTCGGACGTATGGCATCGCATGTTTTGCTGTGCTCGTTATTTATTTTATAATTAACTACTTCCTCGGAAAAACAGGAACAAAATCTTCATCGAAAAGTAAAGTGTCTCCAAAAACATCACCAGGCACTCCCCCAGCCGTTGAATTGTCGTTTGAATTTATTCAAGATGGCGCGCCTGGAGGTACTAAAGTAGACAGTATAGGAACATACCAAAGAAAATAATCGTTCAATAGAATTTATCCTGATCGGAATATTACTTGAATATGGGCACAAACATCGACAGAAAACCTTAAGCTCGCCATTTCAGGGACCGCGGAGCAGTTTTTGGATTGGGGGGGCTAGCGAAGCCGAAAGAGTGAACCCTCGGGGGCGGGTCCATACTTATCTATTTAGATTTTTCTTGTAAACACTTCAATGAAAACATTGTTCACCGACACGGATAGTGAAGATAGTGAACACATAATTATGATTACACAACTTACTATGAGGAGTTTTTATTCGTATTATTATGGCCATATAAAAATCGCTATAAAGGAATCAAATGTATTTAGAAAATTATTGGGGGGGCTAAAGCCCCCCAGCCCCCCCCCCTCCGCGGTCCCTGCATTTTGGAGTTAATAATATTACCATGCAAAGAGCATATTCATAGCCAAAGTTATAGACAGGTCCAGATTACCTGTGGATCAGGGATATGCGGCTGGTAGTGGTAGAATATAAAGAAATACATAAAATTTAAGTAGATGAATTAAAAAAGGAAATAATTGCTAATGCTCTGCTTTGTATATATTTATATTTTAATATATGAAATAGGTCTCGGTCATAAAGCCTGTGTGCACACAAGCGTTGTTTTATTGCTTAGACGCACGATCCAAGGAAAATATGCTTAATATTTTAAATTAGCTTCAACTATTATTGTAAATTAACGGTGTGTGAAACCGTTTTGGCGTAAAGACGAATGTGAAAATGCACGAAAACGTTAATACCGTGTGCACATAGCCAAAAACCAAAATTATCCATTTCTTTTCTATTTTGTATTCGTATCCTTAGTTACCCTGTAGTATCCCTCACACGAAACAAGATGGCGATCGAAATGTTGCTAAAATTTTATAGTCTAAACCTCAAATTTCGAAACAAGCTTCCTGTGCTTTCATATTCGATAAATTCAGTTGTGGATTGGGTTTACCGACATTTTTTACAGAGTAATGACTTATTACTAAACACAAAATACAACGGAGCTGAATTGGGTTGGATGCAGTGTGAAAGAACGACCCAGTCGTCCCAGGCAGACGGTCAGTCGTATTCTTTGAATAGTAATATTTTGTGGATGGCAGCACCTAAGAAACGTACATCAAGAAAGACAAAATGGCTTCGTCATCAAAGAAAGTTTATAAAGAACAGGGAAGATATAGAGACTTGTTCTGTTTGTGGCAATGCAAAACTCATAAATCACCTCTGTGGCACATGTTTTGAACGTATCCAACAGAAAACAGAAGCGGTTTTAAAAAGCATTCAGAGTCAACAAGATTTTTGGAGACCATCGGTACCTTCAAACTTGAAATGAGACGCTTTTTTAATTAAAACACACAGGAAAAACATTGGTGTTTATTCCAAATTTCATCACCTTTGCAGCTTTGCCCATATTTGCTAATGTATGTGACTATGCATATCCAAATGAGATTGAGCAATTGCTAAAAACTGTAAAGAAACCTTTTCACCAGTGATATAATGTGATGTGATAGCATTTATATTCAGGCCAAGTGTAGAAGTGAATTACTATTGTACTGTTTGTAATTAGTACAGTAGTATTAAATTACTAATTACTACTCCTCTGACCAAAATATCTGCAAGCAATTACAACGTCTTATATTTATATACTAGTATTTTTTGAAATCTTACTATGCAATTTGCATTCCTTTCAGTCTGGAATGTGAGTTTACTTCCAGTTTAAACAACTAAGTAAGCTCGAAAATGCTTTTCTATAGTTATAATTTAACTGACTTGGCCTTACAGAACAGTTCAGTTGTTAGAGCATCGGATTTTACTGTACTGTTGATCGTGTTGATCATATAGCTATTTCATGTCAAATTGGTTCTATAGGATAGCTCGGAGGCTCTTAAAAACCTCTGTTATGGAAAAATTCTATGTTCTGTATTTTCGGAATTCCATTTAATTTTTTCCATTTGTCCATTTTTTCCATTTGTCCATTTTTTCCTTGGCTGTGAAAGGAGTAAATATAAATACAGGTTGGTACACTATCTGAGTCACTGTTGTTAGGAACATGTGAACACAGGTATTAGATAATAGACTATTACTATTACTTGGGTATCAAAGCCACAAAATTGGGATCCTCTATCGGTCTATCTATCATGTACTGAAAGGAAAACCTTGGGTTGTGGGGTATGCACACATTGGCCTGATTCACAGCAATTCAATCAAACATTTAAAAGGGGCAATATCAAATGTTTTTTGGAAATATACCAATTTTGGTTGTAATCTCATAAACAATTCTTTTTTTTATTTAACGAGATTAGATAATTTAACATCATTTTTTCCGATTATCAGCATAAACAGGGCCTTTTCATCAATGGTGGCCTGGATGCATTTTGGTTATTGATAACTTATACTTCACAGCTTATTTCAGGGATATACAAGCAAGATAAGTGAGAGGATGGAGACACAGACGATGCGAATTGGAACTCATTATGAGCATCGCCCATCGCATCATATTAACTGTCTAAAGGTCTTAGGTCAATCCTCTCCTGCACATGGCAAATATTTTAAGGCTATTAAAATCGGTAAAATCAAGATGATTGCCAGATTACTTGAAGCGTATTTAAAAACACACTCAAACTTTTACACGCACATAGTAAAAGATCATCCACTGGCGTTAATTTATTTTTTAACTACGCACAATTTTTGGTACGTGCAAATGGAATTTTAAACTGCCAACTATTCAGTTGGTTAAATTTCACCCGTACCAATTTTATCCGTTTACACTATGGTCAATTTTAGTTTGGTACGGATAAAATTGGGAATGATGAAATTTGGACTACCTGGTCGAAATTTCATCCGTTACAAATCTAAAATTACGTGTAGTGTAAATAATAGGGATTTAGTTCTCCGACTCCGTCTATTTAGGAATACACGATTTATTAGTCTTTCTCAGCGACAGTGTGTTTAAGAATGATTTTAAGAATTACAATCTCAGGCGCCGGTATGTTTATCAACCTTTAGGAATCGACGCTTGGAGAAATAAGTATGCACATCAATTTGGTTGCCTGTATACGTAGTTGTGTTTGTCTACGAGGATGAGGAGGATGTCCGTATTTATCTCCTCTTTAGATGGATACTGTTTACTTATTGGGAATTTATAGAATTCCAGGTGTGATCACCGAAGATTTGACAGCGAATACCGGCCACCACGTACCATTCTGTGGTGTCACTGGTGTGGAGCTTCATTAAATGAACGAAACGTTAATTTACTTAAATCAAAGATAATATGCCTTGACAAGTGGTTTCGATAAGATAAAATTATCTCTTTCAAAACCAGCTGCAAACCATTAGTATATGACTGGTTTGCAATACATTTGTGATAAGGTCTAATATAGTTCGTAAACATGCTACTATTCATACAGTTTCACAGGTTATGTACGGTACATTTATTATAACATTCATTCATTACATTATCGTGTGCAAAAACATGTGGCTTTATTTCATAAAGAGAAAATTGTTCTACTCAGTATGTATTCTTGCGCCCTGTGGAAATCACATCGTCGTCGGCTAAAGGTCACCAACACCGATTAGTTGGACGCATCGGAAGATGTTTGAAACCGAACGCGTAATTACTAACTACTGACGGTGTAGTATCGACGACTATTGCGTAATTGTAATTTGGCGGTCATTTGCTAATTATTACAGCACTCATTACTCATATACTGAATACCTGATTTTAGTAATTACTAAAATGCTAAAGGCAGTATTGGTATTATGTCTCAGTTTGGCCTCAAAGTAAATTATCTCCTTACATACTAGAATAAACGTACTACCTAGAAAGATCTCGCCATAGCTCCTCTTTCTTATTTTCTCAATATTTAGATTTTTTCTCCAGACTATCACAGGATAAATCACAGGCGATAAGGTTTGATCACGCCCATATCGCAATGGATTGAATGGAATGCCTCTTCGATCTTCGTTGAAGTTTCACAGCAGTATGACTATCGCCCAGATGAATCACCGTGTTACTGGTCGACTATCATATGTTCTTAACTCTGCCCTTTTCTCAGCAGTGATCTAACATCCAGTACACTTCTAAATTAACAAAGAAGGACGAATTATTTAGCAGAAGAGAGCCTAAGAAACTATCCAGTTGAATACAAATAGCAATCGACGCGTTGACATCATTGTATTACATACCAGTGTTGCCATAAATGTTGGCAGATTTAAGAGATAAGAATGTTTTTCAAGTTTCTTGCAACAATGCTCTTAGAAAGCCAGAAAAAAACAGGACGTGCCCCTTATTCATAAATAAATATGGAATAGTCCGGAGTTAAAACATTACGTAGGTGTGGTAAGAGGGTTGTGAATGATAAAGTGGCTAAATTTGCCTGGTCCTTATCCTTGACCTTGTAATATAAAAGGTAGTTTACTAATGGTACCTTTGAAAACCAACATTGACGCTGTCCGAAAAGTACCAAAGCTAAACGGGATGATACCAAAGTTCGCCCTGCTTGACTATTACACTTTAAACTGTGCTTCTACTCTGTAAATGTTATGTCTATGCAAATATTTTTCCCCTCTAAAGAGTTGAAAAGAGGTGCTTGAGCTTGCAACAGCAATGGATGAATAATCCGGCCCACTCCAATGGCAATGTGTATAAAATTAGCATATTCATAATTGAATTCCAGACTAGATCTTTGCAGGCCTTAAATCAATCTATTATAACGCTATAGTTAATAGCTTAACATTTTACAATGACTAGAAGTGTACAAAAAATAAAAAACTTGCAATGTTTATCTCGGTGTAAAGTCTGCCTAAATTTCAGCTGGTGTCTTTTATCGGCCGGAAGTACCTGTCTGCTAAACACGTGATTGTAATAAGAAGATAATACTATATAAAGATGAATAACAGAAAATGAGTTCTTAAGAAATTCATGTGCACAAAAAGAACAGATTAAAAGGCTAGTGGACGTCGATTGAGGCATCGTGTCGGATTCCTAATTAAGCTATCTTACTAAATGTTTTCTTATTCACTATTTCTTGTGCTTTTTTCATGTAACTTTTTTGTAAGTTTGCGAGGAAGTTCTTGGAATGAGATATCTTATAAGAACATTCTGACTTCTTTGAATGTTACTGAACTAAATCTTACCACATTGGATGTGCTTCTGGAAAATTTAAGATTGCGAAATTGTAGCCGGGGACATTCAAGCGAAGCTGATTGTCGGCACAGAGTAAGTGTCGAGAAAATATCGTTTCTTGTTGCTCATGTACGAGTGTACTGTATGCCATATGTTCGGCAGTGGGGTTATTAATACAAATCTACATTGTGATGAATTTCGTTTTGCTTTCTTTTATTAGTGTCTGACTTCAAAGTATTTGTTTGAAAGGCACGAAATAAATTACAGTGAGAATGTCAGTGCTAGAAAGCTCGCTGAGTTGTCAACAAGCCTCCTCTACTTTATGTTACCAAAGAATTCTGGGGTAAAAGAATGTCAAAATGGCGACGATATCACTATGTATAAGCGGTTTCTGCTGTACTATCAAACAAAGGGACGTATTTGTTTGCGATTACTTGATAGGATACTACGAAGTCTAAAGGAAGAATGCAGAAAAGATGATCCCAAGCAAGTATGTTGATTGTTTTATTCCTTATACTGCAGGTTGTTTAGAGTCGCTTTATTGTAGAATGTTGTGTCTATTTTAGTAACCGGCTGATTATACATTTAATTGAACCCAGTTGCCTTTCTAATGCAGCTGAATTGACACAAGACTTACAGAGGCAACACTTAATACATGTGTCCTAATAGTGAGTGCAATTGTCCATACTCAGGTACTGGGTAATTGCATGGATTCACAGTATTTGGGTGCATCTGATGATTTTGATAAGAATTGTAGTTGTCTAATATCCCATAAACAGTTTTTATCAAAATACATATGAGATTAGCAAGAGCAAGTTCACCCTTCCATTATACATTTCTGTATGATACATCCCTGCATTCATGATTAATTAGCATTGAATCAGCATTTATTGGAATATAACAAAAATCATAATTTTAAAAATCACAAAATACAGATAATGAATCCACTGATGGTTTAGACCTTCGAATTAATATCCAATAATATCCAATGTAGTTCTATGTATCCTCTTTATATTTGTAAAGGCTGTGATATACTGATACTAATGGTACACATCACCATTAGTATAAGAATAAGAATTGTACTTTCCCTTTGTGATAGGTTATATATTTTGCTTAGGTTTTAGATCTGGTTAAATCAATCACTACTGCATATTACGTACAACAAACAACAATTGAGCATCCTATAATATGTTAGGGATGTGTTGTTTAACTTGTGTTATTGTGACTGCTGAATATAATTTTTGTATTTTTGTAGAGATTTTCTGCTGTGCATCTTTTTGCGCTAATGAATTTTTCAGAACATAAGGAACTTGACGAAGAACAATTTTCAACAATAAGCATTATGATAATTTCAAATCTCTTAAATGGATCATGTATGGATGTACCGGACAGCCATGACTTATTACTGCCATGCCGGTCTTATTTTACATCTAAACTTTTTGAACATTTTGGTACAGTGGATGGTCGTTTAACATATGAGAAATTTGAACTAATGTTAAAACATATGGGTCTTGGAAATAACAGTGAGCATCATGTTGAGGAGGCTGATGAACATGATGATCATAAACGTAAAAAACGTGACAATTCCCATGAACATGAAGTGCAGGATAATGTAAATACACTAATGAATCCGTCCAGCAAGGAGGTAAGTGAGTCCCGCATATAGCATAAAAGGTCAAACCTTCTATTATTTAGCATGACTGTAAAAATGTTAAATGTTATGTTAACTACATGGTCATCCTACCTTAAAAATGGATGCATGTGCACCCAGGATGGTTAACTAACTGGGGTAAAATATTGAAATTTGTGTATCAGATTATTTAAATGTGCTGTACACTGTAAAATATCCCAATTGGCTGCTAGTTTATAACAATGTGGGAAACCACCAAATTGATAACAGCACAAACGTCATGTTTACAGCTAGTTTTTCTGGATAATAACACTAGTTTAATAACACTAACACTATTTTTTTGGAAGTATAGCAGACCAAAATGGTGTTAGATATGTTTTTACATTGCAGCTTGCATCTCATGCACATTTAAATTTATTTTATTAAATCTGAAACATCATCTTTGCTTTTATGTGCTAGTGCTACTCTGCAGATGATCTGGCACTGGTATTTTCCATCAATAAAAGTATTGGTATTGATAGCAATGAATTCAATCAGATATGCCCAGCCTTGATTGAACAATTGGAGTCAAAGTCTTGTGTGAAAGTGACAGAAAAAGGAAATGGAACCCATACATCTAAATATGGTAATTCAATACAATTTCATTTTAAAACAGTCTAGTTTCAGCAGCTGAACTTTTCACCTTTTTAGTGACCGTTGAATTTCAGAACTTTAGAATTTTGAAACCCTATTTTAGAGTTCCTAGAGCACCCCTCTCATTAATGCGTATTTAGTGCACTTTCCAATAGCTGCGCTGTGAGACAGATTAAATTCTGATCAATACATATATGAAACACAAAATATTATGGATCTGAACATGGTTAGCTGTGAACTGCAAAATCATACAGAAATTAATACATTCTTCCTTGTTCCCGGGCTTTTATGTAGCTGCACAAATCTATTCAACCCGCTATAAAACCAAGGGAAAGAGGGTTGAATAGATTTTACAGTCAGGTGCAGTGCACTGGATTTTAGGCCTGGTTAAGCAAAAAAAAATTTTAAATGTCTGAACATCTGATCAAATATGCGTTGAACAAAACCTGTCAGTTTTAACCGGCCGCGCTAGAGTTATTTGACCGCTTGGATGCAAGTACTCAAAATGGATGCGAATGTTTATTATGTTTGTTATCTCACACAGTAACTAAAGTCAACAGCACATGAATGGTATTGATATTAATGATTATGCTGTCTCATGCAGATCATGCCAAGAGTCATGCATTTACACATGTGTTGCTATTGATTTCACGGAGACAAAAACAAGTACTTCTTCCGTCCGTGGTCTAGACGATCAATTTCTGTCGAAAGACGTACTTCAGAGACGTTGCATTTTCAGTTTCTGTTTAAATTTTTGGGGTACCATCGACTAGCCAGTGGTAATGCAATCCGCGTTGCGACAAAACCGCCAAACGGAAATCCAAGAATTTTGAGAATTAGGGTTTCCGAAATTTGATGGGTCTAAGTATCCCCCGGTCATCTTTGTTTTTCATGTTCAGTTATAAGTTGCCGTAAAGTGAATTTATTCTGGTATTTCTGTCCTTTAACTCCCGACTTTTCTGGAGTATTTTGAAGATAACGCACTACTTGACCGCAGGTTCGGTTTTGTGTACAAATAAACAGTTAATACGCAAAAAATGTTAATTTTTCCTCCCATGCACAAGATTGTTATTGATTATTATACATACATGCATACAACATGAATCTTTTTGATTATTCAAATTCCGTAATTGCAAACCATAGGGGCCAATTGTAACTCGGTCTAATTGAGGTTTTGTGATAAGATGTTAGATGTCAGAACTTTTATCACTGACATAAATGCCTTTTATATACGCACACGTATCTTTTTAAAGTCTGCGCCAACATGCAATGCCAACGATATTAATCTATTAATCTTAAGGTCGCTACAATTTTATCTTTGACTTTGTGGGAAAAATACGGAAAATGTATCCTTGCTATCACGTTAGTTGGGTAATGAAAATATTCATTGAAACTAGAAAGCGGCAAATTACTATTTCCATCCCCGGGTCATTAATGTCTACATGAATGTATATCTGCTGGTAAGCCTGGTACGTGTCGAAATTATCCCAAAGTCTTTGACAAAATATTTTGACAGTAAGAATTATTCTTCGTAACCGAAGTCGTGAGAAATTTATCTTTGAACGTCGATCAACAAACATAATTGTCTCATATCGCATAATTGTTTGCTCATATTATCACTTCAAGATTGCATATCGTCACATGCATGCACGCAACATTGGAAAAATAATGATAAGCGCGCACGTACGCACGTTTTTTATTGCGTGAACCTCTCGATGTTTCGACTTAAAGGTCTTCGTGAAGAAAGCATTAATTTGATAACGCAGGCTCTTGGGTTGGGTGTGGCAGGAATCGAACCTACGCCCGCCCAACCATTTCTTGCAGCTTTATTTAACACGGTTTCTGAGGCCGGTTTTCTCACTTCAATCGCAGCGAAGCACAGCGTAATGTCATTGTCTCCATGGTGACCCCAGTGAACTCTAAAAAGACTTAGTTCAGTGACATTCTAAGAAGTCAGAATGTTCTTGTAAGATGTCTCATTCCACGAACTTCCCCGCAAATTTCCAGAAAAGTCTCCACTTAGAGTTCACTGCGTGACTCGAATAGAATGAATAACTTTGAAACAAATAAGCAACGCCCCGCTACTGTCGAAGTTGGGAACAGAACTAATGCTAAGGCTAATGCGAGGTAAAACCTGCCCAATTGGGTTCATGTGATCATACCCTTATTGATTATTATTCTCGTCATGTTTTATGTAGTTTGGTTGTATGGCTTCGTGTCCGTATTATTAATAAGTTTACTATCACTCGCTGGTATCGCAGTAATTCCCACCATGAAAGGAAATATGTATAAAAAGATCATCATCGTTCTAGTTGGTCTTGCTATTGGTACCCTCACAGGAGATGCCCTGTTCCATCTGATACCACATGTAAGTAACAATAGAGAACTTATGAAATCATAATAACGAGTATATATAAAATGAGTAGAATGAAAAATTTAGCGAGTTATTTAACAATTATTTAAGAATAAGGTTGGGCATGATATAGAGAATCATCCACCTGCATTTTGTCGTTATCAACTTTAACTGAAGGCTGAGGCTATTGAGATTTGTTGATAACGACAACCTGGGGTGCTTTCTTTAGATTTTTCGTTAGTATTTCGGTGAAACTGCATTTCCATTGCTAGGCAGATGTATATAACGATGCAGTTGAATGCAGAATTCTAAAAACACTCTAAAGTACGAGGAATCTCTCTGCACTGAAACCCAACAGGACCTGTCTGGCCGTTTTTACCGTTTAAAGGAAAGCGCCCTAAAACTCGACAATTCAATTAAGGACCCCTCATACTAAGTTTTTGGGCTAATCTGTTTTCTAGGCCGCCGGTTTTCATGCGAGTAGTCATGGGCATGGAGATGGACATGATTCTGAACATACAGGCGACGACAAGGCATTTTTGTGGAAATTTTTAGTTGTGGCTTCTGGTGTTTATGGTTTCTTTCTATTTGAAACATTTACGCATCTTTTCTTGAGTTCCAGTGGTCATGGCCACTCTCACAATATCGAGGTCAGTATAGCCTTTAAAGAAATTATTTTACTCATGGTTCATTTGTTGCGTGTGTGTTGTCCGTCAGGACAAGCTAATTGTGTCTCTACTTGTATACATAATGTACTGTACGATCGTATTCAAACTCGGCGTTTCCTGTAGTAACAATTTTCCGCTGTTTTGTATAATTCCAGCATACTCGCAAACACAGTCCGTTTGAAAGGAATAATTCATGCCGTACAGTGGAACGCCATGAGATGCGCCTTGCCTCGAGTACACAGCATCATGAGACACCTGCTCATACTCATACTCATGATACGACGCAAGTTATATTTAACCGGGTTAGTTTAGTTATGTTCTTAAGTTTTTCATCCAATTGCGAGCCCAGCTGTTCTCGTTCTTGAATAGAGTGGTGCTATAACCTTAGGAATAACACCAAAACTGCTGAAACATGCTAAAACTCAGCCATTGTCCACTTCCCTATGAAGTCTGGAAGTTTTAAACTAGCGCTAATAGCGCCCGGAATATCTTCCCCGCTTAGCGATACATCTTGAAGTTCGGTCATCTGGCAGAAATCGTAACATAATTAAATTATTTTAAATATTTGAAAAGTAATCATTTGTCCCTCCAAACAGTCCATAGATGCTTTGCGGTTCGCGACCAGACCCAGTACCTTGCTCGATTGGAAATGATGTTTTTTTCTTTGTATTTAGGTTAGCGGCAAGGCGGAAGAAAAGGCTTTAAAATCTAAAACTGATGATCAGAATCACGATGACAATATCCCAAGTTTATTAAAAAGTTCATCCCATGGATCTGAGAAGAAAAAGATTAGTTCTGTTGGTTGGATGATCATAATAGGAGATACAATACATAATATAACTGATGGCATTGCCATCGGGGCGGCATTCACGCAAGACGTTGGTGGAGGGTTGAGCACATCTATTGCTGTGTTTTGTCATGAATTACCACACGAATTAGGTAAAAATTAACACGCTTAACAATAGCTACCTTTGTTTTCCTCTGCAAATATTACTCGCGAAAACATATCTCTGTTGACATAAGTATTGCACGGTCATTTTCCTGTAAAGTATCAGTGCTAGGCATTTTTTACGTACCAATGACCGCTCCTAAAAGCAGCATCTCTGAACCATATAAGCAGCATCTTTGAATCATATAAGCAGCATCTCTGAACCATATAAGCAGCATCTCTAAATCATATAAGCAGCATCTCTGAACCATATAAGCAACATCTCTGAACCATATAAGCAGCATCTCTGAACCATATAAGCAGCATCTCTGAATCATATAAGCAGCATCTCTGAACCGATTCGCAAAGCGACTGCAATGGAAAATTGCCTTAACTAAAGTATTTTGTGATTACAGGCGATTTTGCTGTGTTGGTTTCATCAGGAATGACAATAAAACAAGCCATGCTGGCCAACTTCTTATCAGCTTGCTCAAGTTTCATTGGCTTGGTTATTGGGATTTTAATAGGCCAGCAGACAGAAGAGGGAAATCAGTGGATATTTGCAGTCATGGGAGGGATGTTTCTATATATTGCATTGGTTGATATGGTGAGTGTTTCGAACGTTGGTACATGTCTACAACAGTCGACAGGTAGCCTAGAAATGGGTGTGCCTCTGTTTCATATCGCGACAACAATTTATTAAATAATGCGGTTTATATATCCCAGGCCCCGTCCGGCGTTTAAACTTGGGTTGATACTTCAAAATAATGTTGGGTGATTTAAAGATATAAATAATAAAACAAAAACGTCTTATGTGCGAAATGCAAATTATTGGTAACTATATACGTTCTTTCTATAGTTACCGGAGTTGATGCACAGCGAAGAGCTTGGTGGAGCAGGCAGACTGCAAATATTTCTTCTTCAAAACATAGGAATCTTACTCGGCTTTGTTCTTATGCTTTTAATTGCATATTTTGAGGAAGACCTCGTAATATCCGAGTGATCAAAACAGTGACCTACACAGCAGATATATAATATAAAAGCATGTTGTTTTATGAGATTTATATGAAGAAGTTAAATATGCATTAAAATATTTTAGACATACATAAATGTCTTATCAGCGATGCTTATATAGGATGCCAGGATACAAAACAAAGAATGCAGTGATATACTGTTAAATGTTTAACGCAGAAGGTTCATTCACAGTGCAATGCTAGCCTAGAACAGTAGAACGAAGGGTTTAAACTTAAAACAAGGCCACTATGTCTATGAACCGCTTTAACCGATGCTCTGCATGTTCGAAAATAAACTTTCAGTAAAATCATTAATGAAGGGTTTTTCGAAATTTTAAAATGCGGTTCAAAAGAAATCAGTAGAATTACATTTTGCCTAAAAACAATAGATTTGAGCCGTTTAAATTATTATTTGAAAAATTACATTCTTTCATGAAAACGATACATTTAAACCATAAGTGGCAAAAAATTGGTGGTTTTTTAGACTAAATCAATCAATTTTATACATATTAATCCTTTTATAGCTTGCGCAAGGCGCTGTTACTGTGTTTGTCGCAAAAAGGGCCGTCCCAGTCTCGTGCAAGTTCTCGTAGTCTTATCAGAACGATAAAAAAGTAGTCTCATCAGAAATGTTAAAAAAAAAAACAACTTAGTATCTATGTCAAAAATTTTTTTAAAAATTTTGAAACTGGTAAAATTTTAAAAATACTTGGAAATCTGTCAAATTTTTTTAAGATTTAAAAGCCAGACACAGTGGCCCAAGACCAAATACTCCCGCGCCCTAAAAAAATTTTGTCGAAGCAGACAAATGAAATTATTACAGAAATGTATTTGATAGTTTTGCCTGAAATTTTGAAATTCATCAATGTATGATTTTATGTATTCAAATGTACTCGTTTCATGAAAGAATGCAATTCTACTTAGTTCTCAACTCTTTCGAGGTATTTTGAACAATATTTTTAAATTTCAAAAGAATAACGAAAATTTTGGATTTTTCGTCCCCGTTACCGATTTGCCTGAAATTTTGAAATTCATCGCAGCATGATTTTATGCGTTTTAATGAACTCGTTTCACGAAAGAATGCAATTGTACTTGACTTCAAACAATTTCGAGGTATTTTGAACCGACTTTTGAAATTTCAAAAAATTGACGAAAATCAGGATTTTTCGTTACGTTATCGTTTCGTTTCCCCCGTTATCGATTTGCCTAAAATTTTGAAATTCACCAAAGTATGATTTTTGTGTTCAAACGTTTTTTTTGATGAAAGAATGCAATTCTACTTAGTTCTAAACCATTTCGAGGTGTTTTGAACCGAATTTTAAAATTTCAAAAAATTGACAAAAATCAGGATTTATCCTTTGGTCCCCCGTTACCGATTTGCCTAAAATTTTGAAATTCACCAAAGTATGATTTTTGTGTTCAAATATTTTTGTTTGATGAAAGAATGTAATTTTACTTAGATCTAAACCATTTCGAGGTATTTTGAACCGAATTTTGAAATTTCAAAAAATTGACGAAAATCAGGATTTTTCCTTTGGTCCCCCGTTACCGATTTGCCTAAAATTTTGAAATTCATCAAAGTATGATTTTATGTGTTCAAATGTTTTTGTTTCATGAAAAAATGCAATTCTACTTAGTTCTCAACCATTTCGAGGTATTTTGAACCAAATTTTGAAATTTCAAAAAATTGACGAAAATCAGGATTTTTCCTCTTGGTCCCCCGTTACCGATTTGCCTAAAATTTTGAAATTCATTAAGGTATTCTATTTTGTGTTCAAATGTTTTTGTTTCATGAAAGAATGCAATTCTACTTAGTTCTCAACCATTTGAGGTATTTTGAACCGAATTTTTAAATTTCAAAAAATTGACAAAAGTTAGGATTTTTCCTTTGGTCCCCCGTTACCGAATTGCTTGGAATTTTGAAATTCCTCAAACTATGATTATATGTGTTTAAATGTATTCGTTTCATGAAAGAATAAAATTCTACTTAAATTTCAACCATTTCGAGGTATTTTGAACCGAATTTTAAAATTCCAAAAAATTGACGAAAATTAGGATTTTTCCTTTTGGTCCACCGTTACCGATTTGCCTAAAATTTTAAAATTCACCAAAGTATGATTTTTGTGTTCAAATATTTTTGTTTGATGAAAGAATGTAATTTTCCTTAGTTCTAAACCATTTCGAGGTATTTTGAACCGAATTTTGAAATTTCAAAAAATTGACGAAAATCAGGATTTTTCCTTTGGTCCCCCGTTGCCGATTTGCCTAAAATTTTGAAATTCATCAAAGTATGATTTTATGTGTTCAAATGTTCTCGTTTCATGAAAGAATGCAATTTTACTTAGTTCTCAACCATTTCGAGGTATTTTGAACCGAATTTTGAAATTTCAAAAATTGACGAAAGTTAGGATTTTTCCTTTGGTCCCCCGTTACAGATTTGTTTAAAATTTTTAAATTAATCAAGGTATTATATTTTGTGTTCAAATGTTTTTGTTTCATGAAAGAATGCAATTCTACTTAGTTCTCAACCATTTCAGTGAGGTATTTTGAACCGAATTTTGAAATTTAAAAAAATTGACGAAAATCAGGATTTTTTCTTTGGTCCCCCGTTACCGATTTGCCTAAAATTTTGAAATTCATCAAAGTATGATTTTATGAGTTCAAATGTTTTTGTTTCATGAAAGAATGCAATTTTACTTAGTTCTCAACCATTTCGAGGTATTTTGAACCGAATTTTTAAATTTAAAAAATTTGAGAGAGTTAGGATTTTTCCTTTGGTCCCCCGTTACCGAATTGCTTGGAATTTTGAAATTCATCAAACTAATTAAATGTATTCCTTTCATGAAAGAATAAAATTCTACTTAAATTTCAACCATTTCGAGGTATTTGAACCGAATTTTAAAATTTGAATTTTAAATGCCTAAAATTTTGAAATTCATCAAGGTATTATATTTTGTGTCATGAAAGAATGCAATTTTACTTAGTTCTCAACGATTTCGAGGTATTTTTAACCGAATTTTAAAATTTCAAAACATTGACGAAAGTTAAGATTTTTCCTTTGGTCCCCCGTTTAGGGGAAAAAAATTAAAATTAGTTCGGTGTGAAAATTGCCTGAATATTAAAAATTTTTAAAAATTTTAAATATTTGATATATACACATATATTTTTTTAAAAATTATTTTTAAAGTTGAATTTCTCACATATTTGAAAAGTTTAAAAAAGAAACTAGTATACATGTAAAAAAATTTAAAATGTTGAAAAACACTAATATATATGTCAAAAATTTTTGGGCCATTGGATTGTATATTTATAACAGCCTTAATATAAATGATATTGCGACAGCCCAGTGGTTAAGGCTACGGCCTATCAGGTTGTAAGGGTAGGTTCGAATCCTGCATGGGGAAAGGTTCGATTTTTCCTACCGAAATTACTATTTAATTTGAAATTCATCGAAAAGGATTAGGTCAAATAGAGAACAATAGCTTTCGACAAATGACTTTGTGGTCTAGTGGTTAAGACGTTCGTCTCTCAATCCGAGGACAAACGTTTCAACTCCTGGCAATGCAACAAAATTAGCCAGAAAAATTTCGGTGTGATTTGGAATGTTTAAAACTGTTAAAAGACTTCTCGGCCTTTCCGAAAGACTGTCAATTGAAAAAAATTTGAAAATAAAAAAAACACAATAAAAATTATTGCGTTCAAAAGTACCTGAAAATTGAAAGAAACGTACAAAGTAAAATAAGTTTTAAAAACACATGTCTTCTAAAAAGCATGAAAATGAAAAGAGTCGGACGGAAAAAAAAAACAATTTCCCGCTTTTAAAAAACTCATGTTTACTTAACTTAATTTTTTTTCACGAAAATTTGACAGGGTGATTTTCTCTAGACTGAAAAAATTTAATTTTTTTTCACTTTTTTGAAATTCTCTTAGATTTTTTTTTGACGCGAAAGTATTTTGTCTTGGGCTACCTGTGTCTGTCTTGGGCGACCTGTGTCTGGCTTGACACAGGTAGCCGAAGACAAAATACTTTCGCGTGAAAAAAAAAATCTAAGAGAATTTCAAAAAAGTGAAAAAAATTAAATTTTTTCAGTCTTGAGAAAATCACCCTGTCAAATTTTCGTGAAAAAAAATTAAGTTAAGTAAACATGAGTTTTTTAAAAGCGGGAAATTGTTAATTTTTTTTCCGTCTGACTCTTTTCATTTTCATGCTTTTTAGAAGACATGTGTTTTTAAAACTTTTTTTTTTTGTACGTTTCTTTCAATTTTCAGGTACTTTTGAACGCAATAATTTTTATTGTGTTTTTTTATTTCAAATTTTTTTTAATTTACAGTCTTTCGGAAAGGCCGAGAAGTCTTTTAACTGTTTTAAACATTCCAAATCACACCGAAAATTTTCAGGCTAATTTTGTTTCATTGCCAGGAGTTGAACCGTTTGTCCTCGGATTGAGAGACGAACGTCTTAACCACTAGACCACCACGTCATTTGTCGAAAGCTATTGTTCTTTATTTGACCTAATCCTTTTCGATGAATTTTAAATTAAGTAGTAATTTCGGTGGAAAAATCGAACCTTTCCCCATGCAGGATTCGAACCAACGCTTACAACCTGGTAGGCCGTAACCTTAACCACTGGGCCACCGAAATAACATATATATATAAGGGCTGCTATCAACATAAATCCGATGGCCCATTGGTTAAGGCTACGGCCTACCAGGTTGTAAGGGTGGGTTCGAATCCTGCATGGGAAAGGTTCGATTTTTCTAACTGAAATTACTATTTAATTAAAAATTCATCGAAAAAGATTAGGTCAAATAGAAAACAATAGTTTTCGACAAATGACGCGGTGGTCTTGTGGCTAGGACGTTCGTCTCTCATTCCGAGGACAAACGTTTCAACTCCTGGCAATGAAACAAAATTAGCCTGAAAAATTTCGGTGTGATTTGGATGTTTAGAACAGTTAAAAGACTTCTCGGCCTTTCCGAAAGACTGTAAATTTAAAAAAATTTGAAATAAAAAAACACAATAAAAATTATTGCGTTCAAAAGTACCTGAAAATTGAAAGAAACGCACAAAGTAAAATAAGTTTTAAAAACACATGTCTTCTAAAAAACATGAAAATGAAGAAAGTCAGACGGAAAAAAAACTAACAATTTCCCGCTTTTAAAAAACTCATGTTTACTTAACTTAATTTTTTTTCACGAAAATTTGACAGGGTGATTTTCTCTAGACTGAAAAAATTTAATTTTTTTCACTTTTTTGAAATTCTCTTAGATTTTTTTTTGACGCGAAAGTATTTTGTCTTGGGTTACCTGTGTCAAGCCAGACACAGGTAGCCCAAGACAGACACAGTAGCCCAAAACAAAATACTTTTTCTTTAAAAAAAAAGTCTAAG